CTACATAGATTAATGATGCACCTACACAGATCAATGATACACCTACATAGATTAATGATACACCTACACAGATCAATGATACACCTACATAGATTAACGATACACCTACACAGATTAATGATGCACCTACACAGATTCATGATACACCTACACAGATTAATGATACACCTACATAGATTAATGATGCACCTACACAGATTAATAAATACACCTACATAGATTAATGATGCACCTACACAGATCAATGATACACCTACACAGATTAATGATGCACCTACATAGATTAATGATACACCTACACAGATTAATGATGCACCTACATAGATTAATGATACACCTACACAGATTAATGATACACCTACACAGATTAATGATGCACCTGCATAGATTAATGATACACTTACACAGATTAATGACGTACCTTCACAGATTAATGATACATCTTCACAGATTAATGATGCACCTACATAGATTAATGATCCACCTACATAGATTAATGATTCACCTACATAGATTCATGACGCACCTACATAGATTAATGATACACCTACATAGATTAATGATACACCTACACAGATTAATGATACACCTACACAGATTAATGATACACGTACACAGATTAATGATGCACCTACACAGATTAATGATACACCTACATAGATTAATGATACACCTACACAGATCAATGATACACCTACATAGATTAACGATACACCTACAAAGATAAATGATACACCTACATAGATTAATGATGCACCTACATAGATTAATGATGCACCTACACAGATTAATAAATACACCTACACAGATTAATGATGCACCTACACAGATCAATGATACACCTACACAGATTAATGATACACCTACACAGATTAATGATACACCTACACAGATTAATGGTGCACCTACACAGATTAATGATACACCTACATAGATTAATGGTTCACCTACACAGATTAATGATACACCTACACAGATTAATGATACACTTACACAGATTAATGATACACCTACACAGATTAATGATGCACCTACACAGGTTAATGATACACCTACATAGATTCATGATACACCTACACAGATTAATGATACACCTACATAGATTAATGATACACCTACACAGATTAATGATACACCTACACAGATTAATGGTACACGTACGCAGATTAATGATGCACCTACACAGATTAATGATACACCTACATAGATTAATGATACACCTACACAGATCAATGATACACCTACATAGATTAACGATACACCTACACAGATTAATGATACACCTACATAGATTAATGATGCACCTACATAGATTAATGATGCACCTACACAGATTAATAAATACACCTACACAGATTAATGATGCACCTACACAGATCAATGATACACCTACACAGATTAATGATACACCTACACAGATTAATGATACACCTACACAGATTAATGGTGCACCTACACAGATTATTGATACACCTACACAGATTAATGGTTCACCTACACAGATTAATGATACACCTACACAGATTAATGATACATCTACACAGATTAATGATACACCTACACATATTAATGATGCACCTACACAGATTAATGATGCACCTACACAGATTAATGATACACCTACATAGATTCATGAAACACCTACACAGATTAATGATACACCTACATAGATTAACGATACACCTACACAGATTAATGATACACCTACACAGATTAATGATACACCTACATAGATTAATGATGCACCTACACAGATTAATAAATACACCTACATAGATTAATGATGCACCTACACAGATCAATGATACACCTACACAGATTAATGATGCACCTACATAGATTAATGATACACCTACACAGATTAATGATGCACCTACATAGATTAATGATACACCTACACAGATTAATGATACACCTACACAGATTAATGATACACGTACACAGATTAATGATGCACCTACACAGATTAATGATACACCTACATAGATTAATGACGCACCTACACAGATTAATGATACACCTACATAGATTAATGATACACCTACACAGATTAATGATACACCTACATCGATTAATGATGCACCTACACAGATCAATGATACACCTACACAGATTAATGATACACCTACACAGATTAATGATACACCTACACAGATTAATGATTCACCTACACAGATTAATGATACACCTACATAGATTAATGATGCACCTACACAGATTAATGATGCACCTACATAGATTAATGATGCACCTTCATAGATTAATGATACACATTACACAGATTAATGATACGCCTACATAGATTAATGATGCACGTACATAGATTAATGATACACCTACACAGATTAACGATGCACCTACAGAGATTAATGATACACCTACACAGATTAATGATGCACCTACACAGATTAATGATGCACCTACACAGATTAATGATGCACCTACACAGATTAATGATACACCTACATAGATTCATGAAACACCTACACAGATCAATGATAAACCTACACGGATTCATGGTACACCTAAACAGATTTTTATAATTTTTTATTTTTTCAATCATTTTACATTTATTTAATAAAATGTGACATTCCAGTACATAGTTGATTAATCATCTAAATAGATGATGGCATGTTGACCAAAATTTATAGAATAGGCCAATGTCACACTCAATAATCGTTGCACATTTAGTAAGGTTGTAGTAGTTTCTTATTTCGTTCTGAAAGACTTGAAATGACGGGAGTCTCTTATTTAACTTACTTTTAAATATAAGGTCTTTTGTTATCAAGAAGATGATATTTAGAGGGTCATTGCGCTTTCTGGAAAGCCAATCATCACGTTTCTTTGTAATTTCGATTTGGATGTTAGCCTTTTGAAGTAGCCAAACTTCAAGTTGACACCAGATTTGCTGAACCATATTACAGGACCAGAAAAGATGGATTGGGGTCTCGATATCAACTGAACAAAAACTGCAATTTCGACTTTCAACATAACCTAATTTACACAAGAAAACATTAGTCGGAAGTATATGATGAAGTATTTTGTATTGGAGCCATTGCAGTTTAGTGTCTCTCGTACATCGAAAAGGCATTCTTTTGTATTCGGACCAGTTATCAATTGAGTCATCCTTTGCACAGATTTATGAAGCATCTTCAGAGATTATGACGCTTGTGCGTAAATTACAGATTTATACATCTTGATACGTAGCAATGATTTTTTAAACAACGAAATAATGCACCCATAACATATTATTGATTTTCTTATTACAGAGGAATAGCATTTTGTCTTGACATCAATACTTAACTTGATGGATGACATGCCACAAAGGTTACATCGTGAGAGATATACCTGAAGACTTAACGAAACTGTTATCCAGTGAATGTGTTGATAACTGACAATTGGACCTTTATGCTTTACAGATCAGTTGACTAACTTTGAACACATGGACTCACTTGTCAAGACTATATGTCATTAATTGTAGCATATTCGGGTAAATAGGGGGCATACTTAACATTGATTTCCCTTCCCAATTGCAGTATATCTCTACGTGGGATGAACATAACCAGAAAGAAATCTCCACTCGATGCTGACTACATTATAAGCATATGTTTATAAATCACTATCAAATAGTTATGATACAAGGCGTTCGCGAAAAGGTGAGCGTACCCTGCCCCATTGACGGCACCCCTCACAAACACATACAAAGAAGTCAGTTGTCCAGCTGAGAAATACGGGAACGTATCAGTATGATGTTAAAGGTGGAGGCGAGGAATCAGTATGATGTTAAAGGTGGAGGCAAGGTATCAGTATGATGTTAATGATGGAGGCAAGGTAGCAGTATGATGTTAAAGGTGGAGGCGAGGTATCAGTATGATGTTAAAGATGGAGGCGAGGTATCAGTATGATGTTAAAGATGGAGGCGAGGTATCAGTATGATGTTAAAGGTGGAGGCGAGGTATTAGTAGGATGTTAAAGATGAAGGCGAGGTATCAAAAGATGGTGGCGAGGTATCAGTATGATGTTAAAGGTGGATGCGAGGTATCAGTATGATGTTAAAGGTGAATGCGAGGTGTCAGTATGATGTTAAAGGTGGATGCGAGGTGTCAGTATGATGTTTAAGATTGAGGCGAGGTATCAGCATGATGTAACAGGTAGAGGCTAGGTATCAGTATGATGTTAAAGATGGAGGCAAGGTATCAGTATGATGTTAAAGATGAAGGCGAGGTATCAGCATGATGTTACAGGTAGAGGGGAGGTATCAGTATGATGTTAAAGATGGAGGCAAGGTATCAGTATGATGTTAAAGTGGGGGCGAGGTATCAGTATGATGTTAAAGATGGAGGCAAGGTATCAGTATGATGTTAAAGATGGAGGCGAGGTATCAGCATGATGTTAAAGATGGAGGCAAGGTATTAGTATGATGTTAAAGATGGAGGCGAGGTATCAGTATGATGTTACAGGTAGAGGCGAGGTATCAGTATGATGTTTCAGATGGAGACGAGGTATCAGTATGATGTTACATGTGGAGGCGAGGTATCAGTATGATGTTTCAGGTGGAGGCGAGGTATCAGTATGATGTTTCAGGTGGAGGTGAGGTCTCAGTATGATATTAAAGATGGAGGCGAGGTATCAGTATGAAGTTAAAAGGAAAGGCGAGGTATCAGTATGATGTTAAATTGTGAGGCGAGGTATCAGTATGATGTTAAAATGAAAGGCGAGGTATCAGTACAACGGTGGAGGCGAGGATGAGGTAGGGGTGATGTTTGTGTCTTAGATGACATAGGAAGGGACATCCTTCCCTAGGGTTGTACTCATATCTTAATGCATGGCTTTTAGCGTTAAGCCAATATTCTGCAAGTGCTTCATCACTGCAATGTGCCAAATTGTTTGTATGGATATACCTCTATGTCATCATGTAATGTCCGCTGTCACTGTCAGACAATTCCGTATATGTGAGGAACAGACGTTGTCATTCAACCCTTTCAAATCACAAGGAATACCTTTCAAAGTCCTCAGCCTGTTTTCTTGGGGTGGGTCTCCATCGGGGGGTGTAGTCAGCCTTGCTCTCCCTGGCATAGGCGGGATGGACCGACGCCGCCCTTCCCTGAACCCCCAGGCCGTCGGCGTCACCGAAGTCAATCGACGTCAGTGACATCCCCACGTCCACATAACGACTACGGTTGCTCTGGAAATAAGAATACAAAATGTAGCTTCTTCTACACCATGTGTTGTAGGTGGATATATCTTGTTATAAACCATATGTTGTAGGTGGATATATATCTTGTTATATACCCGGTGTTGTAGGTGGATATATCTTGTTATAAACCATGTGTTGTAGGTGGATATATATCTTGTTATATACCCGGTGTTGTAGGTGGATATATCTTGTTATTCGCTATGTGTTGAGGGTGGATATATATTGCTATATACCATGTGTTGTAGATGGATATATATCTAGTTATATACCATGTGCTGCAGATTGGTATCTTGTTATATGCCATTGTTTTAGATGGATATATATCTTTTTATAGACTATGTGTTTTAGGTGGCTATACCTTGTTATATACGACGTGTTGTAGGTGTATAATCTTGTTATACACAATGTACTGTCGGTGGATATATCTTGTTATACATCATGTGTTGTGGTGGATATATCTTGTTATGTACCACGTGTTGTTGGTGCATATATCTTGTTATACACCATGTGTTGTTGGTGGATATTTCTTGTTATACACCATGTGTTGTGGTGGATATATCTTGTTATGTATCATGTGTTGTTGGTGGATATATCTTGTTATACACCATGTGTTGTTGGTGCATATATCTTGCTATACACCATGTGTTGCATGTGGATATATCTTGTTATACACCATATGTTGTTGGTGCATATATCTTGTTATACACCATGTGTTGTTGGTGCATATATCTTGCTATACACCATGTGTTGTTGGTGCATATATCTTGTTATACACCATATGTTGTTGGTGCATATATCTTGTTATACACCATGTGTTGTTGGTGCATATATCTTGCTATACACCATGTGTTGTTGGTGCATATATCTTGTTATACACCATATGTTGTTGGTGCATATATCTTGTTATACACCATGTGTTGTTGGTGCATATATCTTGTTATACACCATGTGTTGTTGGTGCATATATCTTGTTATACACCATGTGTTGTTTGTGCATATATCTTGTTATACACCATGTGTTGCATGTGGATATATCTTGTTATACACCATGTGTTGTTGGTGCATATATCTTGTTATGTACCATGTGTTGCATGTGGATATATCTTGTTATACACCATATGTTGTTGGTGCATATATCTTGTTATGTACCATGTGTTGCATGTGGATATATCTTGTTATGTATCACGTGTTGTTGATGCATATATCTTGTTATAAACCATGTGTTGTTGGTGCATATATCTTGCGATACACCATGTGTTGCATGTGGATATATTTTGTTATACCCCATGTGTTGCATGTTGATATATCTTGTTATGTATCATGTGTTGTTGGTGCATATATCTTGTTATACACCATGTGTTGTTGGTGGATATATCTTGTTATACACCATGTGTTGTTGGTGGATATATCTTGTTATACACCATGTGCTGCATGTGGATATATCTTGTTATGTACCACGTGTTGTTGGTGGATATATCTTGCCATACATCCTGTGTTGTTTGTGGATATATCTTGTTGTGTTGTTGGTGGATATATATGTATACCATAACACCATACCGTCATAGTGCTATGTGTAGTGTCAGTGGTAGATATAGTGATGTATACCCTACTGTCATAGTGCTATGTGTAGTGTCAGTGGAAGATATAGTGAAGTATACCCTACTGTCATAGTGCTATGTGTAGTGTCAGTGGAAGATATAGTGATGTATCCCATACCATCATAGTGCTATGTGTAGTGTCAGTGGTAGATATAGTGATGTATACCCTACTGTCATAGTGCTATGTGTAGTGTCAGTGGAAGATATAGTGATGTATACCCTACCGTCATAGTGCTATGTGTAGTGTCAATGGAAGATATAGTGATGTATACCCTACTGTCATAGTGCTATGTGTAGTGTCAATGGAAGATATAGTGATGTATACCCTACTGTCATAGTGCTATGTGTAGTGTCAGTGGAAGATATAGTGATGTATACCCTACCTTGATAGTGCTATGTGTAGTGTCAGTGGAAGATACAGTGATGTATACTCTACTGTCATAGTGCTATGTGTAGTGTCAGTGGAAGATATAGTGATGTATACCCTATCGTCAAAGTGCTATGTGTAGTGTCAGTGGAAGATACAGTGATGTATACCCTACTGTCATAGTGCTATGTGTAGTGTCAGTGGAAGATATAGTGATGTATACCCTACCTTGATAGTGCTATGTGTAGTGTCAGTGGAAGACACAGTGATGTATACCCTACTGTCATAGTGCTATGTGTAGTGTCAATGGAAGATACAGTGATGTATACCCTACTGTCATAGTGCTATGTGTAGTGCCAGTGGAAGATATAGTGATGTATACCCTACCGTCATAGTGCTATGTGTAGTGTCAGTGGAAAATATAGTGATGTATACCCTTCCGTCATAGTGCTATGTGTAGTGTCAGTGGAAGATATAGTAACGTATACCCTACTGTCATAGTGCTATGTGTAGTGTCAGCGGAAAATGTAGTGATGTATACCCTACCGTCATAGTGCTATGTGTTGTGTCAATGGAAGATATAGTGATGTATACCCTACCGTCATAGTGCTATGTGTAGTGTCAATGGAAGATATAGTGATGTATACCCTATCGTCAAAGTGCTATGTGTAGTGTCAATGGAAGATATAGTGATGTATACCCTACCTTGATAGTGCTATGTGTAGTGTCAATGGAAGATATAGTGATGTATACCCTACTGTCATAGTGCTATGTGTAGTGTCAGTGGAAGATATAGTGATGTTGATCATCTAATGGGTAGGATAAAGCCAATAACACTATACGTTGGGGATACACGGATGAAGATGCAAAGGTCAGACAGGTGCTTTCAGTGTTTATCAACAAACATGGCGTCGGCCTTGTCAATCCGTGAATTAATCATCGGGAATCTGGAGAAACGACAGGGATAATTGCTATTATTATCGAAACAATAGTCAAAGATACTGAAAATCAGTGTCTATCGGGGACATAGCTGAGGTATTTTACAAGTTTTGGCAACTTTGGAGATAATTTAGCGAGGAAAAAGCCAAGCGGGATCAGTTCCCTTAACTATGCTTGTGGACCTCTGCTGGTTGGGTCCTTTTCTCGAATTCAAAACAGTTGGATTTGGCCGAAATATGTCCCAGTTGTTACTGTGTTTCATTTTGTTGTTGTGTATACATCTGATTGCACTTCGTAACGTTATGACAGGACAGGCCGAATAAACAAACGTGACGTCTCATAGACTAGGGTTAGAGTAGCCTTCCTTTGATAAAAGGCAGTTATTCTAGCGGGCGGACCGATGGACTGTCGCCCAAGGCAAGAAGAAACGATATGTGTAGGCAATTGTTATTTTGCCTAAATGCAGTTTCGCCACTGTCCAAGATTTGCAGGGAAACTGGCAATGTTTAGGTCAGTGTTTATGAGGGAGGAGAACAGGTTTTTCGACGACAGAAATTAAGTGAGTGAGTTTGGTTTAACGCCGCTTTTAACAGTATTCCAGTATCAGCTGTGTCAGCTTAATGTGGGAGGAAAGCCCGAAGTGATGCAGATCTCAGACGTTTACCACTTCGGTGAAACCCACGAGCACGGGTATGGTGCTGACACATAATCGGGACGAACCGGGATTCGAACCCACAATCATAGGTTTCTGGCATGCCAAGGGACGCAACTCTGCGCAGCGAATCGCGGCCCCTTAGACAACTGGGCCACCCTTGCCCCCTGACAGAAATAAAGATAAAGACGTCATCACGCTTGTGTGTTTGGGGATGATAAACATCGTGTATTAGGAATATATACTATGTATTTAGCTCGACAATGCTCGCTAAATACAATGTTTATTCCATATACAGGATATTTACCATCCCACAACACACTCGCTTGATAACCTCTATATATCCTACCTCCATTGTCAGTGATGACCGGTCATGTCCAGATGCAGGTGACCACCAGGGTTATCCGAATGAAGTAGACAGATCCTGAACAGACAGTTCACCCAGTCAATGTGACCCTCGTGCATGGGGATGTATTGACGTCGTTGTCGTCGTGCCCTAGCACTTCTGTCACGTGTCGCTGTCGGGGTACACTCCCTTATCAAACTGATGTTTGACCGGTTACCTTACAGAAGATTCATTGACTTCGCTGTTTAAACCATAACGAGTTGTGTTAGGACATACTCAAACATAACACGGAGTGTATACAGGGCGTCCCCAATTAGAGTCAGGAGGGCGGGGAAATGTGTGTTTAACATTGTTATGATGTACCTTGATAGGCCAGGCGTGCCTCCTTTACAGGACTGCAACAAAGAATATAATTACGAAGGGTCAGTCGTGTTTGTTTAAAGCACTGTGTAAACTGCATAATTATCAAGCCTTCTCGTCTCTCACTAAACTAACTCAGTTTTTCGAGTGCAACACAAAAAGCTTGTCAACTAGTGTTTTGCCTGGAAATCGATAAGAGCTTTTTAACATCTTTGAAACTCGGTCCTTTCTCCTGGCATCGACCCGGCTATGGTTGAGTTGGCTGCTGTCATGGTTGTCAACACAGAAGACATGGTTCTACCAATGACCTCGCCGCGACTGGCAGACCAACCCGTGAGTGCCACATAACAGCGGACCACGTCGCCATGTGTTGAAGATTGACATACAGCTCATGTATAATCTATAACTGGGTCTAATAGTAAACTGTTGGAACAAGGAGACTTTTCCTTGGAATCAATTAATGACGTGAGCACTCGGCGACACCAGTGTATACATATGTATACAGTGTGGAGCGCGAATCAAGTCATCACTGCATCAACATAACGTGTAATCCTTGTATCTGATACGCCTCTCTGTGAACCACATGTAACCAAGTGTTATCACTATACACATCAGGTTTATCCTTGAATCTGATACTCCTCTGCGGATCCCATGTTTATTTGTTTGTGTGTTTGTTTGTTGTTTAACTCAGCAATATTCCCGCTATATAACGGCGGTCTGTAAATAATCGCGTCTGGACCAGACAATCCAGTGGTTGAAAGCATGAGCATCCATCCACGCAATTGGGATACGATGACCTGCATCAACTAAGTCTTGGCCTCACCACCAGATCCCGTTAGCCGCCTCTGAATCAAATGTTACTAAATGTCATCACTATAGGTTGAGAACAAGGATGAAATCGTGATCATCACCAGACAGACGCTGCCAGATGAGCTCATGGAGTCCCTCAAATCATGATCAAACTCAAACTGACACCGAACAGTCAAACCTCAACTGTTGATCTTGACAGTGGCAAAGAGTCCGATTCAATGTTTGCTAAATTCCAGCTAAACACTGGCTATCAGCAATAGCAATCTCATTGACCTGTGTTGACATTGTTCCCAGTACTAAATATGCGCCACAAACAATCAATGGGAGACACACTGGTGTTAAATCTGCAACAACTTCATAAACTGGCGTCAAACGTAATCTGCACCAAGTGTTGTGTGACAAACTACACTCTTCTGACGTTGACGCTTCAAATTCCACGTTCTCGTACCAGTCTGAAGATAGAATAGATCTTCAGCAACCCATGCTTGCCGTAACAGGTGACTATGCTTGTCGTAAGAGGCGACTAAAGGGATCGGGTGGTTAGGCTCGCTGACTTGGTTGATGCATGTTTTCGTATCTCATTTTTGTGGATCGATCCTCATGATGTCAATCACTGGATTGTCTGGTCCAAACTCGATTATTTACAGACCGCCGTCACATAGCTGGAATATTGCTGAGCGCAAAACAAAAGAACAAAGCTCCTTGTCTCAACTCCACTCACACGATAATGTCAACTAAACAATGTGATACATGTATAACCTATAGGCTTATAATGCGATCAGTTTTTAAAATAGTAGTAAACATCTTAACTAAATGTTTTCACACCCCATTGATATGCTTAGATTTTTTTATTCAATTGACCTCTATCAAGGATAGTCAAGAAAACATCTAGACCAGAATACAATACAATGATCTATTGTCTTTTCTTAAGCTTGCAACTACTTGTCCACTGTTTGATAAAAGGTTCACAAAACTCATTAAAGAAAGTTGTATATTATCATTTTCACAAAATCATATCTGAGTTGATATTACCTTATAAAATTTCACATTGCTCTCTAATGTGGGTTGATGTTTGTTACAAGTTCCGGAATTCTCATTAATGTGAGTTGTGTGTTATAAATTTCACAAGACTCATTAATGTGGATTGATATTTATTTTACATGTCACAAGTCTAACACGACGCATTCATGAGGGTTGGTAGTTCACAAGTTTTACTCAGAAGTTGTTTGATCAAGGTTACAGCACTCGAGGCCTCAGTAAAGCTTTCAAAAAGTTTTATGGTAGACACGTGGAGTACATTTCTAAATTTGACGTATCAGTGACAAAAATTATGTCCGATGCAATTCCCTATTTTGACTTGTGTCATATGTCCCCATGTTTTTTTTCCCAGGTGAACAATTGAATTGCCTATGCATGTGTTTGTGACGGGTGCCACCGGTATGGCAGGACACGCTCACCTTTTCGCGAACACCTGGTATCATTACTATTTGATAGTGATTCATAAACACATGCTCGGAATTGTACAATCGACGCTGCTTTATGCAGAGATTTCTATTGGATATGAAAAGCGTTTTGTCGCTATATTTACAATATTCATTAAGTTGAGTTGATATTTGTTAAACATTTTCACAAGACTCACTAATTAGAGTTGATGTTTACCATAGGTTTCACAATACCAATTAATGTGGGTTGATGCTTATAATATATTTTACAGGACTTTTCAATGTAAGTTGAAATATCTTTGAAACTTCAAAAGACTCATTACTGTGAATTGATAATTATTATAAATCACATAGAAGTACTTAATATGAGTTGATATGTAATATACATTTTACAGGACTTATTAATGTCATTTGAAAAAATTTTAAACTTCAAAAGACTCACTAATGTGGGTTGATACATACATATAGTATAAATTTCACAGGATTCATTAGGGTGAGTGAGTTTTAACGTCTCATCGGCAATATTCCCGTCGTGTACAGGACTCATTAATGTGAGCTGATGTTTATTATATACTCTTCAAAAAAAGAAACTTGACACTGACTTTCAAAATGTAATATAATGCGACTGTTTCAAAATAGGACACAGAAACCATAATTGAAACACTGTTTGAAGATCAATGTACACAATGTTCAAAACATTAATCGTGTCACCTAGACAGACACACGTACACGATACAGTTAATGTCACAGGGGTACAGAAAATGAAAGTATCGGTTGTGCCCACCACGTGCATCAATCACCGCTTGACACCGACGACCCATAGATGCAATCAAGTTGTCAATAACACGCTGTTGGATGTGCTGCCATTCACGCTGAAGTGCATCAAGAAGCGCCGCAAGTGTTTGGGGCGGTGGATTCCTTCTGCGGACGCGTCGATCCAACTCGTCCCACAGATGCTCAATCGGGGACAAATCTGGTGACCGGGCTGGCCAAGGTAATGTCTAGATGTTGTTGTGCTGTAAGAAGTCCTGACAAACACGTGCAATATGCGGTCTATCGTTGTCCTGCTGGAACTGTCCGCCATGAACGTTGACGTGAGGAAGAACGTAAGGCTGTAGGATCAAGTCTCTGTAACGCACACCTGTCAATGCACCGGCCACATGCACAAGAGGCGTCCTACCACCATGATGAATTCCGGCCCATACCATGACACTCACGCCGCCAAATGGGAAAACCTGCTGCACACAGTTGGGGGCGTTACGTTCACCCCGACGTCTGTAGACACGTGCGCGCCCATCAGCACGTGTGAGTAGGAAACGGGACTTGTCAGTAAACAGTACATTTCTCCACCTTGCACGTGCCCATCTAACCCTCTGTTGGCACCAAAGCAGACGGTCCGCCAGATGACGTGGGGTCAATACATGACGTCGAACAGGTCTTCGTGCAAAAAGTCCAGCCTCCCTCAGTCTGTTGCGTACCGTTTGATCTGATATTCTGCGTACCCCAGGGATCAGTGTGGTTGTAGACGTGGCTGTGGTAGTGCGGTCTCGGAGGTGTCGCAGCCGGATGTATCGATCTTGTGCTTGGGATGTCACCCTTGGTCTTCCTGACCTTGGTCTGTCGTCAACTCTGTTGGTGTTGTTGTATCGGGTCCACAGTGCGGAGATTGTCGGTCTGGATACGCCAAAGTGCCTGGCCACTTCTTGCTGAGTTGCTTCAGCTTGTAATCTCCCAATGGCGTTGTTCCGTTGAGCTGCATTCAGTCTTGGCATTCTGTCACCGCCTCTACTGCCGTTATAACGACTGTATGAACAGCCGTTGATGTGGATTTTTATACCCATTCAGCAGGGGGGCCTGCATGTCTTAATGCAGGATCCTGTGCTGCACGTTTTTTACAGGCGGTTGCGTTTGGATGAAGCTGTAAAATTGATCCCCAAACGCTACGTTTATGTGCTCTGCATGTGTTTTCGCGAATTATAGACACATCATCTTTCTGTTTGACTTATTTGGTTCTCATTTAATGTAATTATTTTAGATATTTGGAAAAAAGTGGTTTTACATCTATGTCAAGTTTCTTTTTATGAAGAGTATAGTTTATTTTCAAATGAAAGTTCTCACTTACTTCCTCATGTTTAAATTGAATCTTCTACATAAAATTACTCTGCAATAGTGTGTCAACCTCAGTGAGACATCCAGCTTCCAGTTTCTCATTAACTAATGTAGTGAAACTCACTGTGGTAATCTGGTCGGGTGGTACAAATCCAGCGGCCTGAAGGTGTCATCTCTTCTCAATGAACTTGAAATCGTTTTCTCACTGTGCAAAGCGTGCAGCACGTGCGCCACGTTTAACCTGTTACTTAGTAAAAAGTTGCCATAAATTATTGACGCTTTTCTGTTTGCTGGAAGCATTTGCCAGCGTTTCTTGATTATAAAATATATATGTACATCTCATGATGTCAAAACTTCACATTTTTTATATACATTATTGAGGAATGATGATTAACATCACTCCGCCTTACCTTTGTAAGTTGTATTTCTACACTGTACATGTTTGTATTTCTACACAGTACATGTTTGTTTTTCTACACAGTACATGTTTGTTTTTCAACTCTGCACATGTTTGTATTCCTACACTGCACGTTTGTATTCCTACACTGCACATGTTTGTATTTCTACACTGTACATGTTTGTATTTCTACACAGTACATGTTTGTTTTTCTACACAGTACATGTTTGTTTTTCAACTCTGCACATGTTTGTATTCCTACACTGCACGTTTGTATTTCTACACTGTACGTGCTTGTATTTCTACACTGTACATGTTTGTATTTCTACACTGTACATGTTTGTATTTCAACTCTGCACATGTTTGTATTTCTACACTGTACATGCTTGTATTTATTCACTGTACATGTTTGTATTTCTACACTGTACATGTTTGAATTTCTACACTGCACGTTTGTATTTCTACACTGTACATGTTTGTATTTCTACACTGTACATGTTTGTATTTCTACACTGCACGTTTGTATTTCTACACTGTACATATTTGTATTTCTACTCTGCACATGTTTGTATTCCTACACTACACGTTTGTATTTCTACACCGTACGTGCTTGTATTTCTACACTGTACATGTTTGTATTTCTACACTGTACATGCTTGTATTTCTACACTGTACATGTTTGTATTTCTACACTGTACATATTTGTATTTCTATACTGTACATATTTCAACACTTTTGCACTCGTTTTTTTTCCCTTATTATGTCGTTCAAGATATTTTGTTATCAGTTGTCGGCTGTTGTGTTAGTATATCTTGTCAATGCATTTTCTGCCCTCTCATGTTGTGGGGACATTTAGCCCAACCCGGGGCCGTCTCAAAATCACTGTGGAAATATTAATATCATCGACCTGAATCTACGAAGCTTGAAGGTTGGTTGGTTTGTTGTTTTACGCCGAACTCAGCAAGATTCCAGCTATATGACGGCGGTCTGCAAATAATCGAGTCTGGACCAGGCAACCCAGTGATTAATATCATGAGCATCGATCTACGCAATTGGGATCGATGACATGCATCAACCAAGTCAGCGAGCCTGACCACCCGATCCCGTTAGTCGCCTTTTACGACAAGCATAGTCACCGAAGCTTGAAGGACAAGCTTGAAGGACAAGGTTGAATTTCACTCTTTTGTTGTAATTTATTTAGCTGAAACATGGATTCATTGTGGAATGTAATAGTGGTACTATATTCCTGGATTTCATACACCTTAAGAAAAGACAGGCAAAGTCGAGGGCGAGGCACTGCTGTATGTTAAAAGCAGCCTGTGTGTCAGATATATGGATACATTGAATATCTCTGGTCTGGTGACTTTGTGGGTCCAGATTAAGTGCAAACATCGTAGTTATCCCATTCGTACATTTTACCGGGCAGATCGGAGTGAAGCTTTCTGGGAACTCATTGATCTGTCAGTCGGAAACGCTATTGATTGAAATATGTATATTTTTTAACTGGAGATTTTAATTTAGACATTCTTAATGACAGCAAACCTAAAATAGATTATCTAAAATCAATGTACAGTTTGACCCAGATTACTGGTGATTCTACCCGAGTTACACCTAGCTACTTTCTGCACTCTGATTGATTGATTGATTATTTGTGACAAATGTTGACAGTGTACGGGACTCCGGTGTTGTATGTCCGATCTGAAGTGACTACTGTCCAATATCTACGCGCATCAAGGAAGACTATAAAAACTATAAAAGGAAATTTTACACTTATGTCCTTGCTGATGTAGATGGTCTGAAAAACGCGTTTGATAACATCAAATGGGACTCTTTGTCGTCCTCGGAAGACGTAAACGTAATAGCAGAAATTTCGACCTGTTCAGTTGCAAACGTATGTACCAAACATATACCAAATAAAGATGTAAGAATAAGACCTAGGGATCCACGTTGAATGAAAAACGAGGTTTACAGAATGACCAGAAAGGTGAAGTTTGCCAACCGACTGGGCATCATTTAGATAACTAAAAAATAAAGACACTTCTGCTGTCCGTGAAAGAATGTTTAAACTATTGACAGAAAAATAAATGATTTATCTAAACAAATTGTACGACATAGAAGACATAGCAAATTTATTACATGACAAGGCAGTAGTGGATTATCCAGATAAAACCTCTCTCGATATTGATAAAATCATAGATAGCCCCTTATGTGAATTGGGTGCAGGCTAAAACGGCACCTCAGCAAAACGTCACCGATTTCTCTGGCGAAAACGGCACCGCATTTGGCGAAAATTATACTTAGTTGTAAAAAGTTGAGGTTATCCTTCTTTCAGTCGACACGACTAAAGCAACAGGGCGTAATGGGAGAGGAAACAGATTAAATAAATTAACTGCCACCGGTGTAGCGCCAATATTGGTAACAATGTTCAATATCTCACTCCATAATTCGGTCATTTGGAAAGAGGCATCAGTTATTCCTATCCAAAAGAAAGGTAACGAAAATGATTGTTCCTATTATAGACCTGTAGGGCTTACTAGCTGCATGGCCAAGGTATTTGAAAATGTATATTTAAGTATGTATTCAGTTACTTTAGAGATAAAACTATGTTGACTCATTTACAATCTGGCTTTATGCCTGGTCATTCCAGTTCAAATCGATTAACGTATTTGTACGACTTCATAGCACGTGCTGTAGAGGACGGCAACGAAATTAGAGCCGTTTTTGTGATATCAGTAAAGCTATCGAAAAGGTTTGGCACAGGGGGATCACACACAAACGTTATTCATGTGGCATTAAGGGGAAATTATTTAAATGGTTCAAAGCAAAGGGCAGTTGCTTATTATTAGAATTATTCTCCAACACGATTGCTTTTGGAGATATCATATCAGTGAAGTAGTTAAAACAGTTAATCCTGTGATAAATTGTCTCATAAATTTTAAATATGGTTTAAAACATTAGAAACTATGCACACGCGTTCTATATGCCAGGATGGACAGTCACATCTGGGATAACAGCTCAAAGGAGCAGTCACTGATGCTTGAAAAACTAAACTTTGATTCGCTAAGACCTATATGTGGAGGCGGTTCATGGTAATAGTCACTGCCAAATATATAAAGAAAATATTTTATGCCTCTAAGTGAAAGAAGACATCAAACCGTATAAACTGCTTTTTACAAAAGACTTGGCTCCTGTGACCTCTACGGTGGCAGATTTAAAATGTGGCAGCTTATCCAAATTGTTCTTGCGGCTACCACTATAAAGATGCACTCCACCTGTCTTTACCTGTACCAACTACACTGTCCTGAGGAAACATATATGTTTACTCAAAAGGTTATGATCTAAACTGTAGTCTTTATGGCCAATTCAAATGTCACAGCAAAGAGTAATTTAGAAATACTAAAATCTGTTCGTGAATATATGACATATATTATAGATAGCAACTTCTTTTATTCTTTGTTCGACTTTTCAGAGCTACTTCTTGCTCATTCATCAGGTGAATGCTTAGTAATATAGTTATATGTATATGTGACACGTTTACCATCCTAGACATGGGCCAGGAACCCGAAGCCCTTGTGGACCACCTCAACATTCAACACCAAGAATCAAGTTCACCATGGAAACAGAAACCCACCACCAATTACCCTTCCTCGATGAACAACTCGACAACAGTCCACACTGCCGTCTCAAACCCACTCACACGGACCAGTACATTCACTACATGTCAAACCACCATCCTCAGATCAAACAAGCGACTATGCTTGTCGTAAAAGGCGACTAACAGGATCGGGTGGTCAGGCTCGCTGACTTGGTTGATGCATGTCATCGATCCCAATTGCGTGGATCGATGCTCATGATGTCAATCACTGGATTGTCTGGTCCAGACTCGATTATGTTACAGACCGCCGTCATATAGCTGGAATATTGCTGCGTGCGGCGTTAAACAACAAACCAAACCAAAACCAGATCAGACCAAACAAGCCATATTTGCCATCCTCACCCGACGAGCCAAACCTTCATGGTTTATTCTCCCTGCAGTGTTTTATTATCCCCTAAACAACTCCCACTCATCGTTTATTTCTTATGAGATATCAACATTGCGTACTGCTTCTTTAAGGATGTTAGTAAAAACAACACGCTTTAAAATATGTACCCATATTTAAATAATGATGACTCCCTAAATAGAATCGGACCGGATTGTCGGACAAGTCCATTTTATTTACAGGTAGGTATTTCCCGTATATTTTCACAATCCTCATGTCGATAACCTGTGTTCCCTCGAACACCCCCCCCCCCCCCCCCCAACATGTTTTATCGAGAAATAATTCGTTCTTCATTGTTCTGTGCGATTTCGCGCAGCTATATTGCTGTAGAATAAAAATGTTGTCGCATATCTATTTATTTTAGTGTGTATGTCTAATCCTTGCACTGTTTCAATAACATATGGAACCTCCGTGGTCTAGTAATAGAGCGTCCGCCCGAAGAGTGGAAGGTCCGGGGTTCGATCCCAGGCCGCGTCACACCAAAATATGTTAAAAGATGGTACTTGTTGTTACCTTGTCTGGCGCTCGGCATTCAGGGGTTAAAACAAGGACCGATCGGCTCGGAGTCAGTATACTGTGTCTTGGTGGGGGTATTCATGTTAACCTGCGGCATGGTATCTCAGTGAGCATCAGTCCGGACTAGTACACGGAGGCACGCACGCACGCACGCACGCACGCACGCACGCACACGTGCATGCACTTCGCTATATAAGTGCAATAATCTTGGACGCGACGATAAACCCAATTTCACCACTTCAATAACATGTCAGTGTAAATCCACACACTATTTTAGTGTTGATGTCTGCAGCAATGAATTATTCCAACATAGAAAGGATCAGACATACACTAAACATAATTTAGATATGCACCAACTTGAGTCTTCAAACAGTGATAACATATTGGCAGTGCATTTCAGCAGGAAGTTTTCCCTACAAAGATATTTGCCGCACAAGAAAAACATATCCCACACTCAAAAGAGAAAATTTATTTCAGCATGTTATGCACTAGGTTACATTGATTTAAACAAAATCTGACAGATCTGTTAAGAAGTTACCCTAAGATCTAATACAGATTGATGACATCATAGCACGTGTCGGAGGTTGCCAAAGAGTCTGCTACAGACTGATGTTGTCCTTGTGCTACTACAGATTGATGAGGTTTGGGTGCGGCTACAGATTGAAGACATCATAGCCGTGTCGGAGGTTGCCAAAGGGTCTGCTACAGACTGATGTTGTCCTTGTGCTACTACAGATTGATGAGGTTTGGGTGTGGCTACAGATTGAAGACATCATAGCGCCTGTCAGAGGTTACCACAGTGTCTGCTACAGACTATCGTAGCTATGTTTTATGAGTGTTATCGAATCAACTCTATCATGTATGGCATTTTTCCATCTTTGATTTCATTGACAATCAGTTTCTATAAACATTTTACATTTGTACACAGTGTGTGGCACAACAACATCATAAGAGAGTGGCATCAATACACAGGACCATGATACAGAGTGCATATTACATCATGGATGCAAATATAGATGTTGCATAACATTCATGAGGTGTGTTAGAAACTTATAAAAAATATATATTTCAATGAATCAATATGTATTTATATTGAAAATGTCAACAAAGTGTAAATAACCTTGAGTAAAGGTTTGTTTTGATCCTGTGCATGAATGTAACTATTTAACAAAGAACATCAACATGTATTACCCAGAGCAGATCACATCCACACATATCAAGTCAAAACATGCTGTAGATATCAAACTGGTATAACATATAGTTGAGCATGGTATAAGACACATGTCATAATCTGGTATAACACATGGCATAATCTGGTAAAACACACATGGTACTACCTGGTATAACACACATGGCATAACCTGGTATAACACACATGGCATAACCTGGTATAACACACATGGCATAACCTGGTATAACACACATGGTACTACCTGGTATAACACACATGGCATAATCTGGTATAACACACATGGCATAACCTGGTATAACACACATGGCATAACCTGGTATAACAAACATGGCATAACCTGGTATAACACACATGGTACTACCTAGTATAACACACATGGCATAACCTGGTATAACACACATGGCATAACCTGGTATAACACACATGGCATAACCTGGGATAACACACATGGCATAACCTGGTATAACAAACAAAGCATAATCTGGTATAACACATGGTATAACCTGGTATAACACACATAGTACTACCTGGTATAACACACATGGCATAACCTGGTATAACAAACATGGCATAATCTGGTATAACAAACATGGCATAACCTGGTATAACACACATGGTACTACCTAGTATAACACACATGGCATAACCTGGTATAACACACATGGCATAACCTGGTATAACAAACATGGCATAATCTGGTATAACACACATGGTACTACCTGGTATAACACACATGGCATAACCTGGTATAACAAACATGGCATAACCTGGTATAACACACATGGTACTACCTAGTATAACACACATGGCATAACCTGGTATAACACACATAGTACTACCTGGTATAACACATGGCATAATCTGGTATAACACATGGTACTACCTAGTATAACACACATGGCATAACCTGGTATAACACACATAGTACTACCTGGTATAACAGACATGGCATAATCTGGTATAACACATGGTACTACCTGGTATAACACACATGGCATAACCTGGTATAACACTATCGGGATAACCTGGTATTACAGACATGGCATAATCTGGTATAATACATGGTATAACTTGTATCACATGCAGGGTATAAACAGGACCTGCTGCTTGAGGTAGAAACTGTCATGGCTGACAACCTTGTTTTACAGCAGGGTAGAACTGACCATGAATCATTGTCAACTCCACAACCTGCATGTACGGTTTGAGCAGACACAGCAAGAGAAAGTGTAATCAATTCAGGAGTTCAAGATACAGGAATGTCATGCGATTGGACGGAGGCATATTGGTAGCGAATAACAACAAATACATTGCAAATATATACTTGTAACACAACTCATATCACAGTAATACATAATAATAGCATAGCTGTACAGCCAAAACAGAACATACAAAACAAAAGTTGTAAAAATAAATAAAGAGATGATGTGCAAGGCGCAAACTAAAAACTCATAATAAATTGTGTTATCACAGAACATTCAATACCCTGACAAGAAGTTATTATGCTGGAATATTCATACAAATATAAAAACTGCATCAAAGATTATCCTGGAATAGGTTGCATCCTAGTAGCAGGTTATTATGCTGTATTACACAAACATCCGGCTCTACACAAACCCTGGGTCTACACAAACATCCGGGTCTACACAAACATCAGGGTCTACACAAACATCCGGGTCTACACAAACATCCGGGTCTACAAAAACATCCAGGTCTGCACAAACTCCGGGTCTACACAAACTCCGGGTCTACACAAACTCCGGGTCTACACAAACATCCGGGTCTACACAAACATCCGGGTCTACACAAACTCTGGGTCTACACAAACATCCGGGTCTGCACAAACATCCGGGTCTGCACAAACATCCGGGTCTGCACAAACATCTGGGTCTACACAAACATCCGGGTCTACACAAACATCCGGGTCTACACAAACTCGGGGTCTACACAAACATCCGGGTCTGCACAAACATCCGGGTCTGCACAAACATCCGGGTCTGCACAAACATCTGGGTCTGCACAAACATCCGGGTCTGCACAAACATCCGGGTCTGCACAAACATCTGGGTCTGCACAAACATCGGGGTCTGCACAAACATCCAGGTCTACACAAACATCCAGGTCTGCAAAAACTCCGGGTCTACACAAACATCCGGGTCTACACAAACATCCAGGTCTGCACAAACATCCGGGTCTGCACAAACATCCGGGTCTGCACAAACATCCGGGTCTACACAAACATCCAGGTCTGCACAAACTCCGGGTCTACACAAACATCCGGGTCTACACAAACTCGGGGTCTACACAAACTCCAGGTCTACACAAACATCCGGGTCTACACAAACTCGGGGTCTACACAAACATCCGGGTCTGCACAAACATCCGGGTCTGCACAAACATCTGGGTCTGCACAAACATCCGGGTCTACACAAACATCCGGGTCTACACAAACATCCGGGTCTACACAAAGTCTGGGTCTACACAAACATCCGGGTGTGCACAAACATCCGGGTCTACACAAACTCGGGGTCTACACAAACATCTGGGTCTACACAAACATCCAGGTCTACACAAACATCTGGGTCTACACAAACATCTGGGTCTGCACAAACATCCGGGTCTACACAAACATCCGGGTCTGCACAAACATCTGGGTCTACACAAACATCCGGGTCTGCACAAACATCCAGGTCTGCACAAACATCCGGGTCTACACAAACATCCGGGTCTACACAAACATCCGGGTCTACACAAACATCCGGGTGTGCACAAACATCCGGGTCTGCACAAACATCTGGGTCTGCACAAACATCCGGGTCTACACAAACATCCGGGTGTGCACAAACATCTGGGTCTACACAAACATCTGGGTCTGCACAAACATCCGGGTCTACACAAACATCCCGGTCTACACAAACATCCGGGTCTACACAAAGTCTGGGTCTACACAAACATCCGGGTGTGCACAAACATCCGGGTCTACACAAACTCGGGGTCTACACAAACATCTGGGTCTACACAAACATCCAGGTCTACACAAACATCTGGGTCTACACAAACATCTGGGTCTGCACAAACATCCGGGTCTACACAAACATCCGGGTCTGCACAAACATCTGGGTCTACACAAACATCCAGGTCTACACAAACATCCAGGTCTGCACAAACATCTGGGTCTACACAAACATCCGGGTCTACACAAACATCTGGATCTACACAAACATCCAGGTCTACACAAACATCTGGGTCTACACAAACATCTGGGTCTGCACAAACATCCGGGTCTACACAAACATCCGGGTCTGCACAAACATCTGGGTCTACACAAACATCCAGGTCTACACAAACATCCAGGTCTGCACAAACATCCGGGTCTACACAAACATCCGGGTCTACACAAACATCCGGGTCTACACAAACATCCGGGTCTGCACAAACATCCGGGTCTGCACAAACTCCAGGTCTACACAAACTCCGGGTCTGCACAAACTCCAGGTCTACACAAACATCCGGGTCTGCACAAACTCAGGGTCTACACAAACATCCAGGTCTGCACAAACGTCCAGGTCTACACAAACTCAGGGTCTACACAAACATCCAGGTCTGCACAAACATCCGGGTCTGCACAAACTCAGGGTCTACACAAACATCCAGGTCTGCACAAACAACCGGGTCTGCACAAACTCCGGGTCTACACAAACATCCGGGTCTGCACAAACTCCGGGTCTACACAAACATCCAGGTCTGCACAAACTCCGGGTCTACACAAACATCCAGGTCTGCACAAACATTGTGGGTTTGGGATGAAGATAACAGTGAGCTTAGACATGGATGTAGGCAACAATGGTTACATACATATCCTAGTTAGACAGATCAGACAGCTGCATGTATATCCTGGTTAATATCAAGGGCATGGAAAGTTATGTATGGCACTCAAGGAAACATTGCTCACACAAAATGAATGTACTGGCTTGTGGATTAGCTACACAGACACAAAGCCATCTACAGAATCAAGCTGGGGACATGTCCTCACTGTAAGGAGCAGGCTTTGCTCTGATTGGTGCTCCCTTTCTTGCTCCCAGCATTGGATAACTCGGCTGCCACTCCTGTGGCCTTGAACTTTGACTTGGAGCTTTTGCGGTTAATGGGTGGCATCTTTGAGGGAGGCGACACTGCTGTAGGACTCTTAGATTTGCTGCCACTGTTGCTGCTTCGAACTGGGGCCATGTTGTTGTCAGAGTTGTCTCTCTTGGCACTGCTGAGATCAGAGTTGTCTCTCTTTTCACTGCTGAGGTCAGAGTTGTCTCTCTTTTCACTGCTGAGGTCAGAGTTGTCTCTCTTTGCACTGCTGAGGTCAGAGTTGTCTCTCTTGGCACTGCTGGAGCTCTGGGGCATGGTCGTCTTGGATTTGTCTCCCTTGGACTTCATCAGCTCAGTGCGACTGTCACTCTTTGGCAGGCTGGGTGCTGCTGCCGTGTCTGTGGTCTTAGAGGCAGTTGGAGTCTTGAACGGTATTTTGGCTTTGCCTGCAAAATAAACAATCTCTCTGACTACACGGTGACAGTCATTGTATGCTGTCGGGAACAATATCTGGTGAGATGGGTATAAGACAAAGAGGTGAGGTGAGGTGAAATTGGGTTTAACGTCACGTCCATGATTATTGCACATATAGGGACGTGCATGCATGTGTGTGTGTGGTTGCTTGTACTAGGTGGGGCTGATGCCGATTTATAGTGCTAGCCCACTGAGATACCATGTCGCAGTTTAACATGAATACCTCACTCAGAAACAGTATACTGACTCCGAGCCGACCAGTTCTTGTTTTAGCCCCTCAATGCCAAGCGCCAGACAGGGTAACAACAAGTACCATCTTTTAACGTCTTTTGGTATGACGCGGGGATCTCCCGGCGGACGCTTGTTTAAGACAAAGAGCATACATTACGGCCACACAGTGAGTACAGGATGAGAAGAACAGCACTACCTTTCTTCAATTGAGGTTTCTCTCCTCTCTTCCTCCTGTACACATCACTCTTCTCAATCAGCTCCTTCAGGAGAAGATCCTCACGGAACACGACCTTCCTCTGGTTGAGTCGAGTTCCTACATTACGACTCAGCTTGGTGATCCGTGGTCCGCTCTGGTGTTTATCGCACAGCCAGAACACCTTCCCACTGGGTAGATGACACCTGGAACAAAGGAGATAATCAGAACACCCTCCCACTAGGTAGATGACACCTGTAGCAAGGGAGATAATCAGGACACCCTCCCACTTGGTAGATAACACCTAAACAAGGGAGATAATCAGGACACCCTCCCCCTGGGTAGATGACACCTGTAGCAAGGGAGATAATCAGGACACCCTCCCCCTGGGTAGATGACACCTGTAGCAAGGGAGATAATCAGGACACCCTCCCACTTGGTAGATAACACCTAAACAAGGGAGATAATCAGGACACCCTCCCCCTGGGTAGATGACACCTGTAGCAAGGGAGATAATCAGGACACCCTCCACCTGGGTAGATGACACCTGTAGCAAGGGAGATAATCAGGACACCCTCCCACTTGGTAGATAACACCTAAACAAGGGAGATAATCAGGACACCCTCCCCCTGGGTAGATGACACCTGTAGCAAGGGAGATAATCAGGACACCCTCCCACTTGGTAGATAACACCTAAACAAGGGAGATAATCAGGACACCCTCCCCCTGGGTATATGACACCTGTAGCAAGGGAGATAATCAGGACACCCTCCCCCTGGGTAGATGACACCTGTAGCAAGGGAGATAATCAGGACACCCTCCCCCTGGGTAGATGACACCTGTAGCAAGGGAGATAATCAGGACACCCTCCCACTTGGTAGATAACACCTAAACAAGGGAGATAATCAGGACACCCTCCCCCTGGGTAGATGACACCTGTAGCAAGGGAGATAATCAGGACACCCTCCCCCTGGGTAGATGACACCTGTAGCAAGGGAGATAATCAGGACACCCTCCCACTTGGTAGATAACACCTAAACAAGGGAGATAATCAGGACACCCTCCCCCTGGGTAGATGACACCTGTAGCAAGGGAGATAATCAGGACACCCTCCCACTTGGTAGATAACACCTAAACAAGGGAGATAATCAGGACACCCTCTACCTGCTAAACTTGTTGAGAAAATGTGCCAACCTGCTCAACTGGTTGAGGAAAGATGCCAACCTACTCAACTGGTAGAGGCAAGGTGCCTACCTGCTCAACTGATTGAGGAAAGATTACTACCTGCTCACCTGGTTGTGGAAAGGTTACTACTTGCTCAACTGGTTGTGGAAAGGTTCCTACCTGCTCAACTGGTTGTGGAAAGGTTCCTACCTGCTCAACTAGTTGTGGAAAGGTTCCTACCTGCTCAACTGGTTGAGGAATGACTCGGCCTGTTTCTCATTGTCCAGGAGGATCGTCCTCATAGATTGGTATGCCTCCAGAAAGTCCGAACCCTGGGCTTCCTGTCAACACATGAACACATGAAATATTACATACACATGTCTTCCATACACACTTCTTACACACCCAACAACACTGGCACAATGACACAAAATCAGCTTCAGATCAGGTCAGCATCTTATTGTTACGCCCTACGTAGTCTACACAAGTAGATGACCCCTTCAATGGGGGAGGTGCCCTACATAGTCTACACAAGTAGATGACCCCTTCAATGGGGGAGGTGCCCTACGTAGTCTACACAAGTAGATGACCCCTTTAATGGGGGAGGTGCCCTACGTAGTCTACACAAGTAGATGACCCTCTGACAGGGGAGGTGTATTGTTACACCCTACGCAGTCTACACAAGTAGATGACCCCTTTAATGGGGGACATGCCCTATGTAGTCTACACAAGTAGATGGCCACTTTAATGGGGGACATGCCCTATGTAGTCTACACAAGTAGATGGCCACTTTAATGGGGGACATGCCCTATGTAGTCTACACAAGTAGATGAGACCTGTGACGGGAGGTGTATTGTTACGCCCTACGTAGTCTACACAAGTAGATGGCCCTCTGACAGGGGAGGTGTATTGTTACACCCTACGTAGTCTACACAAGTAGATGACCCCTATAATGGGGGACATGCCCTATGTAGTCTACACAAGTAGATGGCCACTTTAATGGGGGACATGCCCTATGTAGTCTACACAAGTAGATGGCCACTTTAATGGGGGAGGTGCCCTACGTAGTCTACACAAGTAGATGAGACCTGTGACGGGAGGTGTATTGTTACGCCCTACGTAGTCTACACAAGTAGATGACCCCTGTGACAAGGGAGGTATATTGTTACGCCCTACGTAGTCTACACAAGTAGATGACCCCTGTGACAAGGGAGGTATATTGTTACGCCCTACGTAGTCTACACAAGTAGATGACCCCTGTGGCGGGGTGGTGTATTGTTAACCCTATGTTGTCTACATGAGAGTGTGTCACCTGCTCCACCCAGTCCAGGAACTGCTTGCCGGTGTCTCCACTCAGACAGTTGAGCTGCATGGAACTCTGCCGCAGGATGGCGTAGATGCGAGCCAGGTAGGGAGACACCTTCTTCATCTGACTGACAAACTCCTCCGTCTTCCGTAGAGGGAAGGACTGGTCACACAGGTGCCAACCCTGAGAATACAAACCATAAGTATATCAACATGTAAACTGAACCCTAACACCTCACTATAAGCATGTGTCATCTGTCCTGCGCTAGCCTACCCACCTTCTTGACCCTATCCTGCACAAGAACATGAAGAGTATCCGAGTATGTGAACATATACAAGGTATCTAAGTATATTAACTTATACATATGCTTTTCGTTAGAGGCAACTAACAGGATCGGGTGGTCAGGCCAGCTGACATGGTTGATGCATCATATCCCAATTGCTTAGATTGATGCTCATAACTCAATCACTGGATTGTCGGGTCAAGACCAGTTTATTTAAAGACCGTCGTCATATAGCTGGAATATTGCTGAGTGTAGCGTTAAACAATAAACAAACAAAACAATACAAACAACAGCAATTACATTGTATCCAGGTATTCTGAGTTTTATGTCAACTACTTACCTCCTCAAATTCACACAGCAGTCGTACACCAAAGCTTTCCGACTCCCACCCATCTGTCTCCGGGTTGAAGGCCTGCAACAGAACCAGCATCACCTATGTACTACAAACAGAACCTGCATCACACACAGACAGCCAACAGATCCAGCATCACACACAGACCACCAACAGAACCAGCATCACACACAGACCACCAACAGAACCAGCATCACACACAGACCACCAACAGAACCAGCATCACACAGAGGCTGCCAACAGAACCAGCATCACACACAGACGGCCAACAGAACCAGCATCACACACAGACCACCAACAGAACCAGCATCACACAGAGGCTGCCAACAGAACCAGCATCACACACAGACGGCCAACAGAACCAGCATCACACACAGACCACCAACAGAACCAGCATCACACACAGACCACCAACAGAACCAGCATCACACACAGACCACCAACAGAACCAGCATCACACAGAGGCTGCCAACAGAACCAGCATCACACACAGACGGCCAACAGAACCAGCATCACACACAGACCACCAACAGAACCAGCATCACACAGAGGCTGCCAACAGAACCAGCATCACACACAGACCACCAACAGAACCAGCATCACACACAGACGGTCAACAGAACCAGCATCACACACAGACGGTCAACAGATCTAGCATCACACACAGACGGTCAACAGAACCTGCATCACACACAGACCACCAACAGAACCAGCATCACACACAGACGGTCAACAGATCCAGCATCACACACAGACGGCCAACAGAACCTGCATCACACACAGACCACCAACAGAACCAGCATCACACACAGACCACCAACAGAACCAGCATCACACACAGGCTGCCAACAGAACCAGCATCACACACAGATGGCCAACAGAACCAGCATCACACACAGACCACCAACAGAACCAGCATCACACAGAGACCACCAACAGAACCAGCATCACACACAGACCACCAACAGAACCAGCATCACACACAGACGGTCAACAGAACCAGCATCACACAGACTGCCAACAGATCCAGCATCACACACAGACGGTCAACAGAACCAGCATCACACACAGACGGTCAACAGAACCAGCATCACACACAGGCTGCCAACAGAACCAGCATCCCGCACAGACCACCAACAGAACCAGCATCACACACAGACTGCCAACAGAACCAGCATCACACACAGACTGCCAACAGAACCTGCATCACACACAGACAGCCAACAGAACCAGCATCACACACAGACTGCCAACAGAACCAGCATCCCACACAGACGGCCAACAGATCCAGCATCACACACAGACTGCCAACAGAACCAGCATCACGCACCGATGGCCAACAGAACCAGCATCACACACAGACCACCAACAGATCCAGCATCACACATAGACTGCCAACAGATCCAGCATCACACACCAACCACCAACAGATCCAGCATCGCACACAGACGGCCAACAGAACCAGCATCATACACAGACAGCCAACAGAACCAGCATCACACACAGACTGCCAACAGAACCAGAATACTTGTTCCTCACACACAAGCAAAAAAGGACATTTTATGTAAGATCAACTGACAATGTCAACATTTGTGGGTTGGGGGGCTTCATAATCTGACTAGAACAGCTGCTGATCTGAGAATGGCTGTGAATTGTGATATAAAACACCAATGAGTACCTCAAGGCGGTCACGTGATGTCCGAGAGGCTGTCTTTGGGCGCATTGACGGACGAAGTAACCTGAAGCTAGATCTGAAGCTGTCCTGGGTCTCTGAACACAAAACAGAGAGAAAGAGAGAATTATACTGACACAAAAAGAAGAGTAGAGGCTCTCCATTATCATTGGTCACTACACTGACATCCCACCTGTTCGGGTTCCGGGGGTGGTCACCAGTCTTTGTTGATGCATGTCATCATGTCCCAAAATACAGGGACCAATGATTCCAATCACTAGATTGTCTGGTCCAGATTATTTACAGGCTGCCGTCCAATACTGTTAGTGCAGAATTACAAAAACAAACCAACTGACATCTACACTTTGTCTGCAGAGCTAGAAAAGGATTAATTGTCTACTTGGTCAATTTTCTACAGAATGTTCTGTCAGAGAAACTGTCACTGGCACTCACTCTCTTCAGGCACGCTTGCTATGGTGGCTCTCGCATTGCGTGTAGACGTGGAACCAGGACCTGCAACACAAAGCACACGCTCTGTTTAGAGGCGGTGGCAACACCTGCAACACAAAGCACACGCTCTGTTTAGAGGAGGTGGCAACACCTGCAACACAAAGCACACGCTCTGTTTAGAGGCGGTGGCAACACCTGCAACACAAAGCACACGCTCTGTTTAGAGGAGGTGGCAACACCTGCAACACAAAGCACACGCTCTGTTTAGAGGCGGTGGCAACACCTGCAACACAAAGCACACGCTCTATTTGGAGGCGGTGGCAACACCTGCAACACAAAGCACACGCTCTGTTTAGAGGAGGTGGCAGCACCTGCAACACAAAGCACACGCTCTGTTTAGAGGCGGTGGCAACACCTGCAACACAAAGCACACGCTCTGTTTAGAGGCGGTGGCAACACCTGCAACACAAAGCACACGCTCTGTTTAGAGGCGGTGGCAACACCTGCAACACAAAGCACACGCTCTGTTTAGAGGAGGTGGCAACACCTGCAACACAAAGCACACGCTGTGTTTAGAGGCGTTGGCAACACCTGCAACACAAAGCACACGCTCTGTTTAGAGGCGGTGGCAACACCTGCAACACAAAGCACACGCTCTGTTTAGAGGCGGTGGCAACACCTGCAACACAAAGCACACGCTCTGTTTAGAGGCGGTGGCAACACCTGCAACACAAAGCACACGCTGTGTGTAAAGGAAGAGGAGGCACCTGCAACCCAACTGCATCTGCAACTGGGCGAATCAAACTCTTCCAGGTTCTAAAGCAAACTTCAAAATGATAGTCTCATGTAACATTGAGGATGATTGCCTGCATATCATTTGCTGCGGACACTACAGTAACTGATTCAGACAGTGCCTACCTGGGCTGGGAGCAGCCTGGGACAGGGTGGAGGATCGATCCTGGTGCTTCATGAAGTCAATCACAGCAAGGCGAGGCATCGGTGAGGAGTCCATGCTGGTGATGAAGGAGATGATGTGGCGCATGAAGCGTCGCTGGGTCAACTCATACTCCTCCTGTAGAGGAATGTATCAGATTCATCAGTGGTCACTCTTTGATGAGGACCTGTGGTCAAAACTGACGCTGCCCTCTACTCTAGTTGCTACAGACCCATTCAGACACTTAAAAACAGTTACATCAGACACACCCAGACATAGAATAACAGTCGATACAGACCCACCCAGGCACTGAATATAAGTTGATACAGACCCACCATGTCATTTAACAGAAGATGATGCCGACCCATCCAGTCACTGACTAACAGCTGTTACCTACCTGGAACACGACATTGGTCTGCTACCCACCTGGAACATGACGTTGGTCTGGTACCTACCTGGAACATGACATTGGTCTGCTACCTCACCTGGAACACGACATTGGTTTGCTACCCACCTGGAACACGACATTGGTCTGTTACCTACCTTGAACACGACATTGGTCTGCTACCTACCTGGAACACGACATTGGTCTGCTACCTACCTGGAACACGACCTTGGTCTGTTACCTACCTGGAACACGACATTGGTCTGCTACCTACCTGGAACACGACATTGGTCTGCTACCTACCTGGAACACGACGTTGGTCTGCTACCTACCTGGAACATGACGTTGGTCTGCTACCTACCTGGAACACGACGTTGGTCTGCTACCTACCTGGAACACGACGTTGGTCTGCTACCTACCTGGAATACGACATTGGTCTGCTACCTACCTGGAACACGACGTTGGTCTGCTTGCAGGCCTGCTTCTGTATCTGTGACATCTCCTTCTTCACCTCCTCCCTCCTCAGGAGTGAGTCGTCCTTTAAAGGGAGACGCTCCTTTACATACTCCAGCAGCGTCTCCAGAGACGATGGGTTCTCCTTTTGGAAATACACCTTGGATGCCTTTGCCCTCTGTGCCAAGATACCCACCTTAAAGAAGAGAAATAGAACATATATGTCAATCAATGATTTACCAATTGCGCAAGTGCACATTATTGTGTGTCAGTTTCCATTCGGAATCTGTTCTTTATGCTCAAAGATGCTCACCTCAGACAGTTTCCACTCAGTGCCTGTCCCCACCACAGCCAGAACCAACGGCAGCCCCAGATTCAGCACCCCGAACCTCAGCTCCATCATGCAGTTGTCAGACTCCACGTACTGAAGACAAGGGACATGTACTGAAGACAAATGTTGAATGATGAATATGATCAAGAGGATTAAGTAGACTGTGATAAGCCTGGATTGTACCTGTGATATGATGAATATGATCAAGAAAATTAAGTAGACTGTGATAAGCCTAGATTGTACCGTGTTGAATGATGAATATGATCAAGAAAATTAAGTAGACTGTGATAAGCCTAGATTGTACCGTGTTGAATGATGAATATGATCAAGAGGATTAAGTAGACTGTGATAAGCATGGATTGTACCATGTTCAATGATGAATATGATCAAGATCTGCCTGTCTGACGACACTCACCTCATCTGACACACAGACAACCAGCACCTTGGCATGTCGCATCCCGCGAGATATGTTTTCAAACAGACCTTTCCCCTGTAGAGAGAAACACTCTATTATCCACATGGCTTAATTACCCACTGACCTAATAACCCACACGGCCTTATTACCCACATGGCCTAATGATGAAATACTGATGGCCTGGGAGGGGTAATAAATTTCTCAGCGGAGGAATGAATCTCTTATACCCCGCCATGAGCACTACATGCTGCATATGCATTTCTGAGAGACAGAATAAATCCTTTATACCCCACTTCAAAGCTAAAAGCCGCACACTTTTTCCGAGCCAATGGATGTCACGTGACATAGCGCAAGCTAACCTCAGCTCTATCGAGCAGCTTGTTTCTATCAATTTGGTATTTATTTGAATTATTTTACAATGTCATATTAAAACATTTCGGTAAGATAAATTCATTGTAGCAGGTTCACTCGGGGTACATGGGGTTTTAAGTGTCCTGCGTTAGGTTTTATACCACACTTATGTATCCTGCGTTAGAGGGAAATAAATTTCTCAGCGGGCAAATATATCCCGTATTCCTCGCCACGAGCAAGTCAGGCTGCACATTGCTTTCTGAGAGGTAGGATAAATCCCTCATACTCCGCTTCCATGCAAACAGCTGCACGCTTTTTCCGAGTCAGTGAAAATCATGTGACACAGCACAAGCCAACCTCCGCTTAATCAAACAGCTGTTTTCTATAAATTTTGAATTTTTTATCATTCTTTAACAATGTCATATTGAAACATGTTGGTGAGGAAAATTTGTTGTAGGAGGATCACAATTGTTACATGAGGTTTTATGTGTCCATCGTTAGAGCTCATGGTATAAAACCTAACATGGAATGCATACCTTGTGATCCTGCTACCACTTATAATGTACAGTCGTGCCTCGTTTATACGGACACTTGCGTCATTTCACAATTCGTCCATATAAACGAATTTCCGTATAACTGAAACCAGCTTCTTACTTCCCATCAATTATGCAACTCATGAAAGTGTGAACTGTCACCAATTGTCGATTTTCCTATGGTATGTCCAAATTCAGTGCCATACTTACAGGCCATACTTACACAACTTTGACCTCTGACCTCCACAGACGCCATATTTATCGAAGGGGATTACATGTACAATAAACAAGCTCGTCTCAAACGTAACTCAGTGTCACTTGGTTAATTGACTTCTCACGAATCAAAGGATTACCACCAGCGGAAGTGTATTGTCCGGATAAGTGAGACAATTTTGTGTGCATTTCAGTGTTTTGTGTATGAAAATGACTGTCCGGTTCCGGGAACTGAATTTCCGGATATACGGGTAAATTTATATAGTAATTATTTCGTTTTGAATGAAAATCGTCCGGGAACCGAGGTTTCCAGATATCTGAAGTCCGTATAAGCGGGGCATGACTGTATCATTAAGGTTTGAAGACATCCATTGACTAAAGTAGGTCAAATGTTAACGTTACTCTCAATGAACAACACAATTATCAACTGTTAAGCATTGTTAAGATCCACCGCTACACGAACTGATTCCCACTGGACCAATCAAAACAATGCATAAGAGTCTCACTGGACCAATCAAAACACTGCATATGAGTCTCATTGAGCCAATAAAAATACTTCCTCAGTCTCATTAGACTACAGCCAAACATCCAGCTGCTAGACAAATGTGCTGGCCACCTACCGCAGTGATCTGTTCATGGTCAATCCATGTGGATATCCTGTTGTCTTCCAGGTACTTCTTGATTACCCGCGGGTCCCCCCAGCCGAGTGACCCGGGTGGGCTCTTGGTGCCCTTGTTGACAGCGTCGGAGGAGTTGCTCCAGCAGTAGCTGATGAAGCACACAGGGTACTCCTTGTTGTCCTGGCAACACATAGCATATCTCGTGCATAGCAACAGTTGTGTGAGTGAGAGGGTTTGATGCCAACAGAATTTCAGTTATAATAATAATAGGCCATTTATATTGTGCATATTTCCACACCACAAAGGGGCATGCTCAAAGCGCTATTGTTACCACTGGATCAGTGTGCACTCAAAAATCATTTTCAGCTCCCCGGGGAGTATACAACCCAAGCTGCCTGTTAGGTAATAGAAGTTTAACAACCACATTGCCATCACATCCTACTGGGTACCCATTCACTACTTGGTGAACAGAGGCACATTTCGAGCAAAGTCACTTGCCCAAGGGGACTGAACATGTGTTACATGTGCTTCAGTGTGGGGCCAATCTCATTAAAATCAGATCTTAGTTCTCCCTACCGCTAAGATCTGAGGATATCCCATTACGAGTCAAGTCTGACCGACCTTGCGCGAACTTTGACCGACCAATGGAATGACCAATCAGATTTACGGCACTTGTTTCAAATTGGCGACTACGCTTCGAAACATATTTTGACAAATTCTCCATTACAAATTTGAAACCTGAACAAAAGAACATTCTGGAATGGCTAATAGTCGACCTACCCAGTGTGTACTCCAGATTGTATGGATTCGGTCGTTAAACCCGTAACTATTGTTCGGAATACCCTGTGTTAAAGTTTTCATGGTTGCAGGATTAGAAATTACATTCCGACTGTCACTTTCATAATCTGGTAAGTGACGCTCTGATTGGTTGGATGAAAGGTCGTTCTGACGTGACCCCAAATGGGATGTCTTCAGATCTTTGTTTAGCAGTAGCGAGAACTAAGGTCTGATTTTAATGAGAATAGTGTGGGGCAGGACCGAAGCCCAAGAAACTCTCAGGAGCCAAGCTGCCAAACGTGGTCACCCATCCAAGGACTCTCTGTGACCGATGTTGCTTAACTTCACCTGATATGTGACCTGTGTGCTGTGCATAGGACCACAGATCTCTGGCTTGATGTGGGAGGGAAAGATGCAGGTCTTGGGTAAACAACACAGGAATAAAGTTCATCTTGTTGTTTGCACCAATCTAGAAACATCATCAGGATTTCAACCCAGGATCAGAGGATTCTGGCACATCAAAGGGACACAACACAGCACAGTGAACTGTGGTGCCTTAGATGACTGGGCAGCTGTGATATAATGTTGGTTTTGTCAAACATGAACTCTCTTGCCAAGCACTGCATGAGTCTAACTTCTCTGTCTTCTAATCATGTTTTCATAGTTTACTCCCATTCAACTGCTGCGAAAGTTCCCAGGAAACACATTCACTTTTTCCTACCCTGATCTGGATGCCATGGAGCTTCTGCTTCACCCTACTCTGGAGATTCTTGACACGGTCTTCAAACCTGTCCTTGGTCTTTACCATCACCATTTGCTGCATTTGAGAAAGTAGAGTTATACAACCCACGTGATATAAGTAGAGTTATACAACCCACGTGACATTAGTAGAGTTATACAATCCATGTGACATAAGTAGAGTTATACAACCCACGTGACATTAGTAGAGTTATACAACCCACGTGACATAAGTAGAGTTATACAACCATGTGACATAAGTAGAGTTATACAACCATGTGACATAAGTAGAGTTATACAACCATGTGACATAAGTAGAGTTATACAACCCACGAGACATTAGTAGAGTTATACAACCATGTGACATAAGTAGAGTTATACAACCATGTGACATAAGCAGAGTTATACAACCACGTGACATAAGCAGTTATACAACCTGCTACCTGCTTCTCCCAGTAAACAACCCACCTCTTGTTTCCCGATCCTCATCCCAAGGTCTATGTTCTGCCATCTGCTTCTCCCAGTAAACAACCCACCTCTTGTTTCCCGTTCCTCATCCCAAGGTCTATGTTCTGCCATCTGCTTCACCCAGTAAACAACCCACCTCTTGTTTCCCGATCCTCATCCCAAGGTCTATGTTCTGCCATCTGCTTCTCCCAGTAAACAACCCACCTCTTGTTTCCCGTTCCTCATCCCAAGGTCTATGTTCTGCCATCTGCTTCTCCCAGTAAACAACCCACCTCTTGTTTCCCGATCCTCATCCCAAGGTCTATGTTCTGCCATCTGCTTCTCCCAGTAAACAACCCACCTCTTGTTTCCCGATCCTCATCCCAAGGTCTATGTTCTGCCATCTGCTTCTCCCAGTAAACAACCCACCTCTTGTTTCCCGATCCTCATCCCAAGGTCTCTGTTCTGCCAACTGCTTCTCCCAGTAAACAACCCACCTCTTGTTTCCCGATCCTCATCCCAAGGTCTGTGTTCTGCCATCTGCTTCTCCCAGTAAACAACCCACCTCTTGTTTCCCGATCCTCATCCCAAGGTCTATGTTCTGCCAACTGCTTCTCCCAGTAAACAACCCACCTCTTGTTTCCCGATCCTCATCCCAAGGTCTGTGTTCTGCCATCTGCTTCTCCCAGTAACCAACCCACCTCTTGTTTCCCGATCCTCATCCCAAGGTCTATGTTCTGCCATCTGCTTCTCCCAGTAAACAACCCACCTCTTGTTTCCCGATCCTCATCCCAAGGTCTATGTTCTGCCATCTGCTTCTCCCAGTAAACAACCCACCTCTTGTTGCCCGTTCCTCATCCCAAGGTCTATGTTCTGCCATCTGCTTCTCCCAGTAAACAACCCACCTCTTGTTTCCCGTTCCTCATCCCAAGGTCTATGTTCCGCCAACTGCTTCTCCCAGTAAACAACCCACCTCTTGTTTCCCGTTCCTCATCCCAAGGTCTATGTTCTGCCATCTGCTTCACCCAGTAAACAACCCACCTCTTGTTTCCCGTTCCTCATCCCAAGGTCTATGTTCTGCCAACTGCTTCTCCCAGTAAACAACCCACCTCTTGTTTCCCGATCCTCATCACAAGGTCTATGTTCTGCCATCTGCTTCTCCCAGTAAACAACCCACCTCTTGTTTCCCGATCCTCATCCCAAGGTCTATGTTCTGCCATCTGCTTCTCCCAGTAAACAACCCACCTCTTGTTTCCCGATCCTCATCCCAAGGTCTCCGTTCTGCCAACTGCTTCTCCCAGTAAACAACCCACCTCTTGTTTCCCGATCCTCATCACAAGGTCTATGTTCTGCCATCTGCTTCTCCCAGTAAACAACCCACCTCTTGTTTCTCGATCCTCATCCCAAGGTCTGTGTTCTGCCAACTGCTTCTCCCAGTAAACAACCCACCTCTTGTTTCCCGATCCTCATCCCAAGGTCTGTGTTCTGCCATCTGCTTCTCCCAGTAAACAACCCACCTCTTGTTTCCCGATCCTCATCCCAAGGTCTATGTTCTGCCATCTGCTTCTCCCAGTAAACAACCCACCTCTTGTTTCCCGATCCTCATCCCAAGGTCTATGTTCTGCCATCTGCTTCTCCCATTAAACAACCCACCTCTTGTTTCCCGATCCTCATCCCAAGGTCTATGTTCTGCTATCTGCTTCTCCCAGTAAACAACCCACCTCTTGTTTCCCGATCCTCATCCCAAGGTCTCTGTTCTGCCAACTGCTTCTCCCAGTAAACAACCCACCTCTTGTTTCCCGATCCTCATCACAAGGTCTATGTTCTGCCATCTGCTTCTCCCAGTAAACAACCCACCTCTTGTTTCCCGATCCTCATCCCAAGGTCTATGTTCTGCCATCTGCTTCTCCCAGTAAACAACCCACCTCTTGTTTCCCGATCCTCATCCCAAGGTCTCTGTTCTGCCAACTGCTTCTCCCAGTAAACAACCCACCTCTTGTTTCCCGATCCTCATCCCAAGGTCTGTGTTCTGCCATCTGCTTCTCCCAGTAAACAACCCACCTCTTGTTTCCCGTTCCTCATCCCAAGATCTGTGTTCTGCCATCTGCTTCTCCCAGTAAACAACCCACCTCTTGTTTCCCGATCCTCATCCCAAGGTCTATGTTCTGCCATCTGCTTCACCCAGTAAACAACCCACCTCTTGTTTCCCGATCCTCATCCCAAGGTCTATGTTCTGCCATCTGCTTCTCCCAGTAAACAACCCACCTCTTGTTTCCCGTTCCTCATCCCAAGGTCTATGTTCTGCCATCTGCTTCTCCCAGTAAACAACCCACCTCTTGTTTCCCGATCCTCATCCCAAGGTCTATGTTCTGCCATCTGCTTCTCCCAGTAAACAACCCACCTCTTGTTTCCCGTTCCTCATCCCAAGGTCTATGTTCTGCCATCTGCTTCTCCCAGTAAACAACCCACCTCTTGTTTCCCGATCCTCATCCCAAGGTCTCTGTTCTGCCAACTGCTTCTCCCAGTAAACAACCCACCTCTTGTTTCCCGATCCTCATCCCAAGGTCTGTGTTCTGCCATCTGCTTCTCCCAGTAAACAACCCACCTCTTGTTTCCCGATCCTCATCCCAAGGTCTATGTTCTGCCAACTGCTTCTCCCAGTAAACAACCCACCTCTTGTTTCCCGATCCTCATCCCAAGGTCTGTGTTCTGCCATCTGCTTCTCCCAGTAACCAACCCACCTCTTGTTTCCCGATCCTCATCCCAAGGTCTATGTTCTGCCATCTGCTTCTCCCAGTAAACAACCCACCTCTTGTTTCCCGATCCTCATCCCAAGGTCTATGTTCTGCCATCTGCTTCTCCCAGTAAACAACCCACCTCTTGTTGCCCGTTCCTCATCCCAAGGTCTATGTTCTGCCATCTGCTTCTCCCAGTAAACAACCCACCTCTTGTTTCCCGTTCCTCATCCCAAGGTCTATGTTCCGCCAACTGCTTCTCCCAGTAAACAACCCACCTCTTGTTTCCCGTTCCTCATCCCAAGGTCTATGTTCTGCCATCTGCTTCACCCAGTAAACAACCCACCTCTTGTTGCCCGTTCCTCATCCCAAGGTCTATGTTCTGCCAACTGCTTCTCCCAGTAAACAACCCACCTCTTGTTTCCCGATCCTCATCACAAGGTCTATGTTCTGCCATCTGCTTCTCCCAGTAAACAACCCACCTCTTGTTTCCCGATCCTCATCCCAAGGTCTATGTTCTGCCATCTGCTTCTCCCAGTAAACAACCCACCTCTTGTTGCCCGTTCCTCATCCCAAGGTCTATGTTCTGCCATCTGCTTCTCCCAGTAAACAACCCACCTCTTGTTTCCCGTTCCTCATCCCAAGGTCTATGTTCCGCCAACTGCTTCTCCCAGTAAACAACCCACCTCTTGTTTCCCGTTCCTCATCCCAAGGTCTATGTTCTGCCATCTGCTTCACCCAGTAAACAACCCACCTCTTGTTTCCCGTTCCTCATCCCAAGGTCTATGTTCTGCCAACTGCTTCTCCCAGTAAACAACCCACCTCTTGTTTCCCGATCCTCATCACAAGGTCTATGTTCTGCCATCTGCTTCTCCCAGTAAACAACCCACCTCTTGTTTCCCGATCCTCATCCCAAGGTCTATGTTCTGCCATCTGCTTCTCCCAGTAAACAACCCACCTCTTGTTTCCCGATCCTCATCCCAAGGTCTCCGTTCTGCCAACTGCTTCTCCCAGTAAACAACCCACCTCTTGTTTCCCGATCCTCATCACAAGGTCTATGTTCTGCCATCTGCTTCTCCCAGTAAACAACCCACCTCTTGTTTCTCGATCCTCATCCCAAGGTCTGTGTTCTGCCAACTGCTTCTCCCAGTAAACAACCCACCTCTTGTTTCCCGATCCTCATCCCAAGGTCTGTGTTCTGCCATCTGCTTCTCCCAGTAAACAACCCACCTCTTGTTTCCCGATCCTCATCCCAAGGTCTATGTTCTGCCATCTGCTTCTCCCAGTAAACAACCCACCTCTTGTTTCCCGATCCTCATCCCAAGGTCTATGTTCTGCCATCTGCTTCTCCCATTAAACAACCCACCTCTTGTTTCCCGATCCTCATCCCAAGGTCTATGTTCTGCTATCTGCTTCTCCCAGTAAACAACCCACCTCTTGTTTCCCGATCCTCATCCCAAGGTCTCTGTTCTGCCAACTGCTTCTCCCAGTAAACAACCCACCTCTTGTTTCCCGATCCTCATCACAAGGTCTATGTTCTGCCATCTGCTTCTCCCAGTAAACAACCCACCTCTTGTTTCCCGATCCTCATCCCAAGGTCTATGTTCTGCCATCTGCTTCTCCCAGTAAACAACCCACCTCTTGTTTCCCGATCCTCATCCCAAGGTCTCTGTTCTGCCAACTGCTTCTCCCAGTAAACAACCCACCTCTTGTTTCCCGATCCTCATCCCAAGGTCTGTGTTCTGCCATCTGCTTCTCCCAGTAAACAACCCACCTCTTGTTTCCCGTTCCTCATCCCAAGATCTGTGTTCTGCCATCTGCTTCTCCCAGTAAACAACCCACCTCTTGTTTCCCGATCCTCATCCCAAGGTCTATGTTCTGCCATCTGCTTCACCCAGTAAACAACCCACCTCTTGTTTCCCGATCCTCATCCCAAGGTCTATGTTCTGCCATCTGCTTCTCCCAGTAAACAACCCACCTCTTGTTTCCCGTTCCTCATCCCAAGGTCTATGTTCTGCCATCTGCTTCTCCCAGTAAACAACCCACCTCTTGTTTCCCGATCCTCATCCCAAGGTCTATGTTCTGCCATCTGCTTCTCCCAGTAAACAACCCACCTCTTGTTTCCCGTTCCTCATCCCAAGGTCTATGTTCTGCCATCTGCTTCTCCCAGTAAACAACCCACCTCTTGTTTCCCGATCCTCATCCCAAGGTCTCTGTTCTGCCAACTGCTTCTCCCAGTAAACAACCCACCTCTTGTTTCCCGATCCTCATCCCAAGGTCTGTGTTCTGCCATCTGCTTCTCCCAGTAAACAACCCACCTCTTGTTTCCCGATCCTCATCCCAAGGTCTATGTTCTGCCAACTGCTTCTCCCAGTAAACAACCCACCTCTTGTTTCCCGATCCTCATCCCAAGGTCTGTGTTCTGCCATCTGCTTCTCCCAGTAACCAACCCACCTCTTGTTTCCCGATCCTCATCCCAAGGTCTATGTTCTGCCATCTGCTTCTCCCAGTAAACAACCCACCTCTTGTTTCCCGATCCTCATCCCAAGGTCTATGTTCTGCCATCTGCTTCTCCCAGTAAACAACCCACCTCTTGTTGCCCGTTCCTCATCCCAAGGTCTATGTTCTGCCATCTGCTTCTCCCAGTAAACAACCCACCTCTTGTTTCCCGTTCCTCATCCCAAGGTCTATGTTCCGCCAACTGCTTCTCCCAGTAAACAACCCACCTCTTGTTTCCCGTTCCTCATCCCAAGGTCTATGTTCTGCCATCTGCTTCACCCAGTAAACAACCCACCTCTTGTTGCCCGTTCCTCATCCCAAGGTCTATGTTCTGCCAACTGCTTCTCCCAGTAAACAACCCACCTCTTGTTTCCCGATCCTCATCACAAGGTCTATGTTCTGCCATCTGCTTCTCCCAGTAAACAACCCACCTCTTGTTTCCCGATCCTCATCCCAAGGTCTATGTTCTGCCATCTGCTTCTCCCAGTAAACAACCCACCTCTTGTTTCCCGATCCTCATCCCAAGGTCTGTGTTCTGCCAACTGCTTCTCCCAGTAAACAACCCACCTCTTGTTTCCCGATCCTCATCACAAGGTCTATGTTCTGCCATCTGCTTCTCCCAGTAAACAACCCACCTCTTGTTTCCCGATCCTCATCCCCAGGTCTGTGTTCTGCCAGGCCAGGCTAGTCCCGATGACAGTGATGATGTAGTCTTTGTTCAGAGTGTCCATAGTGTACAGCATCATGTCGCGACACATCTCATCACGCTCAAAGTTGTCTGACACGAGTGCCACAACCACCTACAACACAAGGGAGAGACACATTAGAGGCATCAGATACTAGACTATCCCACACTATTCTAGATAAAGGCATTAGACACTAGACTATCCCACTCTATCCTAGATAAAGGCATCAGACATTAAACTATCCCAATCTATCCCAGATAAAGGCATTAGACACTAGACTATCCCGCTCTTTCCAAGGTCAAGGGATCAGGCACTGACTATCTCCCTTTATCCAAGGTGAAGACACAAGACTCGGGACTATTCCACTTTGTCAAAGGTGAAAGCGCTAAACACATTGTCCTTATATATTTATATATTTATATATATATATATAATTCTGTATATATTCTTCTTTATATATATTTACTCTTACTCAGCTACATATCTGGAGAATATTTCTAATCAGTATCCTCTATGTTATGAGACAAGAACAAACTGTTATGTTTATCCCTTACCTTGGAGTTCTTTAGGGCGAGAGTCAGGTCATGAACACTGATGTTAAGCATGTCTTCACTGTACCAGCTGAAACAATGTATCTGACATGAACAAATATACACTGTACCATCTGAAACATTGTATCTGACATGAACAAATATACACTGTACCAGCTGAAACAATGTATCTGACATGAAGAGATATACACTGTACCATCTGAAACATTGTATCTGACATGAACAAATATACACTGTACCATCTGAAACATTGTATCTGACATGAACAAATATACACTGTACCATCTGAAACATTGTATCTGACGTGAACAAATATACACTGTACCATCCGAAACATTGTTGCTCACATGAACAAATATACACTGTACCAGCTGAAACATTGTATCTGACATGAAGAGATATACACTGTACCATCTGAAACATTGAATCTGATATGAACAAATATACACTGTACCATCTGAAACATTGTATCTTACATGAACAAATATACACTGTACCAGATGAAATATTGCAACTGACATGAAGAGATATATGTACCGAATGAAACATTGTATCTGACATGAACATACTGACATTGCAACTAACAGGCCTTACCAAGACAATCCACCTTTCTCAAGATCTTCTTTAAACCAGAAAGGGTTGATCTTCTCTGCAGGGTCTCTGGGTGCCGGCACATCGGAGGCGGAGTACAGGACAGCGACGTCCGTGGTGAGGGCGGAGTTCAGTTCCTGCAGCATCATCAGGCTGTGCTGGAGGTGGGCGTCGAAGTCGCCAGCGTGGGTGTTGGGCATGGATTCTGTCAAGAGTCAATCAATGGGCATTGGGCATGGATTCTTAGGAGAAATCATATTTCAACACCCATTGCTATGATATCTATAGGGCACAAAACAGATGCCTGAAATTGTTTAAATATGTGCAGCTATATGTTTAGGTTTGTTTTCCTATTTTACATGTCAGGCAGCAATATTCCATTTATATCATAGGGTCTTTGAAAGCATTTAGAAGTGATACACATAAGTAGGAGAATTTATGGATGCCAACTTCTTTATGAGGAACACAACGTTTCGGAGTACATACTTACTCCTTCATCAGGTGATTCACCTGATGAAGGAGTAAGCATGATCTATGAAACTTTGTGTTCCTCATAATGAAGAAGTTGACATCCATAAATTCTCTTCCCTATATCAGAGGGGCCTGCAAGTAACCAAGTGGTTGATATTAGGAGCAATGTCCCTGGCTTTCACAAAGTCTGACCAACCAATCATTATTTGAGTCTCCTAAGACAAAGCATAAGGTGCCGTGGAACTTGTCCCACCTGGATTCCCCTCAGGGTGGGATATATATATATACCTTGGGGCAACAAAGTAATAATATAAGTATAATGTCAGCCTGTAGAATAAAGAAACTAATGACAATCAGGTGACACGCAATCAGTCAAGTTACCAAGTCTGACAATCCAACTATCAAATCACCTCACAACAAGGTTGCTGGGGATAATGTTACCCTTGGCGATTCTGGAGTAACCATGGAAACATGTGTTTTGTGTTATCATACCTAGCAACTGGGCCATGGACACTGTGTGGAAATATTTCCGACATTGTAGGAACGGAGCCTTGTTGTTCTTGGCATGGGCAATTAGCTCATTGTCAAACAGACACGGTTCCAGACAGCCCTGAAAGTAGAACAGACACAGTTCAGACACATTCCTTCCTGACCACTCTGAGAGAAGATAGGAGAGATGTTAAGACTCGGGGAGATGTTAAGACTCGGGGAGATGTTAAGACTCAGGGAGATGTTAAGACTCGGAGAGATGTTAAGACTCGGAGAGATGTTAAGACTCAGGAAGATGTTAAGACTCAGGGAGATGTTAAGACTCAGGGAGATGTTAAGACTCGGGGAGATGTTAAGACTCAGGGAGATGTTAAGACTCAGGGAGATGTTAAGACTCGGAGAGATGTTAAGACTCGGAGAGATGTTAAGACTCAGGAAGATGTTAAGACTCAGGGAGATGTTAAGACTCGGGGAGATTGTAAGACTCAAGGAGATGTTAAGACTCGGGGAGATTGTAAAGACTCAGGGAGATTGTAAGACTCAGGGAGATGTTAAGACTCAGGGAGATTGTAAGACTCAGGGAGATGTTAAGACTCAAGGAGATGTTAAGACTCGGGGAGATGTTAAGACTTAGGGAGATGTTAAGACTCAGGGAGATTGTAAGACTCAGGGAGATTGTAAGACTCAGGGAGATTGTAAGACTCAGGGAGATTGTAAGACTCAGGGAGATGTTAAGACTCAGGGAGATTGTAAGACTCAGGGAGATTGTAAGACTCGGGGAGATGTTAGGACTCAGGGAGATGTAAGGACTCAGGGAGATGTTAAGACTCAGGGAGATTGTAAGACTCAGGGAGATTGTAAGACTCAGGGAGATTGTAAGACTCAGGGAGATTGTAAGACTCAGGGAGATGTTAGGACTCAGGGAGATGTTAGGTCTCATGGAGATTGTAAGACTCAGGGAGATTGTAAGACTCAGGGAGATTGTAAGACTCAGGGAGATTGTAAGACTCGGGGCGATTGTAAGACTCGGGGAGATGTTAGGACTCAGGGAGATGTTAAGACTCAGGGAGATTGTAAGACTCAGGGAGATGTTAAGACTCAGGGAGATGTGAGGACTCATGGAGATGTTAAGACTCAGGGAGATTGTAAGACTCAGGGAGATTGTAAGACTCAGGGAGATTGTAAGACTCAGGTAGATGTTAGGACTCAGGGAGATGTTAGGACTCAGGGAGATGTTAGGACTCATGGAGATGTTAAGACTCAGGGAGATTGTAAGACTCAGGGAGATTGTAAGACTCAGGGAGATGTTAGGTCTCATGGAGATGTTAAGACTCAGGGAGATTGTAAGACTCAGGGAGATTGTAAGACTCAGGGAGATTGTAAGACTCAGGGAGATGTTAGGACTCAGGGAGATGTTAGGTCTCATGGAGATTGTAAGACTCAGGGAGATTGTAAGACTCAGGGAGATTGTAAGACTCAGGGAGATTGTAAGACTCGGGGAGATTGTAAGACTCGGGGAGATGTTAGGACTCAGGGAGATGTTAAGACTCAGGGAGATTGTAAGACTCAGGGAGATTGTAAGACTCGGGGAGATTGTAAGACTCAGGGAGATTGTAAGACTCAGGGAGATTGTAAGACCTGGGGAGATTGTAAGACTCTGGGAGATGTTAGGACTCAGGGAGATGTTAAGACTCAGGGAGATTGTAAGACTCAGGGAGATTGTAAGACTCAGGGAGATTGTAAGACTCAGGGAGATTGTAAGACTCGGGGAGATTGTAAGACACAGGGAGATTGTAAGACTCAGGGAGATGTTAGGACTCAGGGAGATGTTAGGACTCATGGAGATGTTAAGACTCAGGGAGATTGTAAGACTCAGGGAGATTGTAAGACTCAGGGAGATTGTAAGACTCAGGGAGATTGTAAGACTCAGGGAGATGTTAGGTCTCATGGAGATGTTAAGACTTAGGGAGATGTTAAGACTCAGGGAGATTGTAAGACTCAGGGAGATTGTAAGACTCAGGGAGATTGTAAGACTCAGGGAGATTGTAAGACTCAGGGAGATGTTAGGTCTCATGGAGATGTTAGGTCTTAGGGAGATGTTAAGACTCAGGGAGATTGTAAGACTCAGGGAGATCGTAAGACTCAGGGAGATTGTAAGACTCGGGGAGATTGTAAGACTCAGGGAGATTGTAAGACTCAGGGAGATGTTAGGACTCAGGGAGATGTTAGGACTCATGGAGATGTTAAGACTCGCGGAGATTGTAAGACTCAGGGAGATTGTAAGACTCAGGGAGATTGTAAGACTCAGGGAGATTGTAAGACTCAGGGAGATGTTAGGACTCAGGGAGATGTTAGGACTCATGGAGGAGATGATAAAGAATGGAATCAGTTCAGAAACTGTTGAATGATCCATACTTGGTGGAACTTTCCCACAAACTCACCTCTTTCATGACACAGTCCGGGCATGGCACCAGGAAGTCATACACAACACCATGGAAGGATTCCTCGATGAGACTCTCAAAGATCTCATGAACCAGGAACAGGATGTTTTCAGGGCGTGGACCTTGGACCAACACAACCAGCTCGGAATCACTGACAAAGGAAGCACATTTATCCTGCAACACAGGCTTCCATAGAAGATACATAGCTACAGTGAAATTGCATCACAATGCCTTGCAAACAATTGGGATGTCATGAATTTCCATGACACCACAATCAAAATACATCACTTATCTGTCTTTCACAGAAGCAATTTTTTCAATAATAAATTGACACTCACCCTTTAATGTCTTTTGATATCAAATATCTATGAGCTTCTGAGTTTTAAACTTTTATTGATTCCTGTTCATATATATTTGACATCACATGACATCAGGGTCAGTCTCTCCATTTCTACTATTCCTGCATCAACAAACCTTATCTGTCTGATGAGGTGAGGTGGTATCTCTCCTGTCCCCACAACATTCCAGATCTGTCTGATGAGGTCAGATGGCATCTCACCCCCATTCCCCCTCCCCCCCCACCCCACCCCCAAAAAAACATAAAGACACACACACAACACTCCTGATCTTTATGAGGCCAGTGGTATCCCCCAACAACATACCTGATCTGTCTGATGAGGGCGAGGTGGTTGTTCTTATTCAGGAGAGAGCCACGCTTCCAGATAAGCTTGCCGTCCGAGAACTGGAATAGTCGAACCTGGGAACACGGTTAAATGTTGTGATGAGTTCACTCTTGCAAGACTTCTGCTTCTCAATATATATATATAGTCACACCTGATCAGTGTACCAGCCAATCAGACAATCAGTCAATCAGTCAATCACTGACCTGGGCTCTGTTGAACAGTCCAGCAGGAAGGTAGGCAAACTTGTACACCATCTTGGTCTGTCGGGTGCCTCGAAACTTGCTGTCTCCGGCCCAGTCCTCTATCTGAAACATCCACAAACAACAGTTCAGGAGAAATCACACCAACAACCCATTCAGGCATCAACAACTCATTCAGATATCAACAATGCATTCAGACATCAACAATGCATTCAGACATCAACAACTCATTCAGACATCAACAACTCATTCAGACATAAACAATGCATTCAGACATCAACAACTCATTCAGACATCAACAACTCATTCAGACATCAACAATGCATTCAGACATCAACAACTCATTCAGATATCAACAACACATTCAGACATCAACAATGCATTCAGACATCAACAACTTATTCAGACATCAAAAACTCATTCAGACATCAACAACACATTCAGACATCAACAATGCATTTAGACATCAACAACTTATTCAGACATCAACAACTCATTCAGACATCAACTCATTCAGACATCAACAACACATTCAGACATTAACAATGCATTCAGACATCAACAACTTATTCAGACATCAAAAACTCATTCAGACATCAACAACACATTCAGACATCAACAATGCATTTAGACATCAACAACTTGTTCAGACATCAACAACTCATTCAGACAAGAACAACTCATGCAGACAACAACTCGTTCAGGAATAAACAACTCATTTAGACATGCGCTAAATTTAACATCTGAAACTTTACGCTGCGCATTCGGTTCCAAATTCAATTTAGCCCGGTTAAATCTACAGGTAACCTAGCTAGCTCTATAATGAAAACACTGTATGTTCATCTCCCAAGTGTGTTACGTCTCAAGAGGTTGATAAAGAAATGCATTACCTCTGCTGGTTCTTCTGGCGGCAGGAGACAGGGCACAATGTTCACCGGTTCTTTAGGCAGTGGGAAAGTCAGGTCAAACTCCTCAGTTAACTGCAGCAGCCATTTGTGTAGTGAGGGGGGATACTCCTTCCACACATCGCTGATGTGCTTGTGGTGGAAACGACCTGAATCGTCCTGAAAAATATAACATTGCAGTAGAACAGCATGGTCCCACAGATCGTCCTGAAAAATACAACATTGCAGTAGACCGACATGGTGACACAGATCGTACTGAAAAATACAACATTGCAGTAGACCGACATGGTGACACAGATCGTACTGAAAAATACAACATTGCAGTAGTCACAACCTACCTGGATGGGGGAGTTTTTGACGGAGACAACACAGGACATGACATTGACAATCCACTGGGGGTTGATGACAATCTGGTCTCGTAGGAAGTCATTGTCAAAGTACTGAACAGTGCCCAACTCATGCAGGAACTGCACGGCTTCCTTGATCTGTAACAGAGGGCCAGGGTCAATAGCTCGACAACTACCTGACTGTATGGGTACCCAGTAGTATCTGTTCATCAAGAAGTCACATAGTTTGTGGTGTCACAGATTACAAGTTATGTGACAGATAGATACACACACATACCCAAGTCACAATCAACCCTAACACATTCCACAACAAGTCTGATTGTACTCTGTTGTCCTGTGCTGTTAGTGCCTCAACATATAATTCATAATGTGTTCCCTGGTATAATAGTTGTCTTGTGACAGTAGACAAAGGTGTCTTGTGATGGTACACAAGGGTGTCTTGTGACAGTAGATAAGGGTGTCGTGTGATGGTAGACAAGGGTGTCTTGTGATGGTAGACAAGGGTGTCTTGTGACAGTAGACAGGGTTTTGTGTGATAAAAGACACCATCAACATCATGTGACTGACTGACTGACTGACTCACATACTTACATCTTTCTCATCGTAGATGCCGACCTCCATTCCGTACTCCTTGATGACGTCCCACTTGAGGATGCTGGTTTTTGAACGTGCACTAGCAAATGTAACAAGGGTTCAATCAAAACTCTTGAATCATTAAATTGTTAAATAACACATATTTGGCATTGTTTCACATTCTACGAAGGAGAAGATTATGACGCAGGTCACACTATGATTAAGAGGTGTGTCTAGATTCTCTCACGCCAGTATCTTCTTCTCCAGGTTCAGCCAGACTTGCGGTATCTTCTCCCCCATGTTCTTCTGCTCCAGGGTGACCCTCAGCAGCTGCTTCTCCAGCTCAGCCACGCCCTGAAAACATTCCACCACTGACAGATGTGTTTGGCTGGCTTTGGAACTCTAGCCTCACTTAATCAGACAAACCATACCCTTTTCAACTCTCGTGCCTTAGTAACCCATCTTGCATCTGAGTAACTGACTTGCATTCGACCGCTGACAAGCACTCTCTTGCCTCTATCTCTGCTGTCTACCCACCTAGCTCTGAAAACCTGACAAGCTTTGATGTCTCCCTGACTAGGTACTCACCATGCCTGTGATTGAGCTGATAAAATGGAAGCCAGCAATCTGTGGATATCTCCTGGTGAGCTCCGTAACTGGAATATCGGCCTTAGGAACCTGCAGGGAACAGCTTAGGTGAATACATACCAAGGATTCTCTGTGTGTGTGAATGTGTGTGTGTGTGTGAATGTGCGTGTGAATGCGTGTGTGTGTGTGTGTGAGTGTGTGTGAATGTGTGTGTGTGTGTCTGTCTGTGTGTCTGTATATATATGTGTGTGTGTGTGTTTGTATATGTATGTGTGTGTCTGTGTGTGTATAAATGTGTGTCTGTGTGTGTATAAATGTGTGTCTGGTGTTTGTGTGTCTGTGTGTCTGTGTGAATAAGCACATTATGCATTTCTTGCCTTTTGATGTGCTTTAATCAAATACATTTTAATGATTAGCATGACAAAATGACAATTAAACACCATGAAACTAATGTCATACATTATTTTATATCTATGTCATGATCAACGGTAATAAAAATAGGGGACACTGTACTATTTCACATGGAACTCTCAGTATTTATCCACCAACTTGAAGTAAGGTTTCCTAGCTCACCTGATCACAGTGGGTGCCGACCACAAAGATGGGTGTCTTGGGTGCGTGGCAGGCAATGGAGCTGAGCCAGAAGTCCAGGCCGGCATGTTCAAACCCCTGGCGTGTCGACCACAGCAAGATGTATACAGCTCGCTTGGACAGGAAAAACTAAAGAAAATATAATATGTTGTAATATGCAGGAATACATGACTACATTGTTATAATAAGAGGGAACACATGACTGCATTAATATAATAGGAGGGAACACATGACTACATTAATATAATAGGAGGGCACGCATGACTACATTTTTATAATAGGAGGGAACGCATGACTACATTGTTATAATAAGAGGGAATACATGACTGCATTAATATAATAGGAGGGAACACATGACTACATTGTTATAATAAGAGGGAATACATGACTGCATTAATATAATAGGAGGGAACACATGACTACATTGTTATAATAGGAAGGAACGCATGTACATTGTTATAATAGGAGGGAACACATGACTACATTAATATAATAGAAGGGGACACATGACTCCATTGTTATAATAGGAAGGAACGCATGTACATTGTTATAATAGGAGGGAACACATGACTACATTAATATAATAGGAGGGAACGCATAACTACATTGTTATAATAAGAGGGAAAACATGACTGCATTAATATAATAGGAGGGAACACATGACTACATTGTTATAATAAGAGGGAATACATGACTGCATTAATATAATAGGAGGGAACACATGACTGCATTAATATAATAGGAGGGAACAAATGACTGCATTAATATAATAGGAGGGAACACATGACTACATTAATATAATAGGAGGGCACGCATGACTACATTGTTATAATAGGAGGGAACGCATGACTACATTGTTATAATAAGAGGGAATACATGACTGCATTAATATAATAGGAGGGAATACATGACTGCATTAATATAATAGCAAGGAACGCATGTACATTGTTATAATAGGAGGGAACACATGACTACATTAATATAATAGGAGGGAACGCATAACTACATTGTTATAATAAGAGGGAATACATGACTGCAATAATATAATAGGAGGGAACACATGACTACATTGTTATAATAAGAGGGAATACATGACTGCATTAATATAATAGGAGGGAACACATGACTACATTGTTATAATAAGAGGGAATACATGACTGCATTAATATAATAGGAGGGAACGCATGACTACATTGTTATAATAGCAAGGAACGCATGTACATTGTTATAATAGGAGGGAACACATGACTACATTAATATAATAGGAGGGAACGCATAACTACATTGTTATAATAAGAGGGAAAACATGACTGCATTAATATAATAGGAAGGAACGCATGACTACATTGTTATAATAAGAGGGAATACATGACTGCATTAATATAATAGGAGGGAACGCATGACTACATTGTTATAATAGGAAGGAACGCATGTACATTGTTATAATAGGAGGGAACACATGACTACATTAATATAATAGGAGGGAACACATGACTACATTGTTATAATAGGAGGGAACACATGACTACATTAATATAATAGGAGGGAACGCATAACTACATTGTTATAATAAGAGGGAAAACATGACTGCATTAATATAATAGGAAGGAACGCATGACTACATTGTTATAATAAGAGGGAATACATGACTGCATTAATATAATAGGAGGGAACGCATGACTACATTGTTATAATAAGAGGGAATACATGACTGCATTAATATAATAGGAGGGAACGCATGACTACATTGTTATAATAAGAGGGAATACATGACTGCATTAATATAATAGGAGGGAACACGTGACTACATTGTTATAATAAGAGGGAACACATGACTACATTAATATAATAGGAGGGAACGCATGACTACATTGTTATAATAAGAGGGAATACATGACTGCATTAATATAATAGAAGGGAACACATGACTACACAAGAGGGTTACATACCTGATGAGTATTAATATAGTTTTGTTTGTTTGTTGTTTTTTAACACCACACTCGGCAATATTTAGGTACATGACGGGGGTCGGTAAATAATCAAGTGGTGACCAGACAATCCAGTATTTGACCTCATGATCTCAGCATCAATCCACGCAATTGGGATACAATGACATGCATCATCCAAGTCAGCGAGTCTGACCACCTGATCCCGTTAGTCGCCTCTTACGAATTACTAGACTAAAGCGTTATGTACCTGGTGTGTGTTGTAGTAGAGGGTTTGTCCTGCAAAGTCCCAGGTGTTGTAGGTAATTTCTATTTCATCGTCAGTCTTCACAGTCCAGGGCTGGATTACTATTCCATCTGTGATATCTTCTCCCTTCGTCCCCTCCGTCTTCTTGTTGTGACTCATGAGAGCCTTCAGGAGGCTGCAGCACACAAGCTCAGTTAGAGTCAATGTTGCAAGGTCAGCTAGAGTCAATGTTGCAAGGTCAGCTAGAGTCAATGTTGCAAGATCGGCTACAATTTACGTTACATGTTTTTGACGTCACACGCTAAGTGCATGAAGAATGACGTAATACATTGAGCAGTCGGCATTAATTTATCATTTTCACTTCAGAACAAGAATTTAGCTTGGAATGGTTTACAATATTCTGTATCTACTGGGTGCTATATTCTGTATCTACTGGGTGCTATATTCTGTATCTACTGGGTGCTATATTCTATATCTACTAGGTGCTATATTCTGTATCTACTGGGTGCTATTTTCTGTATCTACAGGGTGCTATATTCTGTATCTACTGGGTGCTATTTTCTGTATCTACAGGGTGCTATAGTCTATATCTACTGGGTGCTATATTCTGTATCTACTGGGTGCTATATTCTGTATCTACTGGGTGTCATATTCTGTATCTACTGGGTGCTATATTCTATACCTACTGGGTGCTATAATCTGTATCTACTGGGTGCTATATTCTGTATCTACTGGGTGTCATATTCTGTATCTACTGGGTGCTATATTCTATACCTACTGGGTGCTATAATCTGTATCTACTGGGTGCTATATTCTATATCTACTGGGTGCTATATTCTATATCTACTGGGTGCTATATTCTATATCTACTAGGTGCTGTGTCCTATATCTACTTGGTGCTATATTCTATATCTACTGGGTGCTATATCCTCTATCTCCTGGGTGCTATGTCCTACATCTACTGGGCACAGTCTTATTATACCTATTGATAGAGGGGTCTAATCTAATCACAGCATTGATGTAGGAGATAAAGAATGCTCTACCTTGTCTTGCCAGCGCCACCCAGCCCCACCAGCATCAGCTTGGTCCTGCGACACGCTGTGAAGCCTCCAGCGAGACGCTTCAGATATGCCTTGACCGACTCAAAGCCTCTGCTTACAACCTCATTGGGCGGAGTTCTCAAGGCGGGACAACCAATCAGGTCTAATGCTGGAAGTGAAAAGGTCCTACATGAATCAACATCATTGGAGTAAGAGCTGAGGTGAAATGGTCCTGCGTCAATCAACATCCTTGTTAGAGGTGAGGTGAAATGGTCCTACATCAATCAACATCCTTGTTGTTAGAGGTGAGGTGAAATGGTCCTACATCAATCAACATTCTTGTTGTTAGAGTGGAGGTGAAATGGTCCTACGTCAATCAACATCCTTGTTGTTAGAGGGGAGGTGAAATGGTCCTACATCAATTAACATCCTTGTTGTTAGAGTGGAGGTGAAATGGTCCAATGTCAATTAACATGCTTGTTGTTAGAGGTGAGGTGAAATGGTCCAATGTCAATTAACATGCTTGTTGTTAGAGGTGAGGTGAAATGGTCTTATGTCAATCAACATCCTTGTTGTTAGAGGTGGGGTGAAATGGTCCAATGTCAATTAACATGCTTGTTGTTAGAGGTGAGGTGAAATGGTCCTGCGTCAATCAACATCCTTGTTGTTAGAGGTGAGGTGAAATGGTCCAATGTCAATCAACATCCTTGTTGTTAGAGGTGAGGTGAAATGGTCCAATGTCAATCAACATGCTTGTTGTTAGAGGTGAGGTGAAATGGTCCTAGATCCATCAACATCCTTGTTGTTAGAGGTGGGGTGAAATGGTCCAATGTCAATCAACATCCTTGTTGTTAGAGGTGAGGTGAAATGGTCCAATGTCAATCAACATGCTTGTTGTTAGGGTGAGGTGAAATGGTCCTACATCAATCAACATCCTTGTTAGAGGTGAGGTGAAATGGTCCAACATCAATCAACATCCTTGTTGTTAGAGGTGAGGTGAAATGGTCCTACGTCAATCAACATCCTTGTTGTTAGAGGTGAGGTGAAATGGTCCAATGTCAATCAACATGCTTGTTGTTAGAGGTGAGGTAAAATGGTCCAATTTCAATCAACATGCTTGTTGTTAGAGGTGAGGTGAAATGGTCCAATGTCAATCAACATGCTTGTTGTGAGAGGTGAGGTGAATTGGGGTTTAACATAGTTCCAGCACGAATATAGCAAAGCTCATGCATAGTACACTGACTCTTCACCGACCAGTCCTTGTTTTTATTGTTGAGGTAACAGTAAGTACCATCATTTCACATCTAGTATGAAATGGCCAAGGGACTGACCTTCCACTCTCTGGGCAGACCCTCCATCCACTAGAGTTGGTCCCTTGTTGCTAGAACCATTGACCATTGAAGTTACTATGTGTACAATTTAGCAGAACTGAGACACCGGATACTATTAAATACAACTTCAATAATGGTGTGAGACAAGCAGTGTTCATGTTACAATAATAAATATTAGTTCAACATTTCAACAGTAATAAGCCTTTCTCTAGGTCTGGGAAGGACATTCAATGATTGCTTTACTGGGTCATGTGATGAGGGCTTGTGTGAGACTTACTCTTCATGTTCGGGAGGTGTCCAAGGGACCCCGGCAAGCTCTCCAGCAGGGGGCAGTGTTCGAGGCTGAGCACGCGCAGGTTGACGAGTCGGCACATGTGGACGGGGACAGCAGTGATGGCTGTGTAGTCGAGGTACAACTCCTCCAGTGCCCCCATCTGAAACACTGCCGCTGGAATACCGCCATACTCCTCATCGGCTGAAACAAAGCATCGCGTTGTGTGATCTCTCGTTACTATGGACGAATAGACAGGTTCACAAGGGATTGAACTGGTAATTGTCACAAGTCTACTCAATAATTCTCTTGTAGTCATCACACAATTTTGTCTCAGGCAAAGTGCCCTTTCATATGGATCAAAAATAGTACAATGGTATTACAAGGTATGACAGTTAAACTAGGACAGCAGAAACAAGAGTATGATGAGGTATGACCGTCTGTGACAGGGTATGACAGTGTGTAGGTATGACATTGCAAGTCTGTGTGTGACCAGGGGATGTCAGACAGCTTGATAGTGTGTGACAGTGTATGACAGTGTGTGACAATTGTTGGCAGTGTGTGACAGTGTGTGACAATAGTTGACAGTGTGTTACAGTGCATGACAGAGTGTGACAATGGTCAAAAGTTTGTGACAGTGCGACAGTGTGTGACAATGGTCGACTGTGTGACAATAGTTGGCAGTGTGTGACAGTGCTTGACAGAGTGTGACAATGTCGACAGTGTGTGACAATAGTTGACAGTGTGTTACAGTGAGTGACAGAGTGTGACAATGGTCAACAGTGTGTGACAGTGCATGACAGTGTGTGACAGAGTATGACTGTGTGTGACATACTGATGCAGGTTGATCCTATCCGAGGGATGTCCCAGAAGAGCCGCAGGTTGAGCACAGCCAGCTCCTCCTCGTCCAGCATTCCATTCTTGTTCACATCATGCAGCTTGAATGTCTTCTGTATGTCCTGGGGGAAAAATACAAGACTCACCAGCTTGACAGGTAGGTCCACCACACACACCTACAAGACTCACCAGCTTGACAGGTAGGTCCATCACACACACCTACAAGACTCACCAGTTGGACAGGTAGGTCCATCACACACACCAGTTGGACAGGTAGGTCCACCACACACACCTACAAGACTCACCAGTTGGACAGGTAGGTCCACCACACACACCGATATGAGTCACCAGCTGGACAGGTAGGTCCACCACACACACCTACAAGACTCACCAGTTGGACAGGTAGGTCCATCACACACACCAGTTGGACAGGTAGGTCCATCACACACACCTACAAGACTCACCAGTTGGACAGGTAGGTCCATCACACACACCTACAAGACTCACCAGTTGGACAGGTAGGTCCATCACACACACCTACAAGACTCACCAGTTGGACAGGTAGGTCCACCACACACACCTACAAGACTCACCAGTTGGACAGGTAGGTCCATCACACACACCTACAAGACTCACCAGCTTGACAGGTAGGTCCATCACACACACCTACAAGACTCACCAGTTGGACAGGTAGGTCCATCACACACACCTACAAGACTCACCAGTTGGACAGGTAGGTCCATCACACACACCTACAAGACTCACCAGCTTGACAGGTAGGTCCATCACACACACCTACAAGACTCACCAGTTGGACAGGTAGGTCCATCACACACACCTACAAGACTCACCAGTTGGACAGGTAGGTCCATCACACACACCTACAAGACTCACCAGCTGGACAGGTAGGTCCAACACACACACCAGTTGGACAGGTAGGTCCATCACACACACCTACAAGACTCACCAGTTGGACAGGTAGGTCCATCACACACACCTACAAGACTCACCAGCTGGACAGGTAGGTCCAACACACACACCAGTTGGACAGGTAGGTCCATCACACACACCTACAAGACTCACCAGTTGGACAGGTAGGTCCATCACACACACCTACAAGACTCACCAGCTGGACAGGTAGGTCCAACACACACACCAGTTGGACAGGTAGGTCCATCACACACACCTACAAGACTCACCAGTTGGACAGGTAGGTCCATCACACACACCTACAAGACTCACCAGCTTGACAGGTAGGTCCACCACACACACCTACAAGACTCACCAGTTGGACAGGTAGGTCCACCACACACACCGACATGACTCACCAGTTGGACATTTAGGTCCACCACTCACACCGACATGACTCACCAGTTTGACAGGTAGGTCCACCACACACACCAGCTGGACAGGTAGGTCCACCACACACACCTACAAGACTCACCGGTTGGACAGGTAGGTCCACCACACACACCGACATGACTCACCAGTTGCACAGGTAGGTCCATCACACACACCGATATGAGTCACCAGTTGGACAGGTAGGTCCACCACACACACCGACATGAGTCACCAGTTGGACAGGTAGGTCCATCACACACACCAGTTGCACAGGTAGGTCCACCAAACACACCAGTTGGACAGGTAGGTCCACCACACACACCGACATGAGTCACCAGTTGCACAGGTAGGTCCACCAAACACACCAGTTGCACAGGTAGGTCCACCACACACACCGACATGAGTCACCAGTTGCACAGGTATAGGTCCACCACACACACCAGTTGGACAGGTAGGTCCACCACACACACCAGTTGCACAGGTAGGTCAATCACACACACCAGTTGCACAGGTAGGTCCACCACACACACCAACATGAGTCACCAGTTGGACAGGTAGGTCCACCACACACACAAGTTGCACAGGTAGGTCCATCACACACACCAGTTGCACAGGTAGGTTCACCACACACACCAGTTGGACAGGTAGGTCCACCACACACACCAGTTGGACAGGTAGGTCCACCACACACACCGATATGAGTCACCAGTTGGACAGGTAGGTCCATCACACACACCAATTGGACAGGTAGGTCCACCACACACATCAGTTGGACAGGTAGGTCCACCACACACACCAGTTGGACAGGTAGGTTCACCACACACACCAGTTGGACAGGTAGGTCCACCACACACACCAGTTGGACAGGTAGGTCCACCACACACACTAGTTGGACAGGTAGGTCCATCACACACACCAGTTGGACAGGTAGGTCCACCACACACACCAGTTGGACAGGTAGGTCCACCACACACACCGACATGACCCATCAATTGGACAGGTAGGTTCACCACACACACCAGTTGGACAGGTAGGTTCACCACACACACCAGTTGGACAAATAGGTCTCCCACACACACCTCCATGACTCACCAGTTGGGGTAGGAAAGTCTCTACAAATTTGTGGTCATCAAACCAGTAGTCGTACTGCTCTCGGGACATTGCTGTTTTCGAGCCTCCGAGTGTGATCCAGGCCATGCCTACAATGTTGCCAAAAGAAATGAGTAAGGATAGCCCAAGTGATGCAGGCCTTAGACATTTACCACTTTGGTGAAACCCACGAGCATGTGTATGGCGCTGACAAACCCAGGAACACAATCCGGGTGAACAGGGATTTGAAACGATCAAAGCTTTCTGGCATGCCCAAGGGACACAATTCTGCACAGAAAATAGCGGTACTTAAGACAACTTGGACGCCCATAACCCCGACTAAAATCAAGAGAAGAGATGAATTAGATATACCAATTACCTGATAGATTCAAGACCTTCAGTTTTTTCAGCTGGCCAATTTCCAGTGGAATGTCAGCTAAAGGGTTACTGCTGAGGTTCAAGGTCACTAGTTCCTGCAAGCTCCCAATGCCTGCAGGTATCTGTGTCAACTGAAGTCCAACAAGTTCTAGGTGAGTCAGCTGACTAGATGCCGGCCACTGATTGGGTAAGGACGTAACAGGCAACATGTGACAATTCAGTCGTATCAGTGACGGCACCAAGAAGATGTCACTGGGAAGTTCTTTGATGGCACTCTCTGTGAATGACACAATCTTAAGGCGAGCACATTTTGACACTCCTTCCGGAAGAGATGTGAGATTGCCACATTCATCTAGGGAGAAGACTTGCAGGTTGGGGAAATTTGGGAAGAAGTCGTCCGAGAAAGATGTCTGATGAGGCAGTTCCCGGCAGATGGTGTTGACAGTCTCCTGGTAGGGCTGAAAGTGATGAACGTCGATGTTGTCTGTCATCTCCATGTGGGTGTCCATCTCCGAGGTGAGCAGGTGGGCCTTGCACAAGACACGCCTCTTGAACTTGGACATGACCAGCACAGAGGGGTCCTCCACACACTGCGCACTGAACTTCTGCAGGTGAACGTCTCCAGCTTTTATATTCTTCATGATGGTATTTCCATACATTTCAAACCTAGCTTGCAGGTCCATCCCACCCTGCTGCTCAGCAAAGATGTGACACTGGGCGGCAAAGGTCTTCAGTAATGAGGACAGGAGATGCTCCACCTGCAAGATGAACACATCGGGGTAACACAAGTCATTTGTCTACCTGTTGTCTGTTGTAGAGTCATTTGTCTACCTGTTGTCTGTTGTAGTGTCATTTGTCTACCTGTTGTCTAGTGTAGTGTCATTTGTCTACCTGTTGTCTAGTGTAGTGTCATTTGTCCACCTGTTGTTTGGTGTAGTATGATTTGTCTACCTGTTGTCTGTTGTAGTGTCATTTGTCCACCTGTTGTCTGTTGTAGTGTGATTTGTCTACCTGTTGTCTAGTGTAGTGTCATTTGTCTACCTGTTGTCTGGTGTAGTGTCATTTGTCTACCTGTTGTCTAGTGTAGTGTGATTTGTCTACCTGTTGTCTGGTGTAGTGTCATTTGTCTACCTGTTGTTTGGTGTAGTGTCATTTGTCTACCTGTTGTCTGGTGTAGTGTCATTTGTCTACCTGTTGTCTGTTGTAGTGTCATTTGTCTACCTGTTGTCTAGTGTAGTGTCATTTGTCTACCTGTTTGGTGTAGTGTCATTTGTCTACCTGTTGTCTGTTGTAGTGTCATTTGTCTACCTGTTGTCTGTTGTAGTGTCATTTGTCTACCTGTTGTCTAGTGTAGTGTCATTTGTCTACCTGTTGTCTAGTGTAGTGTCATTTGTCCACCTGTTGTTTGGTGTAGTATGATTTGTCTACCTGTTGTCTGTTGTAGTGTCATTTGTCCACCTGTTGTCTGTTGTAGTGTGATTTGTCTACCTGTTGTCTAGTGTAGTGTGATTTGTCTACCTGTTGTTTGGTGTAGTGTCATTTGTCTACCTGTTGTTTGGTGTAGTGTCATTTGTCTACCTGTTGTCTAGTGTAGTGTCATTTGTCCACCTGTTGTTTGGTGTAGTATGATTTGTCTACCTGTTGTCTGTTGTAGTGTGATTTGTCTACCTGTTGTCTAGTGTAGTGTCATTTGTCTACCTGTTGTTTGGTGTAGTGTCATTTGTCTACCTGTTGTTTGGTGTAGTGTCATTTGTCTACCTGTTGTTTCGTGTAGTGTCATTTGTCTACCTGTTGTCTGGTGAAGTGTCACTTGTCTACCTGTTGTCTGATGTAGTGTCATTTGTCTACCTGTTGTCTGGTGTAGTGTCATTTGTCTACCTGTTTTCTGGTGTAGTGTCATTTGTCTACATGTTGTCTAGTGTAGTGTCATTTGTCTACCTGTTGTCTGGTGTAGTGTCATTTGTCTACCTGTTGTCTAGTGTAGTGTCATTTGTCCACCTGTTGTCTGGTGTAGTGTCATTTGTCTACCTGTTGTCTGTTGTAGTGTCACTTGTCTACCTGTTGTCTAGTGTGTAGTGTCATTTGTCTACCTGTTGTCTGGTGTAGTGTCATTTGTCTACAAGTTGTCTGGTGTAGTGTCATTTGTCTACCTGTTGTCTAGTGTAGTGTGATTTGTCTACCTGTTGTCTGGTGTAGTGTGATTTGTCTACCTGTTGTCTGGTGTAGTGTCATTTGTCTACCTGTTGTCTAGTGTAGTGTCATTTGTCTACCTGTTGTCTGGTGTGATTTGTCTACCTGTTGTCTAGTGTGTAGTGTGATTTGTCTACCTGTTGTCTGGTGTAGTGTCATTTGTCTACCTGTTGTCTGGTGTAGTGTCATTTGTCTACCTGTTGTCTAGTGTAGTGTCATTTGTCTACCTGTTGTCTAGTGTAGTGTCATTTGTCTACCTGTTGTCTGGTGTGATTTATCTACCTGTTGTCTGTTGTAGTCTGGTTTTCCACCTGAGAATATCTTGTGATACACTGGCAGATTCAGCTGAAATCAGAAAGGAAAATAAGACAATTAATGTTAAAGTTGAACAGCCTCAGGTATCTTAATATCATAGTGGCATTAGAGATTGTTTGCGTGACTGTCAGAGGCAGTACATGACTGAAAGGACGACTGTTGTTGACATTAAGAGTTACCTCCCCTGGTTGTGTGACAGGTTTTGGGTGTGGATAGTTTCTAGACAGTTTCTTGCTGTAAGTGAGTGAGTGAGTAAATTGGGTTTAACGTCGCTTTGAACAGTATTTTAGTTATCTCGTAGTATGTCAGTTTGATGTGGGAGGATAGCCTGAAGTGATGCAGTACTCATATATTTACCAAATTCATGAAACCCACAGGCACAGGTATGGTACCGTATTCCATGTATTAAGCGCCCAGGGCGCTCTCAAAATTAGAAATAGGGAGCTCTTATTAGAATATTATTTTGGTGAAAAAAAACACAGTTGAAAGATAAATTTTGTGGTTTATGCTCACAGCCTGAAATGTTTATATATGACAGATATATTTTTCCAGAATTTAATTGCCCATAATTGAGGGTAAATATTACACACGAGTGCGTATTTTCACGAATAAATAGGTCTTCTGTACATTGATCAATCGGAAGGGGTGCTAATTGGGATTGTTTACTAGCCAATATATTAGCAAATATTGCCGTGGGAGCTTATTAGAGCGGGGCGCTTATTACGTCGAATACGGTAGTGACAAAACTATAACATAACCAGAATTCAAACACACAATCACAGGTATCAGGCATGCCCAAGGGATGCAACTCTGCAGATACTGAGCCACCTGTATTAGCGTGACATGAGGGCCAGGACAGGGTAAAGGTTACCTTTGTAGCTGTAAGAGCGGTGTAAGTCCAGCCAGAGTTGAGACTGGCGTACAGAAGGTCAAGCGGGAGCGGGGCCTCGAGGGGGATTGGAGGAATGTCCACGAAGTGTAGAGGGACGTCCAGTGACATCTCCTCCTGCCACTGTTCATTCACCTGGTCTGAATCATTCAACATAGACTGGTATTATGCACATGCGCATGCACAATATGCACCTCCATGCAAACAGGTGCCATTGAAGCGTATGAATAAAATCTTTGCTCAAAATGGATCAGACAACGCTACTGACAGAAAGAAGGTACTGATTTCCATGGAAACAGAACAGACAAAGTTATTCACCTCCACGGAAACAGAACAGACAAAGCTATTCCCCTCCACGGAAACAACAGACAAAGCTATTCACCTCCACGGAAACAGAACAGACAAAGCTATTCACCTCCACGGAAACAGAACAGACAAAGCTACTCACCTCCACGGAAACAGAACAGACAAAGCTATTCACCTCCACGGAAACAGAACAGACAAAGCTATTCACCTCCACGGAAACAGAACAGACAAAGCTATTCACCTCCACGGAAACAGAACAGACAAAGCTATTCACCTCCACGGAAACAGAACAGACAAAGCTACTCACCTCCACGGAAACAGAACAGAGGAAGCTACTCACCTCCACGGAAACAGAACAGACAAAGCTATTCACCTCCACGGAAACAGAACAGACAAAGCTATTCACCTCCACGGAAACAGAACAGACAAAGCTACTCACCTCCACGGAAACAGAACAGACAAAGCTATTCACCTCCACGGAAACAGAACAGACAAAGCTATTCACCTCCACGGAAACAGAACAGACAAAGCTACTCACCTCCACGGAAACAGAACAGACAAAGCTACTCACCTCCACGGAAACAGAACAGAGGAAGCTACTCACCTCCACGGAAACAGAACAGACAAAGCTACTCACCTCCACGGAAACAGAACAGAGGAAGCTACTCACCTCCACGGAAACAGAACAGACAAAGCTATTCACCTCCACGAAAACAGAACAGACAAAGCTATTCACCTCCACGGAAACAGAACAGACAAAGCTATTCACCTCCACGGAAACAGAACAGACAAAGCTATTCACCTCCACGGAAACAGAACAGACAAAGCTATTCACCTCCACGGAAACAGAACAGACATAGCTACTCACCACGGAAAAAGAACAGATGAAGCTATTCACCTCCACGGAAACAGAACAGACGAAGCTACTCACCTCAATGGCAACATACACGGAAAAGATACTGACCTCCACCTTCACAGAAACGGACAGAGAGAAGGTACTGACCTCCATAGAAACAAAACAGATGAAAGCTACTATCCTCCATGGAAATAGACATGGAAATGGAGATGGAAATGGACACGGAAATGATACTGACCTCCATGGAAAATAGAACAGAAGCAGTTACTGACCTCCACGGAAGCAGAGCCTGTGGACCTCGATGTCCTTGTACAGCTGCAGGACTGGAGCATGACACAACTTGGTGGCGTCTAGGGAGCCAGGCAGGAACACAAACATATGTTTGGAGTCTTTCTTGTGACCATGGGACCAAGCAGCCAGCTTCCTGCTGAGGTCTGCAATCTGCAGCTCTTGAACTGAAACAGACACCAAACGTACATGTCCTATACATGTATCTGGTTACATACGTCTTGACACATGTTCTATACATGTATATGGTTACATACGTCTTGACACATGTCCTATACATGTATTTGGTTACATACGTCTTGACACATGTTCTATACATGTATATGGTTACATACGTCTTGACACATGTCCTATACATGTATCTGGTTACATACGTCTTGACACATGTTCTATACATGTATCTGGTGACATACATCTTGACACATGTTCTATACATGTATATGGTTACATACAAGGGATGTTTGCACAAGGAGCAGGAGGATGGACTCCCCTGTGAGGTGTGGGGACAGGAGGGTTGACTCACTTGTGAGTTCGGTGGACAGGAATGTGGACTCACCTGTGAGTCTTGTGGGCATGACATCACACTTTGCAAGAGATTCCAGTGAGTTGGCCCTCCACCCAGAGTCTAGTGCCATGATGGCGTACTGAGTGCCCTGTGTGAGCAGACATGAAGGGGGGAACATGTAGGCACGCTTCTCCACGACCATGTTACCTGGAAACCATGGAAACGCATTCATAATAAAAAGTAGGCACCTGATTAACGTGACACTGATCAGGGGTACTTCACACTGACATTTTTGTGAGTGAGTGAGTGAGTGAGTGAGTGAGTGAGTGAGTGAGTGAGTGAGTGCATGCGTGAGTGAGTGAGTGAGTGAGTGAGACTACCATGTATTCACTTGAAGTAGTATCTATCAGCAACATCAGTCTGAGAGAGAGCTTCTCAAATTGTACCCACTTTGATCTTTACAAGAAATATCTTTAAACAGTGGGATACCTCTCAATAATTTCACACCAATTTTAAAAACTTTATATTTTGACATAATGTAACTCTATTTTTATTATCTCTACAGTGTACATCAATTTATTACCTCTATTTTCAAATCCATAGATCTCCACATCAGCCTTAACAATCTCCTTTTTTTCGTGTTGCCTGCAACCAAAATTGATTTGATGATGACTTACAAACTGTGACAAAGTTTTATGAAGTATCAGAGATGAGGAACATCATGTTCACCCAATGTGTGGGATTCAGTAGGAAAATAGGAAAATCATTCTGGCACAAAACCTCCACAAGGACCTGAGAATGCAACTAGAATGCAGATGGATCCTTAGGGCAAGTCGTATGAGTATTCCTCTCTGTAGCATCAAGTCCTGTGAGTATACATTCTTTACAACTTGCTGTATATTTATTATAGCACCAGTAGTATAATGAAGGCATTAGGAAACAATGTGTATAAAGAGACATACTCTGTGTCAAGGGTGATGGTTTCCTCCAATGGTTCATATATATTCCTTAACCTCTCCAAGAGTGAGAAGCCTTCCCCGGATTCTTGTACATCATCAACAGGAGGAAGTTTCAGAGCTGGAAAGTCAACTTCATCAGGTTTCTTCTGCTCTGTCTTGCTACCATCAGGTTTATCTCCCTTGGTTCCATCAGATTTGTCTCCCTTCTTGCCCTCCTTCTCTCCCTTGATGACAGTGGACATTTCCTCGATGACCTCAAGAGGGAGCTGTTCTAGTTGGATGGCCGGGGAGTCCGCCTCCACACACAGCAGTGTGTTCACCTCATGGTCCTTGGGGGAGTACTCTAGCGTCAGTCCCAGCCCATCGTGCGTCACATGGGCAATAACACACTCCGCATACGTGTTCCTGAAACACAGAACAGTGTCATCGTGTGTCACATCGGCAATAACACACTCCGCATACGTGTTCCTGAAACACAGAACAGTGTCATCGTGTGTCACATCGGCAATAACACAGTCCACTTACATGTTACCATGTGTTCCAGTTACAACATCACTCACGTGTTCCAGCTACAACATTACTCACATGTTACAGTTACAACATCACTCATGTGTTCCAGTTACAACATCACTCACGTGTTCCAGCTACAACATTACTCACATGTTACAGTTACAACATTACTCACATGTTACAGTTACAACATCACTCACGTGTTCCAGTTACAACATCACTCACGTGTTCCAGCTACAACATCACTCACATGTTCCAGCTACAACATTACTCACATGTTACAGTTACAACATCACTCACGTGTTCCAGTTACAACATCACTCACGTGTTCCAGCTACAACATCACTCATGTGTTCCAGTTACAACATCACTCACATGTTCCAGCTACAACATTACTCACATGTTACAGTTACAACATCACTCACGTGTTCCAGTTACAACATCACTCACATGTTCCAGTTACATCACTCACGTGTTCCAGTTACAACATCACTCACGTGTTCCAGTTACATCACTCACGTGTTCCAGTTACAACATCACTCACATGTTCCAGTTACATCACTCACATGTTCCAGTTACATCACTCACGTGTTCCAGTTACAACATCACTCACGTGTTCCAGTTACAACATTACTCACATGTTCCAGTTACAACATCACTCACATGTTCCAGTTACATCACTCACATGTTCCAGTTACAACATCACTCACATGTTCCAGTTACAACATCACTCACATGTTCCAGTTACAACATCACTCACGTGTTCCAGTTACATCACTCACATGTTCCAGTTACAACATCACTCACATGTTCCAGTTACAACATCACTCACATGTTCCAGTTACATCACTCACATGTTCCAGTTACAACATCACTCACATGTTCCAGTTACAACATCACTCACATGTTCCAGTTACAACATCACTCACATGTTCCAGTTACAACATCCCTCACGTGTTCCAGTTACAACATCACTCACATGTTCCAGTTACAACATCACTCACATGTTCCAGTTACAACATCACTCACATGTTCCAGTTACATCACTCACGTGTTCCAGTTACAACATTACTCACATGTTCCAGTTACAACATCACTCACATGTTCCAGTTACAACATCACTCACGTGTTCCAGTTACAACATCACTCACATGTTCCAGTAACAACATCACTCACGTGTTCCAGTTACAACATCACTCACATGTTCCAGTTACATCACTCACGTGTTCCAGTTACAACATTACTCACATGTTCCAGTTACAACATCCCTCATGTGTTCCAGTTACAACATCACTCACGTGTTCCAGTTACAACATCACTCACGTGTTCCAGTTACAACATCACTCACATGTTCCAGTTACAACATTACTCACATGTTACAGTTACAACATCACTCACGTGTTCCAGTTACAACATCACTCACATGTTCCAGTTACAACATCACTCACGTGTTCCAGTTACAACATTACTCACGTGTTCCAGTTACAACATCACTCACGTGTTCCAGTTACAACATCACTCACATGTTCCAGTTACAACATTACTCAAATGTTACAGTTACAACATCACTCACATGTTCCAGTTACAACATCACTCACATGTTCCAGTTACAACATCACTCACGTGTTCCAGTTATAACATCACTCACGTGTTCCAGTTACAACATCACTCACATGTTCCAGTTACAACATCACTCACGTGTTCCAGTTACAACATCACTCACATGTTCCAGTTACAACATTACTCACGTGTTCCAGTTACAACAACACTCACATGTTCCAGTTACAACATCACTCACGTGTTCCAGTTACAACAACACTCACATGTTCCAGTTACAACATCACTCACGTGTTCCAGCTGAAAACATTACTCACGTGTGAAAGTAACATTCAGGCGTGACATCGACATTAATTAGTGTGACATGCAGTGAGAAGACTTACTCCGTGGGCTGAGCGATCAGCCGCATTCCTCTCTGGAAGATATTCGGGAGATCAAACGTCTGAAAAAAAAGTAACTGCATGACAATGTGACCAGATGACCCTAGATGTGACCTACACTTGACCTACATATGACCTAGACTTGACCAACACTTAATCTAGACTTGACCTACACTAAACCTACATTTGACCGACACATGACCTACACTTGGACTCTGTTACATAAAATGATGTTTCTCATTGCAGTTAAGTACCAAACAAAAGACAATATTTTATATAACTGAGAAGCTCCTACTCACTGGGAACCGGGGGTATCTGAGGAGGACATTCTGTGGCCCCGCCTCTGTGGGCAGCACGCAGGTGTATCTTCCATCAGGCAGGTAGTACGAGTCAACCAGACTCCCATTCCTTCTCACCTGCAGCTCGTACTCGTCCTGTGTAAGTGATATAGATGCTAATTACAGGTGTAACCTTCACAGGTGCATTGGGAGTAGAATTACAAATGATGAAATAGCAACTTGTTGTCTGGCTCCGTAGCTGTCAACCACTCGATGGTGGCTCCCTACCTGCCTGTACGTGTCTGTGTGGCTCCCTACAAGTCTGTACTTGTCTGTGTGGCTCCCTACCTGTCTGTGTGGCTCCCTACCTGTCTGTGTGGCTCCCTACAAGTCTGTACCTGTCTGTGTGGCTCCCTACAAGTCTGTACCTGTCTGTGTGGCTCCCTACAAGTCTGTACCTGTCTGTGTGCCTCCCTACCTGTCTGTGTGGCTCCCTACCTGTCTGTGTGGCTCCCTACAAGTCTGTACCTGTCTGTGTGGCTCCCTACCAGTCTGTACCTGTCTGTGTGGCTCCCTACCTGTCTGCGTGGCTCCCTACAAGTCTGTACCTGTCTGTGTGGCTCCCTACAAGTCTGTACCTGTCTGTGTGGCTCCCTACCTGTCTGTGTGGCTCCCTACAAGTCTGTACCTGTCTGCGTGGCTCCGTACAAGTCTGTACCTGTCTGTGTGGCTCATTACAAGTCTGTACCTGTCTGTGTGGCTCCCTACCTGTCTGTGTGGCTCATTACAAGTCTGTACCTGTCTGTGTGGCTCATTACAAGTCTGTACCTGTCTGTGTGGCTCCCTACCTGTCTGTGTGGCTCATTACAAGTCTGTACCTGTCTGCGTGGCTCCGTACAAGTCTGTACCTGTCTGTGTGGCTCATTACAAGTTTGTACCTGTCTGTGTGGCTCCCTACCTGTCTGTGTGGCTCATTACAAGTCTGTACCTGTCTGTGTGGCTCCCTACAAGTCTGTACCTGTCTGTGTGGCTCATTACAAGTCTGTACCTGTCTGTGTGGCTCCCTACCTGTCTGTGTGGCTCCCTACAAGTCTGTACCTGTCTGTGTGGCTCCCTACCTGTCTGTGTGGCTCATTACAAGTCTGTACCTGTCTGTGTGGCTCCCTACAAGTCTGTACCTGTCTGTGTGGCTCCCTACAAGTCTGTACCTGTCCGTGTGGCTCCCTACAAGTCTGTACCTGTCTGTGTGGCTCCCTACAAGTCTTTACCTGTCTGTGTGGCTCATTACAAGTCTGTACCTGTCTGTGTGGCTCATTACAAGTCTGTACCTGTCTGTGTGGCTCCCTACAAGTCTGTACCTGTCTGTGTGGCTCCCTACAAGTCTGTACCTGTCTGTGTGGCTCCCTACAAGTCTGTACCTGTCTGTGTGGCTCATTACAAATCTGTACCTGTCTGTGTGGCTCATTACAAATCTGTACCTGTCTGTGTGGCTCCCTACAAGTCTGTACCTGTCTGTGTGGCTCCCTACAAGTCTGTACCTGTCTGTGTGGCTCATTACAAATCTGTACCTGTCTGTGTGGCTCCCTACAAGTCTGTACCTGTCTGTGTAGCTCCCTACAAGTCTGTACCTGTCTGTGTGGCTCATTACAAGTCTGTACCTGTCTGTGTGGCTCATTACAAGTCTGTACCTGTCTGTGTGGCTCCCTACAAGTCTGTACCTGTCTGTGTGGCTCATTACAAGTCTGTACCTGTCTGTGTGGCTCATTACAAGTCTGTACCTGTCTGTGTGGCTCATTACAAGTCTGTACCTGTCTGTGTGGCTCCCTACAAGTCTGTACCTGTCTGTGTGGCTCCCTACAAGTCTGTACCTGTCTGTGTGGCTCATTACAAATCTGTACCTGTCTGTGTGGCTCCCTACAAGTCTGTACCTGTCTGTGTGGCTCCCTACAAGTCTGTACCTGTCTGTGTGGCTCCCTACAAGTCTGTACCTGTCTGTGTGGCTCATTACAAATCTGTACCTGTCTGTGTGGCTCCCTACAAGTCTGTACCTGTCTGTGTGGCTCATTACAAGTCTGTACCTGTCTGTGTGGCTCCCTACAAGTCTGTACCTGTCTGTGTGGCTCCCTACAAGTCTGTACCTGTCTGTGTGGCTCCCTACAAGTCTGTACCTGTCTGTGTAGCTCCCTACAAGTCTGTACCTGTCTGTGTGGCTCATTACAAGTCTGTACCTGTCTGTGTGGCTCCCTACCTGTCTGTGTGGCTCCCTACAAGTCTGTACCTGTCTGTGTGGCTCCCTACCTGTCTGTGTGGCTCCCTACAAGTCTGTACCTGTCTGTGTGGCTCCCTACAAGTCTGTACCTGTCTGTGTGGCTCCCTACAAGTCTGTACCTGTCTGTGTGACTCCCTACAAGTCTGTACCTATCTGTGTGGCACCCTACCTGTCTGTGTGACTCCCTACAAGTCTTTACCTGTCTGTGTGGCTCCCTACAAGTCTGTACCTGTCTGTGTGGCTCCCTACCTGTCTGTGTGGCTCCCTACAAGTCTGTACCTGTCTGTGTGGCTCCCTACAAGTCTGTACCTGTCTGTGTGGCTCCCTACAAGTCTGTACCTGTCTGTGTGGCTCCCTACATGTCTGTACCTGTCTGTGTGGCTCCCTACAAGTCTGTACCTGTCTGTGTGGCTCCCTACAAGTCTGTACCTGTCTGTGTGGCTCATTACAAGTCTGTACCTGTCAGTGTGACTCCCTACAAGTCTGTACCTGTCTGTGTGGCTCCCTACAAGTCTTTACCTGTCTGTGTGGCTCCCTACAAGTCTTTACCTGTCTGTGTGGCTCCCTACAAGTCTGTACCTGTCTGTGTGGCTCCCTACAAGTCTGTACCTGTCTGTGTGGCTCCCTACAAGTCTGTACCTGTCTGTGTGGCTCCCTACAAGTCTGTACCTGTCTGTGTGGCTCCCTACCAGTCTGTACCTGTCTGTGTGGCTCCCTACAAGTCTGTACCTGTCTGTGTGGCTCCCTACAAGTCTGTACCTGTCTGTGTGGCTCCCTACAAGTCTGTACCTGTCTGGGTGGCTCCCTACAAGTCTGTACCTGTCTGCGTGGCTCCCTACAAGTCTGTACCTATCTGTGTGGCACCCTATCTCTCTGTGTGGCTCCCTACCTGAATGTCTGGCTCCCCTTCTGCTGACCTCTTCAACCTTGTAACATCTGACACTTGGCTTTCTATGACCTTGACCTTTAGCCTGGAATTCGATTAGTTGACCACAGTTACACAAATATACATTGAGAACTAGCACATACATTGGTGTGGGGACGGACAGACACAACTTACATGTGGATGTGAGGACAGAAAAACACAACTTACACATATGGGTGTGGGGCTGACAGACACAACTTACATGTGGGGACTGACAGACATAACTTACATGTGGGGACTGACAGACACAACTTACACATGGGTGTTAGGACGGACAGACACAACTTACACATGGATGTGAGGCAGACTGACACAACTTACACATGGATGTGAGGCAGACAGACACAACTTACATGTGGGGACTGACAGACACAACTTACATGTGGGGACTGACAGACACAACTTACACATGGGTGTGATAGCTCTCGGCTGTGAGGACAGAGTAGATGTCAGCTATCTCTGTCTCTGTGTACATCTTCCCAGAGTCCAAAGCAAACCAGGCAATTGCTACCTTGGTCATTGACGCTGAAACACAGAGGAGCCCACATAGTTTCACTGAACAGAGAGCCAGTCTATGTAATACATAACACACGATCCCCAAAGCAGCAGCTGATTTAGCAGCTCATTATTTTCAAGAACACTTCATTCCTGCATGATTCTATCTAATAATCCCTAATATGTTATCAAACTTCATCAGTGATGCTGATAGAATAAGGAAAACATCTATTGATCATAAATATTATTTTTCTGACACACATTCAACCCACTTAATTATTACTGATAGTGTTTTAGGTAACTCACTCATGTCTGTTCCAGGTTTGTCTATAAGTATGGTGCGAGAGGCGCCTGGATCAAGATGCTGGACCAGATCTATACAGGCCGGAGTGGACTTCACCTGTTAACATTAGACAGTGGTGATTACTGATGAGAATGATGGTGGAAGTCACTGTTGGCATAAAACAGAGGAATAAAGACTTGCAAATTCTACCAGATTTTGAATTCACCAATAATTGGCTTCAAGAACTTACACTCACCACATATCCTACAGGATCTACACTCACCACATAACCTTTACGATCTACACTCACCACATATCCTACAAGATCTACACTCACCACATAACCTTTTGAATCTACACTCACCACATATCCTACAGGATCTATATTTACCACATATCCTACAAGATCTACACTCACCACATATCCCACAAGATCTACACTCACCACATATCCTACAAGATCTACACTCACCACATATCCTACGACATCTACACTCACCACATATCCTACAGGATCTACACTCACCACATATTCTACAGGATCTACACTCACCACACATCCTACAAGATCTACACTCACCACATATCCTACGACATCTACACTCACCACATATCCTACAGGATCTACACTCACCACACATATCCTACAGGATCTACTACAGGATCTACACTCACCACATATCCTACAGGATCTACACTCACCACACATCCTACAAGATCTACACTCACCACATATCCTACAGGATCTACACTCACCACATATCCTACAGGATCTACACTCACCACATATCCTACAGAATCTACACTCACCACATATCCTACAGGATCTACACTCACCACATATCCTACAGGATCTACACTCACCACATATCCTACAAGATCTTTGCTTGGATTATGCAGTATTAGCCATCCTTCCAAATTCTTCTTTTGACGCTGAAGAGGCAACTTCAGCCCAGGACTAAAGTGATGGAAGAAAATAAAAACAGGATTCTTAGTACCTGATTATATATTTATCGTGCAAATTATGTTACTGGCATACATTTCTTTCCAAAAGTAAAACAAAATCAACGCATTTATCAGAGCACCATATCATCTACTCCCAATGAAATGCTGTGCATTGGTGGAGACAGTGAGTTCAAGATGTTTATGAAAATGTATACATAAATGTAACATACGTGAGGTTGCATTTCACCTCTAATTTGGAATAATTTGTTACTTTATCTTAAATTGTACACATTTCGCAAAATGGCACAGAATGGAAGAACTACTTTATCGGCGACAGTGCATGCTGGTCATGACGCTGGTCAACATACCTGATCCACAGGTTGCCGTACTTGTAGGTGTCGAAGGCTGGAGGCAGCACTGGCATCTGAGAACATAAGGTGGGCACTGAAGTACATTGGTACAGGAGGGCACTGTGTTACAACCTGACGTGCTAAGAGAACATAAGTGAGTGAGTGAGTACGGTTTTACGCCACTTTTAGCAATATTCCAGCAATATCACGGCGGGGGACACCATAAATGGGCTTCACACATTGTACCCATGTCAGGAATCGAACCCGGTGTAAGGTGCCAAAATCTACCCCCCCTTCAGAGTATACCCGGGTAGATTCTGGGAGCTCCCAGAATCTACCCCGGGGTAGATTTTGGGGACTTCCCAGAATCTACCCCCCTTTCCCAGAATCTACCCCCAGGGGGTATAATCTGGGAATTCCCAGAATCTACCCCGGGGTATAATCTGGGAGCTCCTCCCAGAATCTACCCCGGGTTATAGCTATAATCTAGGAGCTCCAAGAATCTACTGCAGCCCTGTTTGATTTAAACATTTAAACATTATTTCATGAATGTACGTGAAGTTTTCTTTTGGGGGATGCATCTAACTCAGTCTTGATCTCTCCTGGTCAATTGCTGTAACAACATTAAGTTTACATAAATGCCTATTCAGTACACATCTAATTAGTTTTAAAACATTCATATCCCAGAATCTACCCCCAGGGGATATAATCTTGGAGTTCCCAAAATGGTGTAGATAATACCGGTAATAAATTGTTATCGAATCCAAATATTCAAAATGTTGTTTTATACATGCAAAGAAAAAATAAATATTGTTTAAACTAATAAAAAAATATCTTACAAATCAGGCCCCAGAATCTACCCGGGTATACTTTGAAGGGGGGGTATACTTTCAGACTTTACACCGGGTCTTCGGCTTGACGAGCAAATGCTTTAACCACCAGGCTACCCGACCGCCCCTATGAGAACATGAGCTACGGAAGCTTCTGATGACATACCTCTCCTTCCTTGGGTGGCAGCCATGGGTCCAGGTCCAGCAGACGGACCGCCTCCCCTTTAGAGTGAAGGCCAACACAGGGGAAGAAGCCGCCTGTTGGCACACGCATCTTGGTGCTGGTGTATACCTGAAGCATAGAGATAGGTGACAGCACTGGCACAGTTAGTACATTAAGGTGTTTATCATCTGGGCATAACTATAACACCTACAGTATGCATTTATATACAGGGAGAGAACAAGAGTAACAGCTACAATAAGTGCACTTCCTTAATGATACCATATTGCCTACTTCATTCCCAACCCAACAACAATCTAGCAGTTATCCCACTCAACATGTTCCAACAACAATCAAGCTACCATCCAACCCAACATGTTCCATCAACAATCTAGCTACCATCCAACCCAACATGTTCCAACAACAATCTAGCAGCCATCCAACCCAACATGTTCCAACAACAATCTAGCAGTTATCCCACTCAACATGTTCCAACAACAATCTAGCTACCATCCAACCCAACATGTTCCAACAACAATCAAGCTACCATCCAACCCAACATGTTCCAACAACAATCTAGCTACCATCCAACCCAACATGTTCCAACAACAATCTAGCTACCATCCAACCCAACATGTTCCAACAACAATCTATCAGCCACCTAACCCAACATGTTTCAACAACAATCTAGAGAGCCATCCAAGATGTTTCAACAACAATCTTGCAGATATTTCAGGTGAATAAATTGTGTGGGGCAAGAAAGATAAGGTAAAGATGTGTAGGGCAACATATGTGAGGTGGATATGTTAGGTAGGGCAGAAAAATGTCAAACGGATATGTTTTGTGGGGCAGCTGTGTCCAGTGGATTTGTTTGGGAAGAAAAGATGTCATGTAAACCTATGACCCTTCACTGACCAGTTTATCATTCCTGGAGAAGAAAACCTTCTGCTCATCCCAATCCACTTCACAGGTCATGATGTCTCCTTTATGACACTGCTCAGTCCGTTTCAACGGCCAGCCAGACCCAACAAACACTCTACAATTGGGAAAAGAAATGGATACATCAGCCCCGCAGTGTCATCAATGGGAAATTATAAGAAATAATAGTATTGGTAAAACACAATACAGGTACACACAGACACACATACAGGTACACACAGACACCAGTACAGGTACACACAGACACACATACAGCTACACACAGGCACCAGTACAGATACACACAGACACCAGTACAGCTACACACAGACACATGTACAGCTACACACAGGCACACATACAGGTACACACAGACACCAGTACAGGTACACACAGACACACATACAGGTACACACAGGCACACATACAGGTACACACAGACACCAGTACAGGTACACACAGGCATCAGTACAGGTATACACAGACACCTGTACAGGTAAACACAGGCATCAGTACAGGTACACACAGACACCAGTACAGGTAAACACAGGCATCAGTACAGGTACACACAGATACCAATACAGGTACACACAGGCATCAGTACAGGTACACACAGGCACCAGTACAGGTACACACAGATACCAGGACAGGTAAACACAGGCATCAGTACAGGTACACTCAGGCACCAGTACAGGTACACACAGGCACCAGTACAGGTACACACAGACACCTGTACAGGTACACACAGACACCAGTACAGGTACACACAGACACCAGTACAGGTACACACAGACACCAGTACAGGTACACACAGACAGACCTACAGGTACACACAGACACAAGTACAGGTAAACACAGGCATCAGTACAGGTACACACAGACATCAGTACAGGTACACACAGACACACATACAGGTACACACAGACACCAGTACAGGTACACACAGGCATCAGTACAGGTACACACAGATACCAGGACAGGTAAACACAGACACTAATACAGGTACACACAGACACCAGTACAGGTACACACAGACACCTGTACAGATAAACACAGGCATCAGTACAGATACACACAGATACCAGTACAGGTAAACACAGACACTAATACAGGTACACACAGACACCAGTACAGGTAAACACAGGCACACATACAGGTACACACAGGCATCAGTACAGGTACACACAGATACCAGGACAGGTAAACACAGACACCTGTACAGGTACACACAGACACCAGAACAGGTACACACAGACACCAGTACAGGTACACACAGACACCAGTACAGGTAAACACAAGCATCAGTACAGGTAAACACAGATACCAGTACAGGTATACACAGGCACCAGTACAGGTACACACAGACACAAGTACAGGTACACAAAGACAGAAGTACAGGTACACACAGACACCAGTACAGGTACATACAGGCACCAGTACAGGTACACACAGACACCTGTACAGGTACACACAGACACTAATACAGGTACACACAGACACAAGTACAGGTACACACAGACACAAGTACAGGTACACACAGACACAAGTACAGGTACACACAGACACAAGTACAGGTACACACAGACACCTGTACAGGTGCACACAGACACAGACACAGATGTACACAAATACTAGTTCAGATAGATAGCGACATGGACAAGTAAAGAAACAGCTGTTTGTGAAGCTAGCCTCACCCTCCATCGTCAGCATGGAAGCCAATGGAGGATGGGTCCCAGCCTGGCTGTCGGTTCATGCGATAACGTCGGTGGACCAGTCCAACAGCGATGTAGTCACCCTCACCTTGGTTCATAATCTCTGAAACATGGAAGCTGAAAGTACAATCTTCAGAACTTGCTGTGTAAAAGGTAATCATGAAACACTTGATGTCTTGACTGTGAAATCCTGATGTTTCTTTACTGAATTTACCCATTGTACGGACTGGGCCAATGTTACATACAGAGGGAGAACTTGCTGCTTTATACGGACTGGGCCAATGTTACATACAGAGGGAGAAATTGTTGCACTGTATGGACAAGGCCAATGTTACATACAGAGGGAGAAATCGTTGCACAGTATGGACAAGGCCAATGTTACATACCGAGGGAGAAATCGTTGCACTGTATGGACAAGGCTAATGTTACATACAGAGGGAGAAATTGTTGCACTGTATGGACAAGGCCAATGTTACATACAGAGGGAGAAATCGTTGCACAGTATGGACAAGGCCAATGTTACATACCGAGGGAGAAATCGTTGCACTGTATGGACAAGGCCAATGTTACATACAGAGGGAGAAATTGTTGCACTGTATGGACAAGGCCAATGTTACATACAGAGGGAGAAATCGTTCCACTGTATGGACAAGGCCAATGTTACATACAAAGGGAGAAATCGTTGCACTGTATGGACAAGGCCAATGTTACATACAGAGGGAGAAATCGTTGCACTGTATGGACTGGGCCAATGTTACATACAGAGGGAGAAATCATTGCACTGTATGGACAAGGCCAATGTTACATACAGAGGGAGAAATCGTTGCACTGTATGGACAAGGCCAATGTTACATACCAAGGGAGAACTTGCTGCTTTATACGGACTGGGCCAATGTTACATACAGAGGGAGAAATCGTTGCACTGTATGGACAAGGCCAAAGTTACATACAGAAGGAGAAATCGTTGCACTGTATGGACAAGGCCAATGTTACATACAGAGGGAGAAATCGTTGCACTGTATGGACAAGGCCAATGTTACATACAGAGGGAGAAATCGTTGCACTGTATGGACAAGGCCAATGTTACATACAGAGGGAGAAATCGTTGCACTGTATGGACTGGGCCAAAGTTACATACAGAAGGAGAAATCGTTGCACTGTATGGACAAGGCCAATGTTACATACAGAGGGAGAAATCGTTGCACTGTTTGGACAAGGCCAATGTTACATACAGAGGGAGAAATCGTTGCACTGTATGGACAAGGCCAATGTTACACACAGAGGGAGAAATCGTTGCACTGTATGGACAAGGCCAATGTTACATACAGAGGGAGAAATCGTTGCACTGTATGGACAAGGCCAATGTTACATACAGAGGGAGAAATCGTTGCACTGTATGGACAAGGCCAATGTTACATACAGAGGGAGAAATCGTTGCACTGTATGGACAAGGCCAATGTTACATACAGAGGGAGAAATCGTTGCACTGTATGGACTGGGCCAATGTTACATACAGAGGGAGAACTTGTTGCACTGTATGGACAAGGCCAATGTTACATACAGAGGGAGAAATTGTTGCACTGTATGGACAAGGCCAATGTTACATACCAAGGGAGAACTTGTTGCAATGTACGGACTGGGCCAATATTACATACAGAGGGAGAAATTGTTGCACTGTATGAACAAGGCCAATGTTACATACAAAGGGAGATATTGTTGCAATGTATGGACAAGGCCAATGTTACATACCGAGGGAGAACTTGTTGCATTGTACGGACTGGGCCAATATTACATACAGAGGGAGAAATTGTTGCACTGTATGAACAAGGCCAATGTTACATACCGAGGGAGAACTTGTTGCACTGTATGGGCAAGGCCAATGTTACATACCAAGGGAGAACTTGTTGCACTGTATGGACAAGGCCAATGTTACATACCGAGGGAGAACTTCTTGCACTGTATGGACAAGGCCAATGTTACATACCAAGGGAGAACTTCTTGCACTTTATGGACAAGGCCAATGTTACAAACCGAGGGAGAACTTCTTGCACTGTATGGACAAGGCCAATGTTACATACCGAGGGAGAACTTGTTGCACTGTATGGACAAGGCCAATGTTACATACCAAGGGAGAACTTGTTGCACTGTATGGACAAGGCCAATGTTACAAACCGAGGGAGAACTTCTTGCACTGTATGGACAAGGCCAATGTTACATACCAAGGGAGAACTTCTTGCACTTTATGGACAAGGCCAATGTTACAAACCGAGGGAGAACTTCTTGCACTGTATGGACAAGGCCAATGTTACATACCGAGGGAGAACTTGTTGCACTGTATGGACAAGGCCAATGTTACATACCAAGGGAGAACTTGTTGCACTGTATGGACAAGGCCAATGTTACTTACCAAGGGAGAATTTGTTGCATTCAGAAGTGAGAGGCCGTGCTGCTATAAACTGCGCAACAGGAATTGCTGAAGATGTGGAGTCGTAGCTGGAACACCAAAACACACAATAACAGCTCCCTAGAAACAGAGGCTGAACAACCGGGTAATATGTATTATGACAGATATTGTCAGTTTTCAAAATCCCGGAACACATCACAACCTGACAAAACAATACCCATGTCATGCAACCCACTGGACTGAACTCACCACACAATACCCATGTCATGTGACCTACTGGACTAAACTCACCACACAATACCCATGTCATGTGACCTACTGGACTAAACTCACCACACAATACCCATGTCATGTGACCTACTAGACTAAACTCATCACACAATACCCATGTCATGTGACCTACTGGAATAAACTCAGCACACAATACCAATGTCATGTGACCTACTAGACTAAACTCACCACACAATACCCATGTCATGTGACCTACTGGACTAAACTCACCACACAATACCCATGTCATGTGACCTACTGGACTGAACTCACCACACAATACCCATGTCATGTGACCTACTGGACTGAACTCACCACACAATACCCATGTCATGTGACCAAGTGGACTGAACTCACCACACAATACCCATGTCATGTGACCTACTGGACTGAACTCACCACACAATACCCGTGTCGTGCCAGACGCGGGCCTCGCGGCAGATCAAGGTGTGGTAGACCGGCTTTACCTCCAGGACCTCCTCCTCCTCCACCTCCAGTTCAAGCTGCTGTGCGGAGTTTCTCTGTGTGAAACAAGGACTAGGACCTGACTACACATACAACAGCTAACAAGGACTGGGCGTTAACCTGACTACATGTACAACAGCTAACAAGGACTGGGCGTTAAACTGACTACATGTACAACAGCTAACAAGGACTAGGCGTTAACCTGACTACACATACAACAGCTAACATGGACTGGGCGTTAACCTGACTACACATACAACAGCTAACATGGACTGGGCGTTAACGTGACTACACATACAACAGCTAACATGGACTGGGTGTTAACCTGACTACATGTACAACAGCTAACATGGACTGGGCGTTAACGTGACTACACATACAACAGCTAACAAGGACTGGGCGTTAACCTGACTACATGTACAACAGCTAACATGGACTGGGCGTTAACGTGACTACATGTACAACAGCTAACATGGACTGGGCGTTAACCTGACTACACATACAACAGCTAACATGGACTGGGCGTTAACCTGACTACACATACAACAGCTAACAAGGACTGGGCGTTAACCTGACTACATGTACAACAGCTAACATGGACTGGGCGTTAACGTGACTACATGTACAACAGCTAACATGGACTGGGCGTTAACCTGACTACACATACAACAGCTAACATGGACTGGGCGTTAACGTGACTACACATACAACAGCTAACAAGGACTGGGCGTTAACCTGACTACATGTACAACAGCTAACAAGGACTGGGAGTTAACCTGACTACACATACAACAGCTGACAAGGACTAGGAGTTAACCTGACTACACATACAACAGCTGACAAGGACTGGGAGTTAACCTGACTACATATACAACAGCTAACAAGGACTGGGAGTGAACCTGACTACACATACAACAGCTGACAAGGACTGGGAGTTAACCTGACTACACATACAACAGCTAACAAGGGCTGGGCGTTAACCTGACTACACTTACAACAGCTGACAAGGACTGGGCGATAACCTGACTACACATACAACAGCTAACATGGACTGGGCGTTAACGTGACTACACATACAACAGCTAACAAGGACTGGGCGTTAACCTGACTACATGTACAACAGCTAACAAGGACTGGGAGTTAACCTGACTACACATACAACAGCTGACAAGGACTGGGAGTTAACCTGACTACACATACAACAGCTGACAAGGACTGGGAGTTAACCTGACTACATATACAACAGCTAACAAGGACTGGGAGTGAACCTGACTACACATACAACAGCTGACAAGGACTGGGAGTGAACCTGACTACACATACAACAGCTAACAAGGACTGGGCGTTAACCTGACTACACTTACAACAGCTGACAAGGACTGGGAGTTAACCTGACTACATATACAACAGCTAACAAGGACTGGCAGTTAACCTGACTACACATACAACAGCTGACAAGGACTAGGCGCTAACCTGACTACATATACAACAGCTAACAAGGACTAGGCGTTAACCTGACTACACATACAACAGCTAACATGGACTGGGCGTTAACCTGACTACATGTACAACAGCTAACAAGGACTGGGCGTTAACCTGACTACATGTACAACAGCTAACAAGGACTGGGAGTTAACCTGACTACACATACAACAGCTGACAAGGACTAGGCGCTAACCTGACTACATATACAACAGCTAACAAGGACTAGACGTTAACCTGACTACACATACAACAGCTAACATGGACTGGGCGTTAACGTGACAACACATACAACAGCTAACAAGGACTGGGCGTTAACCTGACTACATGTACAACAGCTAACAAGGACTAGGCGCTAACCTGACTACATGTACAACAGCTAACAAGGACTGGGAGTTAACCTGACTACATGTACAACAGCTAACAAGGACTGGGCGTTAACCTGACTACATATACAACAGCTAACAAGGACTGGGAGTTAACCTGACTACACATACAACAGCTGACAAGGACTAGGCGCTAACCTGACTACATGTACAACAGCTAACAAGGACTGGGAGTTAACCTGACTACACATACAACAGCTGACAAGGACTAGGCGCTAACCTGACTACAGATACAACAGCTAACAAGGACTGGGCGTTAACCTGACTACATGTTCAACTGCTAACAAGGACTGGGAGTTAACCTGACTACACATACAACAGCTGGCAAAGGACTAGGCGCTAACCTGACTACATGTACAACAGCTAACAAGGACTGGGAGTTAACCTGACTACACATACAACAGCTGACAAGGACTAGGCGCTAACCTGACTACAGATACAACAGCTAACAAGGACTGGGAGTTAACCTGACTACATGTACAACAGCTAACAAGGACTGGGAGTTAACCTGACTACATGTACAACAGCTAACAAGGACTGGGCGTTAACCTGACTACACATACACCAGCTAACAAGGACTGGGCATTTACCTGACTACACATACAACAGCTAACAAGGACTGGGCGTTAACCTGACTACATGTACAACAGCTAACAAGGACTGGGTGTTAACCTGACTACATGTACAACAGCTAACAAGGACTGGGCGTTAACCTGACTACAAATACAACAGCTGGCAAGGACTGGGCGTTAACCTGACTACATGTACAACAGCTAACAAGGACTGGGAGTTAACCAGACTACACATACAACAGCTGACAAGGACTGGGCGTTAACCTGACTACATATACAACAGCTAAGAAAAAGGACTTGGCGTTTACCTGACTACATGTACAACAGCTAACAAGGACTATGCGGTAACCTGACTACACATACAACAGCTAAGAAGTAGTGGGAGTTAACCTGACTACACATACAACAGCTAAGGAGGACTAGGAGTTAACCTGGTGTCAACAGCTAACAATATCGTCCAATATTGTGGTATACCTGTGACGTGGTCGACTCAATATTTAGAGCTACCTGTGACGTGGTCCAATCAGTATAGAAGACTACCTGTGACGTGGTCCAGTCAGTATAGAGAGCTACATGTTACGTGGTTAAGTCAGTATTGAGGGCTACCTGTGACGTGTCCAGTCAGTATTGTGGGGTACCTGTGACATGTCCAGTCAGTATTGTGGGGTACCTGTGACGTGTCTAGTCAGTATTGTGGGCTACCTGTGACGTGTCCAGACAGTATTGTGGGCTACCTGTGACGTGTCCAGTCAGTATTGTGGGCAACCTGTGATGTGTCCAGTCAGTACTGTGGGGTACCTGTGACGTGTCCAGTCAGTATTGTGGGGTACCTGTGACGTGTCCAGTCAGTATTGTGGGGTACCTGTGACGTGTCCAGTCAGTATTGTGGGGTACCTGTGATGTGGTCCAGTCAGTATTGAGAGCTACCTGTGACGTGTCTAGTCAGTATTGTGGGGTACCTGTGACGTGTCCAGTCAGTATTGTAGGGTACCTGTGATGTGGTCAAGTCAGTATTGAGAGCTACCTGTGACGTGTCTAGTCAGTATTGTGGGCTACCTGTGACGTGTCCAGTCAGTATTGTGGGGTACCTGTGATGTGTCCAGTCAGTATTGAGAGCTACCTGTGACGTGGTCCAGTCAGTATTGTGGGCTACCTGTGACGTGTCCAGTCAGTATTGTGGGGTACCTGTGACGTGTCCAGTCAGTTTTGTGGGGTACCTGTGATGTGGTCCAGTCAGTATTGAGAGCTACCTGTGACGTGTCTAGTCAGTATTGTGGGGTACCTGTGACGTGTCCAGTCAGTATTGTGGGGTACCTGTGACGTGTCCAGGCAGTATTGTGGGGTACCTGTGACGTGTCCAGTCAGTATTGTGGGCTACCTGTGACGTGTCTAGTCAGTATTGTGGGGTACCTGTGACGTGTCTAGTCAGTATTGTGGGGTACCTGTGACGTGGTCCAGTCAGTTTTGTGGGGTACCTGTGATGTGTCTAGTCAGTATTGTGGGGTACCTGTGACGTGTCAATTCAGTATTGAGAGCTACCTGTGACGTGGTCCAGTCAGTATTGTGGGGTACCTGTGATGTGTCCAGCCAGTATTGAGAGCTACCTGTGACGTGGTCCAGACAGTATTGTGGGGTACTTGTGACAGGGTCCAGTCAGTATTGTGGGGTACCTGTGACGTGTCCAGTCAGTATTGTGGGGTACCTGTGACGTGTCCAGTCAGTATTGTGGGGTACCTGTGACGTGTCCAGTCAGTATTGTGGGGTTCTTGTGACGTGGTCCAGTCAGTATTGTGGGATACCTGTGACATGGTCCAGTCAGTATTGTGGGGTACCTGTGACGTGTCCAGTCAGCATTGTGGGGTACCTGTGACGTGTCCAGTCAGTATTGTGGGGTACCTGTGACGTGTCCAGTCAGTATTGTGGGGTACCTGTGACGTGTCCAGTCAGTATTGTGGGGTACCTGTGACGTGTCCAGTCAGTACTGTGGGATACCTGTGACAGGGTCCAGTCAGTATTGTGGGGTACCTGTGACGTGTCTAGTCAGTATTGTTGGGTACCTGTATTTCGTGGAGGGTGATAGAGATGGTGTCCCCCTGCCGCAGCTGATGAGACTTGAGTAAGTCAAGCTTCTTGTTGTAGTTCTTTAGTTTCACCTGGTCTGGAACAACCACGGCAGGACCCGGAAACACCTGGACCAGGGCGCCTGATGTCTCGTTCTGTCTGGAAACAAACACAGGAGACTGTTGCCACCACACACACATTGCTATCTGGTGGGGAGAACACCAGTGGGGAGAACACAAGTGGGGAGAACATAAGTGGGGAGAACACAAGTTGGGAGAATACCAGTGGGGAGAACACAAGTGGGGAGAACACAATTTGAGAGAACACAAGTGGGGAGAACACCAGTGGGGAGAACACAAGTTGAGAGAACACCAGTGGGGAGAACACCAGTGGGGAGAACACCAGTGGGGAGAACACAATTTGATAGAACACAAGTGGGGAGAACACCAGTGGGGAGAATACAAGTTGAGAGAACACAAGTGGGGAGAACACCAGTGGGGAGAACACCAGTGGGGAGAACATCAGTGGGGAGAACAAAAGTTGGGAGAACACCAGTGGGGAGAACACCAGTGGGGAGAACATAGTGTGGAGAACACAAGTGGGGAGAACACCAGTGGGGAGAACACCAGTGGGGAGAACACCAGTGGGGAGAACACAAGTGGGGAGAACACAATTTGAGAGAACACAAGTGGGGAGAACACCAGTGGGGAGAACACAAGTTGAGAGAACACAAGTGGGGAGAACACCAGTGGGGAGAACACCAGTGGGGAGAACACCAGTGGGGAGAACACCAGTGGGGAGAACACCAGTGGGGAGAACATCAGTGGGGAGAACACAAGTTGGGAGAACACCAGTGGGGAGAACACCAGTGGGGAGAACATAGTGTTGAGAACACAAGTGGGGAGAACACCAGTGGGGAGAACACAAGTGGGGAGAACACCAGTGGGGAGAACACAATTTGATAGAACACAAGTGGGGAGAACACCAGTGGGGAGAACACAAGTTGAGAGAACACAAGTGGGGAGAACACAAGTGGGAAGAACACAAGTGGGGAGAACACCAGTGGGGAGAACACAAGTGGGGAGAACACCAGTGGGGAGAACATAAGTGGGGAGAACACCAGTGGGGAGAACACAAGTGGGGAGAACACCAGTGGGGAGAACATCAGTGGGGAGAACACAAGTTGGGAGAACACCAGTGGGGAGAACATAGTGTTGAGAACACAAGTGGGGAGAACACCAGTGGGGAGAACACAAGTTGGGAGAACACCAGTGGGGAGAACACCAGTGGGGAGAACACCAGTGGGGAGAACACAAGTGGGGAGAACATCAGTGGGGAGAACACAAGTGGGGAGAACATAAGTGGGGAGAACATCAGTGGGGAGAACACCAGTGGGGAGAACATCAGTGGAGAGAACATAGTGTGGAGAACACAAGTGTGGAGAACACCAGTGGGGAGAATATAAGTGGGGAGAACACCAGTTGGGAGAACACCAGTGGGGAGAACACCAGTGGGGAGAACACCAGTGGGGAGAACACAAGTTGGGAGAACACAAGTGGGGAGAACACAAGTGGGGAGAACACCAGTGGGGAGAACACAAGTGGGGAGAACATCAGTGGGGAGAACACCAGTGGGGAGAACACAAGTGGGGAGAACACCAGTGGGGAGAACACCAGTGGGGAGAACACAATTTGAGAGACACAAGTGGGGAGAACACCAGTGGGGAGAACACAAGTTGGGAGAACACAAGTGGGGAGAACATAAGTGGGGAGAACACAAGTGGGGAGAACATAAGTGGGGAGAACACAAGTGGGGAGAACATCAGTGGGGAGAACACCAGTGGGGAGAACATAAGTGGGGAGAACACCAGTGGGGAGAACACAATTTGAGAGAACACAAGTGGGGAGAACATCAGTGGGGAGAACATAAGTGTGGAGAACACCAGTGGGGAGAACATAGTGTGGAGAACAAAAGTGGGGAGAACACAAGTGGGGAGAACACCAGTGGGGAGAACACAAGTTGGGAGAACACAAGTGGGGAGAACACCAGTGGGGAGAACACCAGTGAGGAGAACATCAGTGGGGAGAACACCAGTGGGGAGAACACAAGTGGGGAGAACACAATTTTGAGAGAACACCAGTGGGGATAACATAGTGGGGAGAACATCAGTGGGGAGAACACCAGCGGGGAGAACATAGTGGGGAGAACATATTGTGGAGAACACAAGTAGGGAGAACACAAGTGGGGAGAACACCAGTGGGGAGAACACCAGTGGGGAGAACACCAGTGGGGAGAACACCAGTGGGGAGAACATCAGTGGGGAGAACACCAGTGGGGAGAACACAAGTGGGGAGAACACCAGTGGGGAGAACACCAGTGGGGAGAACACAATTTGAGAGACACAAGTGGGGAGAACACCAGTGGGGAGAACACAAGTTGGGAGAACACAAGTGGGGAGAACATAAGTGGGGAGAACACAAGTGGGGAGAACATAAGTGGGGAGAACACAAGTGGGGAGAACATCAGTGGGGAGAACACCAGTGGGGAGAACATAAGTGGGGAGAACACCAGTGGGGAGAACACAATTTGAGAGAACACAAGTGGGGAGAACATCAGTGGGGAGAACATAAGTGTGGAGAACACCAGTGGGGAGAACACCAGTGGGGAGAACATAGTGTGGAGAACAAAAGTGGGGAGAACACAAGTGGGGAGAACACCAGTGGGGAGAACACAAGTTGGGAGAACACAAGTGGGGAGAACACCAGTGGGGAGAACACCAGTGAGGAGAACATCAGTGGGGAGAACACCAGTGGGGAGAACACAAGTGGGGAGAACACAATTTTGAGAGAACACCAGTGGGGATAACATAGTGGGGAGAACATCAGTGGGGAGAACACCAGCGGGGAGAACATAGTGGGGAGAACATATTGTGGAGAACACAAGTAGGGAGAACACAAGTGGGGAGAACACCAGTGGGGAGAACACCAGTGGGGAGAACACCAGTGGGGAGAACATAAGTGGGGAGAACACAAGTGGGGAGAACACAAGTGGGGAGAACACCAGTAGGGAGAACACCAGTGGGGAGAACACCAGTGGGGAGAACATAAGTGGGGAGAACACAAGTGGGGAGAACACAAGTGGGGAGAACATCAGTGGGGAGAACATAAGTGTGGAGAACACCAGTGGGGAGAACACAAGTGGGGAGAACATAGTGTGGAGAACAAAAGTGGGGAGAACACAAGTGGGGAGAACACAAATGGGGAGAACACCAGTGGGGAGAACACAATTTGAGAGAACACAAGTGGGGAGAACACCAGTGGGGAGAACACAAGTGGGGAGAACACAATTTGAGAGAACACCAGTGGGGAGAACATAGTGGGGAGAACACAAGTAGGGAGAACACCAGTGGGGAGAACACAAGTGTGGAGAACATCAGTGGGGAGAACACCAGTGGGGAGAACACCAGTGGGGAGAACATCAGTGGGGAGAACACAATTTGAGAGAAGACAAGTGGGGAGAACACAAGTCGGGAGAACATCAGTGGGGAGAACACCAGTGGGGAGAACACAACTGGGGAGAACACTACGGGCACTCAGTAACACTGCCATATGCTTACATCACTTTCCTCGGGCTCCTTACAGAAATGGCTGGGATGAATTCATGAGTGCTACTGTAAAGACACTATTACTGGAATAATCAATGTAAAGTTTAGGATAGAACAGAGGGCATAGATGGATAGAAAAAAATGTTTCCTAAATACTAGTCACTGATCATGATCTCACAAGGAAATGAAACTTTCCTCAAATCAAGTGAGGTATTGTTACATGGTAGACAGGAAGCCTCACCACGCAAACAATGCAGGGATTAATATGTCAGTGTCCACTGACCCATGCCAATCCACTACTAAAGAGAGTGTTGGCTTACTTCTTGAGGCAGATGGGATCTCCTCCGATCTGGAGACTGATACAGTCCACCTGGTTGTACATCACACCGTCCAGCGGAACCACATCGGTCAACTCCGTCTTGTCCCCCTGGGAAACCTCACAACATGGACGCAGCAACGTCCGTAGTGTCTGGAACATACACCAATAACACGGTTTATATAAACATGTACAGTCCTCTGTATGTACAGCCACCTGTATGTACTGTATGTACAGCCACCTGTATGTACAGTCCTCTGTATATACAGCCATCTGTATGTACTGTATGTACAGCCACCTGTATGTACAGTCCTCTGTATGTACAGCCATCTGTATGTACTGTATGTACAGCCACCTGTATGTACAGTCCTCTGTATGTACAGCCATCTGTATGTACAGCCATCTGTATGTACAGCCATCTGTATGTACAGTCATCTGTATGTACTGTATGTACAGCCATCTGTTTGTACTGTATGTACAGCCATCTGTATGTACTGTATGTACAGTCATCGGTATGTACTGTATGTACAGCCATCTGTATGTACAGCCATCTGTATGTACAGTCATCTGTATGTACAGCCATCTGTTTGTACTGTATGTACAGCCATCTGTATGTACTGTATGTACAGTCATCGGTATGTACTGTATGTACAGCCATCTGTATGTACTGTACACCAATTTTCCACCTTTGTTTTCTTATGACTATAGTAGTTCTTACAGGTACATATGTTCTCTGCCTCATAGCATTTATTCACCTGATGCAGGAGTAAGCATATGCTCTGAAATGTTGTGTTCCTCATAATAAAGAAGTTGACATCCATATATTCTCTTCCTTAACCATCTGTATGTCTTTATGTATGAAGGTGAGCTACAGTGGATATTTACATGTTAACATCAAATGCAATTTCATTTCGATCTAACATTTCATTCCAACACATACCTCTCTGCAACCTCTGTCAGTGTCTCACACATGTCTCAGATGTATACGAAATGAGCACCAGTGATGGGCATATATGATACAGTGACCCCTCACTATTGCACCCTTCCATAACAGCTAACTAGGTAACTAGGTTATGTATTGCTCGCAAAATGTATGTATATTTTTAAGTTTTACACAGACACGGTTTTATTGTTGTTTATTTTTCATTTGTACTAAAGGGTTCTCATTTCATAATCTATCACTCTGTACTGTGTACTGTTGTGTTGGTCACTTACCGCTTACAATAAACCACTGTTCATCAATTATTTGGACCCCAAAGGTGGCAAGGGATCCCTGTATTTCCAATACTGTAAGGACATCACCAATGGGAGGACTGACAACTGGGATATGTGAAAAAATGGAACATGCCATCACAGGCTCTAGTAGCAAAATACATGACATATCCATGACCATGTCCAACAGTCCCCTTCACCATTTGACCGACTTACCCACAGATGCTGGGCGCACCTCCTACAGATTCCACAAGACTTGCAGCCAGTCACTTTAGTCCCGCACTCACACTGCCGCAGGTACTGTCCCATGATGCCGTTGTACTTGCACTCTGACCCCAGGTCACAGCAAAGGTTACAGAGGGTGCAGATGCTCTGGATGGTCTCAGCATCAGACATCCTCCACTCGTGTTTACATCCGACAGAAGTATTGGCTGCAAGGCAAGGTTCAGAACTCAGCACAAGATGCTCATATTCTCGCATGTTCCCCTCTGTCATTCATCACCAAGATAGTGAAACGTCTTGTCAACTTACCAAACCAGTGAGGCACATCTTCCTGAATGATTGGAAGCAGCCCACAGCTTTCAAGATGGCTGTCGATGACGTCTGCTAGGATACAGAACACGTTCCAGGTGTATTCTTCAACATGGTAGCGGGTGTCATCATTGATTGGGCCAACATCAGAGTCTGGCACGAAACACTTGGACTCTATGGTCAGAGCATCCACTGGAACAAGGTAAAGAAAGATGGGCATATACACAAATACTTGGACTCTATGGTCAGAGCATCCACTGGAACAAGGTACAGAAAGATGGGCATATACACAAATACTTGGACTCTATGGTCAGAGCATCCACTGGAACAAGGTAAAGAAAGATGGGCATATACACAAATACTTGGACTCTATGGTCAGAGTACCACTGGAACAAGATACAGAAATATGACCATATACACAAATATACTCAACAACAACAGTTCCTGTGACACAAATATTTTAGTGTATTTTCAAGTAAAGTTTGGTTTTCAATATTGTAGTACATGTATGGAATCAAGTCACAAAAACGCAACTGCTACAGAAAAGCATGCATTCCATGCAAAAGTTGACTTTTATGGAAGCCCCATGCATATACACAAATATTTAATTTTAGGGTCAGGGCATCCACTGGAACAAGACAATGTAGGATAGGCAGATAAACACATGGATTCTCCATCTCAATTCCCCCTGACAGGGTAGGATGCTACTAACCGGCCTTCTCCACGGTGTGCTTCACAATGGTTGTCTGAACAGCTCCACTCTGGAAAACTCCTCCCTCTTTCATCATCAGTTGGAGTCGAGAGAACTGCGAGCACAGCGTCACCAACGCAGTCAGGAGCCCAGTCGGCATCCCCATCCCAAATTTGTACGTCCTCCACATCAACACACTGTCTGCAGGTCTCTTGCCCTTGGCCCAGTAGTCAGACTAGAGAACAGGAATGTTTAGAACACATGGAGGACAATAGGACTTGACCAGTCACAGTATATGTAGGACCAGAGGACAGGAACACTCACAGTATATGTAGGACCAGAGGACAGGAACAATCACAGTATATGTAGTACCAGAGGACTTGACCAGTCACAGTATATGTAGTACCAGAGGACTTGACCAGTCACAGTATATGTAGGACCAGAGGACATGAACAATCACAGTATATGTAGTACTAGAGAACAGGACCAATCACAGTTTATGCAGGACTAGAGAACAGAACAATCACAGTTTATGCAGGACTAGAGAACAGGACCAGTCACAGTTTATGCAGGACTAGAAAACAGGACCAGTCACAGTTTATGTAGGACTAGAAAACAGGACCAATCACAGTTAATGTAGGACTAGAAAACAGGACCAGTCACACACACTATCAGGGTTATACAGAGTGTAACTACACACAATATCAGGGTTATACAGACTATAACTACACACAATATCAGGGTTATACAGGGTGTAACTACACACAATATCAGGGTTATACAGAGTGTAACTACACACACTATCAGGGTTATACAGAGTGTAACTACACACAATATCAGGGTTATACAGAGTGTAACTACACACAATATCAGGGTTATACAGAGTGTAACTACACACAATATCAGGGTTATACAGAGTGTAACTACACACACTATCAGGGTTATACAGAGTGTAACTACACACAATATCAGGGTTATACAGAGTGTAACTACACACAATATCAGGGTTATACAGAGTGTAACTACACACACTATCAGGGTTATACAGAGTGTAACTACACACAATATCAGGGTTATACAGAGTGTAACTACACACAATATCAGGGTTATACAGAGTGTAACTACACACAATATCAGGGTTATACAAGGTGTAACTACACACAATATCAGGGTTATACAGAGTGTAACTACACACAATATCAGGGTTATACAGGGTGTAACTACACACAATATCAGGGTTATACAGGGTGTAACTACACACAATATCAGGGTTATACAGAGTGTAACTACACACAATATCAGGGTTATACAGAGTGTAACTACACACACTATCAGGGTTATACAGAGTGTAACTACACACAATATCAGGGTTATACAGGGTGTAACTACACACAATATCAGGGTTATACAGAGTGTAACTACACACAATATCAGGGTTATACAAGGTGTAACTACACACAATATCAGGGTTATACAGAGTGTAACTACACACAATATCAGGGTTATACAGGGTGTAACTACACACAATATCAGGGTTATACAGGGTGTAACTACACACAATATCAGGGTTATACAGTGTCTATTTGTCCACTCGCAGGGACAGTGAAACCATCTGGCTACTAACCATGTTTGTGTTGCCCATAGCAACATGCTGTGTGAGGGTGAAGAGATGTGAAGGGTCTGACGGGTCTGTCCTCAAACACGGAACTCGGAGCAGACCCATCTGCAGCAGTAGGTGTTTCAACACACTTGTCTGTGGAGAAAAGTATGCAATTTAACAACAACAAGGTCATTACAAGGTCACAACAAGGTCACAACAAGGATCTGGTTCAGTCACAAATGAAGCTCAAGGGCATATGGTGGTTATTCTGTGTTAATGGTGGCACATGGTCCTGTGTACAAGTCACAGATCAGGTGAAGCTACGCAGGGAGTAGTTGGATGGGTGACTGCATTGACTCTTGAGAGCCCCATACTGAAGCACATATAACACCTGTGGTGTCTCCATAGGCAGGGGGCTTTTACTTCTAAATATGCCTCTGGTCACCCAGCAGTGAATGGATACCCGGAAAGATGAGATGATATTGTGACTGTTTACCTTCTGGCGTCTCACGGGCAGCTTGGGTTGTATACTCCCCATGGAGCTGAGAATGAACATTGAGTGTACACTGATCCATTAACTGGTGAGGTGAGGTGAAAAGGGGGTTTAACGTTGCGTCCACTATTATTGCACTTATATAGCCATGTGCATGTACGCGTGTGTGTTTGTGTGGCTGCTTGTACTAGTCCGGACTGATGCTGATTTATAGTGCTATCTCACTGAGATATCATGCCACAGTTTAACATGAATACCCCACTCAGACACCATATACTGACTCCGAGCCGACCAGTCCATGTTTTAGCCCCTTAATGCCGAGCGCCAGACAGGGTAACAACAAGTACCATCTTTTAACATCTTTTGGTATGACGTGGTCGGGGATCGAACCCTGGACCTTCCGCTCTCCGGGCGGACGCTCTACCACCAGACCACGGAGGCGGTCCAATCCATTAACTGTGTTAATAATAACGTAAAGATCCGTGAGCAGCCATGCTGGAACTCTACATATATTATTACTATTATGATGAATGTCAACAAGACTTGTGGTGTGACCTGAACTGGACACCCTACCTGTTCCTTGTCCATTTCTCTTGCTGATGTGATGGTGTTTTCTTCCCACAGCAGAGTTGCCTCCCCTACTACCACTGCCCGCTTGTCTGGACAGCCCCCGTCCACAGATGCCACTCGGTCAAACATCTTCTGGAGAAACCCTCTGTCCACAGCAAACTCTACACAGTTGAACTTGACATGGAGCAATTGGCCCTGCAACAATGAACCATGTGTGTCTGTTGAGTGTATTGCTATGCAGGTGTCAATAGAGTGCATTGCTGTGTAGGTGTCAGTACTGTGCATTGCTGTGGAGGTATTCATGTGTGTCAGTAGAGTGTTTTGCTGTCCGGATATTCATGTGTGTCAATAGAGAGTATTGCTGTCCGGGTATTCATGTGTGTCAGTAGTGTGTATAGCTGTCAAGGTATTCATGTGTGTCAGTAGAGCGTATTTCTGTCCAGGTATTCATGTGTGTCAGTAGAGTGTATTTCTGTCCAGGTATTCATGTGTGTCAGTACAGTGTATTGCTGTGGAGGTATTCATGTGTGTTAAAAGATTCATGTGTGTCAGTAGAGTGTATTGCTGTGCAGATATTCATGTGTGTCAGTCGAGTGTATTGCTGTGCAGGTATTCTAGTATTTATATAAAAGCGGACAGATCAGAGATATGGAAGTAGGATGACTCACCGTGTTGTGCAGGATCTTGACAGCCTGTGTGTAGACCTGGCAGGAGTTATTCAGGATGTCCTCGGTCAGATTCTGTAAGCTGGACACAGACACAATGCTGTGTGCTCCTACAACAGCTACAATCTTTTCCAGGCCCTTCTGTACAAATGTGTGGACGTCGTATTGCATGGGGTAGTTGTTCCGGTGACTCTCATGGAGACCAATCAGCTTCTCGACCAGCGTGTCATACCCCTGGACATAGAATTGGAACACATTATCTACACCATACAAAAGTGCAATATTATTGTGGTTTTGTTATAGGACTGTCCAAAAACAGAGAGCTCTTGGAGTTTAGATAGATTCTTTACCAACATCTACCTTTCCTACCTTGACCTTGAGAGATTCTCTACCAACACCTACCTCTCCTGACTTGACCTTGAGAGATTCTCTACCATCACCTACCTCTTGACTTGACCTTGAGAGATTCTTTACCAACACCTACCTCTCCTACCTTGACCATGAGAGATTCTCTACCGACACCTACCTCTCCTACCTTGACCTTGTGAGATTCTCTACCAACACCTACCTCTCCTGACTTGACCATGAGATATTCTCTACAAACACCTACCTCTCCTGACTTGACCTTGAGGGATTCTCTACCGACACCTTCCCCTCCTACCTTGACCTTGTGAGATTCTCTACCAACACCTACCTCTCCTGACTTGACCATGAGATATTCTCTACAAACACCTACCTCTCCTGACTTGACCTTGAGGGATTCTCTACCGACACCTTCCCCTCCTACCTTGACCTTGTGAGATTCTCTACCAACACCTACCTCTCCTACCTTGACCTTGAGAGATTCTCTACCGACAATTACCTCTCCTACCTTGACTTTGAGAGATTCTCTACCGACAATTACCTCTCCTACCTTGACCTTGTGAGATTCTCTACTGACACCTATCTCTCCTACCTTGACCATGAGAGATTCTCTCCCAACACCTACATCTCCTAACTTGACTTTGTGAGATTTTTTACCGACACCTACCTTTCCTGACTTGACGTTGACAGACATGAAGTGGAGTCTGTCCTTGTGTTGACAGATTCTCTGCAGACACTCCAGGTTCCAGCACAGACGACTGTAGTAGTTCTGGCCCTGGAAGTCCAGGGAGGCCAGCTTCCTGGAAGAGTGGGAAACAGTTAGTGTAGGTTCACAGTGTCTCCAGTCTCCTGCAGGGCACATTCAACACTGCATTAAATGGGTGTGTCACCTGCAGGGCATATTCAACACTGCATCAAATGGGTGTGTCATCCTGCAGGGCACATTCAACACTGCATCAAATGGGTGTGTCACCTGCAGGGCATATTCAACACTGCATTAAATGGCAGTGTCACCTGCATGGCACATTCAACACTGCATTACATGGGTGTGTCACCTGCAGGGCACATTCAACACTGCATTAAATGGGTGTGTCATCCTGCAGGGCACATTCAACACTGCATCAAATGGGTTTGTCACCTGCAGGGCACATTCAACACTGCATTAAATAGGTGTGTCACCTGCAGGGCACATTCAACACTGCATTCATTGGGTGTGTCATCCTGCAGGGCACATTCAACACTGCATTAAATGGGTGTGTCACCTGCAGGGCACATTCAACACTGCATTCATTGGGTGTGTCACCTGCAGGGCACATTCAACACTGCATTACATGGGTGTGTCACCTGCAGGGCACATTCAACACTGCATTAAATGGGTGTGTCACCTGCAGGGCACATTCAACACTGAATTTAATGGGTGTGTTACCAGCAGGGCACATTCAACACTGCATCAAATGGGTGTGTCACCTGCATTGCACATTCAACACTGCATTAAATGGGTGTGTCATCCTGCAGTGCACATTCAACACTAACAATATTTGGAGATCAAGAGATTCTTACTTTTCAAGCCTTTGGACTTCTGACTTTAGGTCTGCAATCATTGTGATATCCTTCTGAAGGTCAAGGCTGTTTTCAATCAGCTGAAGTTTGGCCTTCTCATCCGACCCCTCCCCGGAAGCCACAGACACCACAACAAACTGACATCCATCAGGGGGCACAGCCGCTTTCTCCTTGGAGTGAGGCAGACAAAGTCAGCTCATCAGTAGAGATAAGTAAGATGAAGGAAGTGGGTACTTAGTGTTGGTAGTACTAGGTACTCTCCACATCTGACAACTCAGCACAACTGTCAACTCCACATACCTGTCAACTCCACATACCTCTCAACTCCACACACCTGTCAACTCCACACAACTGTCAACTCCACACACCCGTAAATCTTACACACCTGTCAACTCCACACAACTGTCAACTCCACACGCCTGTCAACTCCACTCACCTGTTAACTCCATACACCTGTGTACTCCACACACCTGTCAACTCCACATAACTGTCAACTCCACACACCTGTCAACTCCACACACCTGTCAACTCCACACACCTGTCAACTCCACACAACTGTCAACTCCACACAACTGTCAACTCCACACACCCGTAAATCTTACACACCTGTCAACACCACACAACTGTCAACTCCACACGCCTGTCAACTCCACTCACCTGTTAACTCCACACACCTGTCAACTCCACACAACTGTCAACTCCACACACCTGTCAACTCCACACAACTGTCAACTCCACACACCCGTAAATTTTACACACCTGTCAACTCCACACGCCTGTCAACTCCACACACCTGTTAACTCCACATACCTCTCAACTCCACACACCTGTCAACTCCACACAACTGTCAACTCCACACACCTGTCAACTCCACACAACTGTCAACTCCACACACCCGTAAATTTTACACACCTGTCAACTCCACACGCCTGTCAACTCCACACACCTGTTAACTCCACACACCTGTCAACTCCACACAACTGTCAACTCCACACACCTGCCAACTCCACACACCTGTCAACTTGACATACCTGTCAACACCATATACTTGTCAACACCACACACCTGTCAATGCACACACCTGTCAACTCCACACAACTGTCAACTCCACACACCTGTCAACTCCACATACCTGTCAACTCCACATACCTGTCAACTCTACACACCTGCCAAATCCACACACCTGTCAACTCCACATACCTGTCAACTCCACATACCTGTCAACTCTACACACCTGCCAAATCCACACACCTGTCAACTCCACATACCTGTGCTTGTTTCTGGGTCTTGTCATCTTCCTGTAAACAAAATACACAATGATCAAATATTAATACTTCATATGGAACAATTTCATAGTCAGAAATGATTTAAGAGAAGTGGTCACTTACATATAAGCCAATGAGCTGAAGAAGCAATATTAAGTATTACATCAAAATCAGGGTTTTCGATTCTCAGTTTGACAAGCTTGAACCAATGAGGTACCAGAAGTGACAGTCTGGTTTTCTGCTGTTTGGAGTAGTCAGTTGTATCATGAAAAGGTCGCGATGGGAGGACAGTCCAAAGTAGGATGCAAAAAGTCACAAGACCATCGATAGGGAGCTAGTTGAGTACTACATCCCTCCTTCATGACAGGGAGGAAGTGGCATAATTGAGGTCTGTCTGTCTGTCACACATCCCTCCTTCAAGACAGGGAGGAAGTGGCAACATTGAGGTCTGTCTGTCTGTCACACATCCCTCCTTCGGGACATGGAGGAAGTGGCAACATTGAGGTCTGTCTGTCAGTCACACATACCTGCTTCAGGACAGGGAGGAAGTGGCATCACTGAGGTCTGTCTGTCAGTCACACATCCCTCCTTCGGGACAAGGAGGAAGTGGCAACATTGAGGTCTGTCTGTCGGTCACACATACCGGCTTCATGACAGGGAGGAAGTGGCAACATTGAGGTCTGTCTGTCGGTCACACATACCTGCTTCCTGACAGGATAGAAGTGGCAACATTGAGGTCTGTCTGTCTGTCACATATACCGGCTTCCTGACAGGGAGGAAGTGGCAACACTGAGGTCTGTCTGTCAGTCTGTTGCACATCTCTCCTCCATGACAGGATGGAAGTGGCAACATTGAGGTCTGTCTGTCACACATACCTGCTTCCTGACAGGGAGGAAGTGGCAACATTGAGGTCTGTCTGTCTGTCAAACATACCTGCTTCCTGACAGGGAGGAAGTGGCAACATTGAGGTCTGTCTGTCAGTCACACATCCCTCCTTCGGGACAGGGAGGAAGTGGCAACATTGAGGTCTGTCTGTCGGTCACACATACCTGCTTCCTGACAGGGGGGAAGTGGCAACACTGAGGTCAGTCTGTCTGTCACACATACCTGCTTCAGGACAGGGAGGAAGTGGCAACACTGAGGTCTGTCTGTCTGTAAACATACCTGCTTCATGACAGGGAGGAAGTGGCAACATTGAGGTCTGTCTGTCAGTCACATATCCCTCCTTCGGGACAGGGAGGAAGTAGCAACATTGAGGTCTGTCTGTCTGTCACACATACCTGCTTCCTGACAGGGGGGAAGTGGCAACATTGAGGTCTGTCTGTCTGTCTGTCTGTCTGTCTGTCACACATAATTGCTTCATGACAGGGAGGAAGTGGCAACATTGAGGTCTGTCTGTCTGTCACATACACCTGCTTTAGGACAGGGAGGAAGTGGCAACATTGAGGTCTGTCTGTCTGTCTGTCTGTCACACATACCTGCTTCCTGACAGGGAGGAAGTGGCAACAATGAGGTCTGTCTGTCGGTCACATACACCTGCTTCAGGACAGGGAGGAAGTGGCAACATTGAGGTCTGTCTGTCTGTCTGTCTGTCTGTCTGTCACACATACCTGCTTCCTGACAGGGAGGAAGTGGCAACAATGAGGTCTGTCTGTCTGTCTGTCTGTCTGTCTGTCACACATACCTGCTTCCTGAGAGGGAGGAAGTGGCAACATTAAGGTCTGTCTGTCACACTTACCTGTTTCACGACTGGGTAGCACCCAGGAAAATAGTTTGCCAGCTGGACTCGGTCTGTTTCATGGTGGAGGGCAACGCAGGGGAACAATCCGTCACTCTGGTAGGAGAACTTCGCTTCATGTACCTGCAGACATGCAGCATGTCATGTATTGGTTCAGACCCAGTCAGCAACATTCTGGCAATCAGATTTGGGCAAACAGGTCATCCCATACTGTCATCACACACACCCAACCAGGGTCACCAAGCCTCTTATGACAGCGTAGAGTGCTGGGGACCTATTCTTTCTGATAAAAAGTTCCAAGGAAGACAAGCCCTCGAGTGCTAGTAACCTATTATTACCCAAATAATTCCCAAGGGAAAACAAGCCCTCGAGTGCTAGTAACCTATTATTACCCAAATAATTCCCAAGGGAAAACAAGCCCTCGAGTCCTTGGGATCTATTATTACCCAAATAATTCCCAAGGGAAGACAAGCCCTCGAGTGCTAAGAACCTATTATTACCAATATAATTCATAAGGGAAGACAAGCCCTCGAGACAAGCTGCATGATGTACCTTGACACCATTCTTGGTGAAATACACATCTAGCATCTGCTGGGGTTGAAGTCGTCCATCCTCTGTCAACTTTGTTGTCTCCATGACAATGCCACAGCCAACAACATCTCCAACACCATACAGGGTGTTCACAGAATCCATGATGCTTGAGCGGCTTCCATAGGCGGAGTTGTGATAGAGCCTGGAAGGAAAGATGGAAGATCATAAACATGTAGGAAGACAGTTGATCATCCATCTGCCGAGGCAAGGGAGATAATAACTGTAACAGTCCAGTTTCCACCCTTGCCAAACTAGGCTGGAATTTCTTGGCTGGATCGTAGTGACACCAGTCTAGTTTGGCAAGGGTGGAAACCTCAGTTAACTCTCTTGCCTTGGGAAGAAGCTACCCATTGTGCAGGTTTTCAATTGTAAACAGTTATCAATTGTGCAGGTGTTAGATAGTAAACAGTTATCAGTTGTGCAGGTGTTAGATAGTAAACAGTTGTCCATTGTACAGGTGTTAGATTGTAAACAGTTATCAATTGTGCAGGTGTTAGATAGTAAACAGTTGTCCATTGTACAGGTGTTAGATTTTAAACAGTTATCAATTGTGCAGGTGTTAGATAGTAAACAGTTGTCCATTGTACAGGTGTTAGATTGTAAACAGTTGCCCACTGTGCAGGTTTTAGGGGTATCAGAACCAGGGTACAAGAATTCTTGATGGAGAGGGTTATCAAAACCAGGGTACAAGAATTCTTGATGGAGAGGGGTATCAGAACCTGGGTACAAGAATTCTTGATGGAGAGGGTTATCAGAAGCAGGATTCAAGAATTCTTCATGGAGAGGGGTATCAAAACCAGGGTACAAGAATTCTGGATGGAGAGGGGTATCAGAACCTGGGTACAAGAATTCTTGATGGAGAGGGTTATCAGAAGCAGGATTCAAGAATTCTTCATGGAGAGGGGTATCAAAACCAGGGTACAAGAATTCTGGATGGAGAGGGGTATCAGAACCTGGGTACATGAATTCTTCATCGAAAGCGGTATCAGAAGCAGGATTCAAGAATTCTTCATGGAGAGGGGTATCAGAAGCAGGGTACAAGAATTCTGGATGGAGAGGGTTATCAGAACCTGGGTACATGAATTCTGGATAGAGAGGGTTATCAGAAGCAGGGTACAAGAATTCTGGATGGAGAGGGTTATCAGAACCTGGGTACATGAATTCTGGATGGAGAGGGTTATCAGAACCTGGGTACATGAATTCATGATGGAGAGGGGTATCAGAACCTGGGTACATGAATTCTTCATTGAAAGCGGTATCAGAACCTGGGTATATGAATTCTGGATTGAGAGGGTTATCAGAACCTGGGTACATGAATTCTTGATAGAGAGGGGTATCAGAACCTGGGTACATGAATTCTTGATGGAGAGGGTTATCAGAAGCAGGATTCAAGAATTCTTCATGGAGAGGGGTATCAGAACTTGGGTACAAGAATTCTTGATGGAGAGGGTTATCAGAACCTGGGTATAAGAATTCTTGGAGAGGGGTATCAGAACCTGGGTACATGAATTCTTCATCGAAAGCGGTATCAGAACCTGGGTATAAGAATTCTTGATGGAGAGGGTTATCAGAAGCAGGATTCAAGAATTCTTCATGGAGAGGGGTATCAGAACTTGGGTACAAGAATTCTTGATGGAGAGGGTTATCAGAACCTGGGTATGAGAATTCTTGGAGAGGGGTATCAGAACCTGGGTACATGAATTCTTCATCGAAAGCGGTATCAGAACCTGGGTATAAGAATTCTTGATGGAGAGGGTTATCAGAACCTGGGTACAAGAATTCTTGGAGAGGGGTATCAGAACCTGGGTACATGAATTCTTCATCGAAAGCGGTATCAGAACTTGGGTACAAGAATTCTTGATGGAGAGGGTTATCAGAACCTGGGTATAAGAATTCTTGGAGAGGGGTATCAGAACCTGGGTACATGAATTCTTCATCGAAAGCGGTATCAGAACCTGGGTATAAGAATTCTTGATGGAGAGGGTTATCAGAAGCAGGATTCAAGAATTCTTCATGGAGAGGGGTATCAGAACTTGGGTACAAGAATTCTTGATGGAGAGGGTTATCAGAACCTGGGTATAAGAATTCTTGGAGAGGGGTATCAGAACCTGGGTACATGAATTCTTCATCGAAAGCGGTATCAGAACCTGGGTATAAGAATTCTTGATGGAGAGGGTTATCAGAAGCAGGATTCAAGAATTCTTCATGGAGAGGGGTATCAGAACTTGGGTACAAGAATTCTTGATGGAGAGGGTTATCAGAACCTGGGTATAAGAATTCTTGGAGAGGGGTATCAGAACCTGGGTACATGAATTCTTCATCGAAAGCGGTATCAGAACCTGGGTATAAGAATTCTTGATGGCGAGGGTTATCAGAACCTGGGTACAAGAATTCTTGGAGAGGGGTATCAGAACCTGGGTACATGAATTCTTCATCGAAAGCGGTATCAGAACTTGGGTACAAGAATTCTTGATGGAGAGGGTTATCAGAACCTGGGTACAAGAATTCTTTGAGAGGGGTATCAGAACCTGGATACAAGAATTCTTCATCGAAAGCGGTATCAGAACCTGGGTATAAGAATTCTTGATGGAGAGGTATATCAGCAGCAGGGTTCAAGAATTCTGGATTGAGAGGGTTATCAGAACCTGGGTACAAGAATTCTTGATGGAGAGGGGTATCAGAACCTGGGTACATGAATTTATGAGATCAGGATTGAATTATTTAAGATATCCCAAAATGATGAAGAGTCAACTCACTGGCCATTGTCAGCATGGTATGCAATGGAGCCGTACAGCCAGCCAGGCATGTTGTTGATGATGTAGTTGCGGTCACACAGACCGATGCCAATGTGCTTGCTGGCAGACATGCTCTGAATCTGCATCTCAAAATATCTCAGCTGGGCATTCAATGGCGTCTTGGACACATATAGCCCAAAAGGTGCACGAGCATCATATTTCCTGGTCAAAGAAAAAAAACATATGGTCAATGTTGCCCGTGATGGTTAGAGCTGTGTGAATCTATGCTTCTAAAGGCTTATATTTCTATCATCAGTCAGTTTTACAGACTGCCGAATATCAGAGAAAATGCCAACAAAGGCACTCTAAGTAATGTGGGTTAAGAAGGTACCCTGATGCCTCACCTGTACTGAAGCGTGCCATCATCATACACATTGATGTAATTCGCACGACCCATTGTCAGCTTGTCCATGGCTGATGGCTGAAACAGCATAACAGGTGCTTGAACTCAAATTTCTACAGTGACAGGTGCTTGAATGCAAGTTTCTATAGTGTCAGGTGCTTGAATGCATGTTTCAATAGTGAGAGATGATTGAATGCATGTTTCCATAGTGACAGGTGCTTGAATGCATGTTTCTACAGTGAGAGATATACTGGACACATTCACTTTGAAGCTTTGTGGGAGGCAGTGTACTGTATTCACTACAGTCTGAGGAAATATGGGGTGTGACACACCTGCATGTTTCCACTCACCTGTCATGTGTAGACAAGAGACAAGAAGTTTATTGTATGAAAGGCCTCCGGCCTATATACAAATACACACAATGTATACATACTTTCAACATATATGTGCGTTCTAGGAGACATTAGTATTTACAAGTTCTTGCCGAATATTGAGTGCTTGATGGAGAAATTGAGCTAGACTGTAGATTACACCAGAAGATTGATTAGACATAAGTGATATAAGGGATGTGGTACATTGCTGTTTAAGGTATTTAGCGGGTACAAAACGTTTTCCGATATCTTGGTAAAACTCACAGATAAAAAGTACATGAAATTCGTCCTCAACACCCATATCACATAATGGACACAAACGCATAGATTTTAACGTATTTTGTCTTCTTCCGGTATTTACTCTAATATCACTCAGTCCCATACGAAAACGTGTGAATGTTGAACGAAGATTTAAATTACAAAGAACACTTAAATATTTTTCAGGCTCCAGTAAGGATTTGAATGATCTATACACATCATATCTGCTACTTGCATTTAAATTAGACATCCATGTTTGATAAAAGGTATTTACAATTCTTTCTTTGAACATATTTACAAACATACAGGTGTTACCAACTCCTTGATAAATCCAAGCATAGCCAAAGCCATTTGAGAACAAAAGTACCAGAATATTTGATGCCCAAGTTTTGTAACCCAGATTATCATAGTTGTATAACATATTGTAAGCTTTTCTTGGCAGTCGCTGTTTGTGCATAGTAAGTATTTTTAGTCAATATCTGATACAACAAATATATGAATTAACGTACAGAGGATATCTACCGCACTCTCCGTAAACAATATTATTAGGGGAGTTGACTCCAGTCATTAAAATATTTTTACAAGCAAGAAGATGTACTTTTTCGATTGTATTAAGATGTTTAAAACCCCATAATTCAGAGCCATACAAAAGTATTGGTTGTATCTGTGTGTCAAACAATTTAAAGAATATACTTGGGGATAAAGGCTGGAGTTTAGATAAAGTTGACAATAACATGACCACGGCTTTTTTACCCCTTACAAATAAATCCTTAACAAGATTACCCATACTTAAAGTGTTGGTAAACAGAACATCTAGGTATTTATACTTGCTAACAGCTTTTAACTCTCAAACACTTATATAACCATTTTTCGACTGAAGCTAATGGGCCACCTCTTCTAAAAACGACTATGTTTTGTCTTTTCTCAGTTTACAGTTAACTTCCAATCATCAGTGTAATCAGTCAAAATGTTTAATTGGTTCTGAAGACCCGAGACTATGTGTGATATAAGAATAACATCATCAGCAAACAATAATAAGAACAGTTCTAAAATATCCGGACATAATTGGACCCCGTGTTTGCCACTATTCAATATTTCTACACAATTCGTTAATAAAGAATGAAAATAGAATGGGACTTAATCTGTTAATACGCATTCTTGTTTCAAGCCAAGCGGACAATCAAAAAAGTCAGTGAAATCACCTTTACAGAGGCACACACGCCCTGACATTAGAGTACATACTTTTAAGAATCAGGTACATTTTGCCCCGTAATCCAGCTCTCCTAAGGCACACCCACAGTTTATGACGATTCACAGAATCAAAAGCCTTCCAGAAATAAACAAAAGCTACATACAGTTTTCTCCCACGTTTCATCAAATATTTTTCTATAATTGCATTTAATGTAAAAATATGATCTGTAGTCGAATAGTGTTTTCTAAACCCGGCCTGATATTCTGGAATTCTATCCCTCATATTGGCCCATAACGTTAGTCTGTTGTTTAATATACTCGAAAATACTTTCCCCAAAATACTGTTTAATGTTATACCTCTATAATTATCTGCATTGCTAGCATCTCCTTTCTTATGAATAGGTATAACAATGCCCTTCGACCACGAACTTGGAAATACGCCCGAACGAAAAATCATATTAAACAATTCTGTAAGATAGGGCAAAATTATCTCCCTTGATGATTGCAGCATTTCAGCAAGAATATTATCCAGTCCCGGGGATTTACGTTTTTTAAATGACTGAATTGCTGTCAGTATCTCATGACGCTGAATATCAGATTCGAGGATTTCCCGATCTATTTCAGAAAAGAAATCATCTTCATTTATAGGATCAAATATGTCATCAAAAAGCGTATGATCAAATACGTCATTTGTTGAAAATACTTCTTTAAAATGAATTGCCCATTCAGCTTTTGAAATGCTACAAGCAGGGATGTTTTTCATGTTAATGGATCGAACCTCTTTCCAAAATTTCTTAGCATTACCCATTGCATTACATAGCTGTCCAATTCTATTGTGTCGTATCTTGTTCTTATATAACCTGATTTCGTACTTATATCGATTTCTTAAGGAACAGTAACTCTTTCTGTTATCAGCAGACTTGTTACTTCTAAATTTCTGTCGTGCTCGCCTCGTAGCACGTTTTGCCTGCATACATTCAATGCTATAACGTCTGTTAATCATGTAGCCATTCTTAGAGCATAAGACTTTCTTCATGCAGCTGGCGGAATTCAGTAAATAGTCTACGAAGCTAGACAAAGACCTATCTATATCAACATGTAGGAGCTCTATTAATTCAGTCAGATTAAGACAGCTCTTAAGATTATCCAAGTAACGAGATTCGTGAAAATCATTCCAAACATATTTGACCAGAGGCTGGTCACTACACTGGTCAAGGCTGTTACTTGTTGGTTTCATGTGACAAGATAATTCAAGAGGAAAATGGTCAGAGACGGGGTTTTCCCCAATACATAATGAGGAAATATGATGAAAGAAATCAACTGAACAAATGAAATAATCATTAATGCTACTTCCCTGGTGGCTTACAAATGTAAATTCTCCGTCGAAATCCCCATTCACACGCCCATTAACTATGCACAGATTAAAAACATTGCAAACGTTCAATAAAAGTTGACCAAATCTATTTACAACTGAGTCTACTGACGTCCTATCTGAAATAGGGACACTTTCCTCTGGAAAGAGATCACCTCTATTATTAATACTATCTGAATCAAAGTCACTGAAGTTATTTTTGTTTCCACATCAGGAATTGAGGTCACCACACATAAGAACATGACAATTAGCAATATCTGATACATGATCTATAAGAACAGACTCTAACTGATCAAGAGCACAAACAGAGTCCTTATGTCGGTAGTATGTTGACCCTTCAGGTGGTATGTAAGCACAAATCAATAAAATATCACATGTGCTGTCCAGTATACTTCGTGAGAGTCTAAAACACGACAAGTTGTCAACATTAACAGCTATTGGATGACATGGTCTTAGTAGTTCATGTTTTATACCGACACATACCCCGCCACAAGAACGTCCGGAGCTGGATAAACTAATTGCACTTGAATAAAATAAGCTATACCCTGCGATCCAAAGTTCAGGTATTCTATCGACAACAAAAATTTCAGTGAGACAGAATATATCAAAGGTCCGTAGATATCACAAGAAAAAATACCGATATATACAAAATATACAATTTTGTATATTTGGTATTTCCAAAATATACAATTTTGTATAGTTGGTATTTCCAAAACTATACAATTTTGTATATATGGATAGATTTTACCACTGCTTCATTGAATTTTTTTATCTCGTAAGAGGTTTTCTTGGGGTTTGAAACTAATGTTACCGAACAGTATTTTTGCACGTGACAATAATACGTTAATACTATTTCATTATGGCAACTATATTTGGAGTGTTATGAAATAATTTTTATTTCTTTATGTTGACAGCATTTTACATAAGAAATAGAACATTTGTGCCGATTTTAGTAACAGATAATGTAAATAATACCGCTGTCTTAATTAGATCGCGGTTTGAAAAAGCACTGTTTGTATAACGAAAGGCTGCTGCTGTTTTAATTAGGTCGGAGTTAGAAAAGCACTGTTTGTTTAACGAAAGGCTGCCGCTGTATAAACTTAATTGGGGTTAGAAAAGCACTGTTTGTATAACGAAAGGCTGCCGCTGTCTTAACTAGGTCGGGGTTAGAAAAGCACTGTTTGTATGGGGAAAGGCTGTCGCTGTCTTAGCTAAATCAGGGTTAGAAAAAACACTGTTTGTATAGCGAATGACAGACGCTGTCTTAAATAAATCGGGGTTAGAAAAACAGTGGTTGTATAACGAGAGGCTGTCGCTGTCTAAACTAGAATAACCACTAAACAGAATAGCAAGAGAGTAGCCTTTCAGCGATTGTCACGATCATTGCAAAATAATAGATAAAAAATCAATGAATTTAAAATTGTACAAGGAAACATATATAGGAAACACATCGTTGGAATAAATTCCTATTATATTACGTTCACAACATTAGTTCTTGAGTTTTCAAAGTAAAATTTGATATATATGTTTCTGTGATTTCATGTAATGGTGATTCTAAATATGAAATATTGGTTGATATTGTTTGTCAAACAGTTGTACACACCGTCCATTGTGATACTTCTACTTAAGGATGTTTGTTTAGTCAATTGGCATGCGTTCATTGTAAACAAGGATCGTTAGTGTGAAAGGATTACTAAGTTTATCATCCAGTATAATCTTTCACGATTAGCATTATTAGAACACAGTTTGTAATTAGGTACATCCGGACTCCAGTTAATCAGGGCAGCTACATCAGTTGAGAGTGTGAGCAACTGGAGAAGAGGCGAGCAACTCAATGTGATTAATGAATAAGTGGAATTTTAATAAATAAACGAACGCCTGTCGCA